ATAATTGGACTAGAGGACGGAGAACATTGGACAGGCATGGAAAACCAGAGAGAATGCCTGGAATTTGTGGAAGAGCCAGGAGGCCATTGTCACTGTATTGAAGAGTACCTGTCAGGAGAGGTATGAGAATGGGCTAGGTTATGAAAGGCTTTAAATGCCAAAGAGAGCATTTTGAATTTGATTCTGCATCTGGAGCCACTGGAGTTTATTGAGTAGGGAACTTGACATGATCAGACCTGCACTTTAGGAGAATCACTCTTGTGACTGAATAGGGGAAGGATTGGAATGGGGAGAGGTTCAAGGCAGGTAGACCCACCCACGGGCTATTACAGTAATCCAGGCATGAGGTGGTGAGGCTCTGTACTAGAGGGCTGACAGTGACAGAGGAAAGAAGGTGGGACATACTTGAGAGGTGCCCTCCCCCCCCCAGGTGAAATCAACGGGTCTTAGCAACAGCCTGGATGTGGGGGCTGAAAGATACTGAGGAGTCCAGGATGACTTCTAGGTTGGGAGCCTGAGGGATTGAGAGGATAGTGTTGTCCTCTACACTAATGGGGAAGGGGTAGCGGGAAGAGGGTTTAGCAGGAAACAGTTTGAGATATCTTCTAGACATCCAATTTGAGATGTCTGAAAGGCAGTTGGATATTCAGTATTGAGAATTTGGAGCAGGATAGCTAGATTTGAGGATTATCAGATGGTAATTAAATCCACAGGAGCTAATGCGATCACCAGGTGAAGTAATTTAGAGGGAGAAGAGAAGAGGACCCAGGACAGAGCTCTGAGGAACACACCTGGTTAGAAGGATGATCTGGGAGAGGGTGCAACAAAGGAGACAGAGAAGGAGCAGTCAGAGAGGTGGGAGGAGAACCAGCTGAGAGTGTTGTCCTGGAAACCTAGAAAGAAGAGAGTATTGAGGAGGAGAGAGTGATCAGCGTCCAAGACTGTGGAGAGATCGAGGAGGATGAGGATTGAGACAAAACCATTGGCACTGGCAGCTAAGATCATCGGTAACTTTGGAGGGAGCGGTTGCAGTGGAGGATGAGGTTGGAAGGCAGATTATAAGTGGGTAAGAAGAGAGTGAGAGGATGTAAGCAGGCATTCTTGTTCAGTCGTGTCTGATTCTTTGTTGACCCCATTTGGGGTTTTCTTGGCAAAAATACTGGGATGGTTTGCCATTTCCTTTTCTAGCTCATTTTACAGATGAAGAAGCTGAGAGAAACAATTAAGCGACTTCCCCAGGGTCACACAGCTAGTAAGTGTCATGTGTCTGCGAGGTCGTGTTTGAACTCGGGAAGATGAGTCTTCCTGACTCCAGGTGCTGCACCCTATCCACTGCCCTGCCTAACTGCAGCATGTATTGTAGACCATCTGGACAATAGTCAGCTATCATTCTGTGGGGGTGGAAGGATCAAGTGAAAGTGTTCTGAGGTTGGGAGAGACTTCGGTGTGTTTGTAGGCAATAGGGAATTGGCCACTAGACAGAGAGTTATTAAAAATAAGTGAAAGAATGGAGACGAGGAGATGGGATGGATGAGTTGAACAAGTAGAGGGGCTTAGCCCTGGTAAGGTCACTTCATCATGTGAGACAGGGAGGAGAATGTTACTGAAGGTGCTTGAGTGATAGATGAGGAAGAGAGAGCTCTTAGGGAACGGCCACACATTTTTTCCCCTAAATTATGAGGCACGGTTTTCAGCTGAGAGAGTGAGAGGAGGAGGGGGTGCAGTATGAGTGTTTGCGGAGGGATGACAAGGTTTGGAAGAGCCACTGTGGAGAGGGGGAGAATGAGTTAATAAAAGAGGTACGTTAGGATTGCCTGGCCATGGTGAGAACCCAGTTGAGGTTGTAGTGGATCCAGTCAGAACTGTTGTGTTATTTTCTCCACCTTTGTTTAGAAGCACGTGTATAAGCACCAAGGCAGCAGGTAGTGGGAGTGACCTAGTTGAGACTGGGCTGGATGTAATGGGTGATGTGATTGGATGACTTCATAGGCGGCTACAAGATGGAATAAAGGCAGGTCATATTGTAGAAGAGAGGACAGTTGGAGTTTGAAGTCCGTGGATTGGCACTTATTTTTAAAAAGTTTGCTTTTCCCAAGCTAGTGCAGACTCTCTTCCAGCCTGCTACCTGATAGTAAGCTTATATAAGCTTCCTAGTGCCTCTGGAGATACGAGCATTGGTATGACGAAGCTGTCGGTAATCTGACAGTTACCTCTCAGCTGAGTGTTTATAACAATTGTTGTTTGAGTGAAGCTGTGTTAATGGGGAGGACATCCATTTCTCTTATTGAAATGACCATTTACCACTTACCTCTAGACCTTGTGTCAATTGCTAGAATATTTTCTGCTTAACGGTTAAGCATTTCCCAGATGGGACTACATAGGATGTGTGTTTCTCCTGGCAGCTTTTTTTAAATTCACAGTTTTGGCGGGACATGTCACATGCTTTGGTATTTGAAAAGCCCTCCAAGCATCCCCTGTGGCTTGGACAAGACGCCACGTTTTGGAGCCTTGGATTCTTGCCGCTGGCTATTTTTAAATTAAACAGGGCTCTAAAAATAACTGTGCTTTTTCAGGCAGAATTGACTTTTTTTTTTTTTTTGAGCCAAGTATTTTGGCTTTGGTAGGGGGATGTGTGTGTGTGTGTGTGTGTGTGTGTGTGTGTGTGTGTGTGTGTGTGTGTGTGTCTGTTTTAGGGCAACAACAAACTGTCAGATAGCAAAAGGACTGCTCATGTACTGGTAAAGGGAAAGATCCAGGGCAAGCTGTTTGTGGATTTCTGTTGTCTTTTATTTCTACCCTATTTCCCCTCGAGTGCCTTGTAATCCCCAGTGCAAAAAACCCACACGGTCACCACATCTGTTAGCGTGCAGTCTGTTTTCCAAATCTGTAGTTTCACCTTTTTTTGCTAGGGTGTGTGGGGGGGGTTGCTTATTGGTTCTCTGGAATCAAAACTTAATCACAGATGTTCATAGTAGACTTATTTTTAGACTTTATTCTTTGCAGTATCATTGTGTATATTGTCCTCCACTGTGATCCTCACTCTGGGTCACTTTATACTGTTTTTAAATTCCTTTTTACCAGAATTTCCTATAGCAGTCATTGGGCATCTTGTGCTCTGCATCACTTTATCTTCAGTCTTGGGGCTTCTCTCTGTGTACCCCACATACACTTTAACCCCCACAAATAAATATCTTGATCTTGAGGAAACGTCTTTATCCTTTCCCATTCATGACCAATGCCTACCCATGAATAGTTGTCTCAAAGGGGTTGGGCATTTTTGTCAGTTTCTTATTATGAATCCAAATGGTAGGGCATTTGAGCTACTGCAGCGCTTCAACTAACTACTCGAGTTGTGATGTGGCTTGTTGATAAGTCATAGTGACATCGATCACTTCCTTTTTCTTTGTTCACCAGCTGCCTTTTAATAATCGGTTGTAGGGGAACGTAGCAGGGCAGATCAGGAAAGGCTTCGTAGAGAAAGTGGTAAAATTCTGAAAGAGACGGAGCTCTCTAAGAGCTTTAGGAAAGGACCACATGTCCTGCGTCTGCGTGTATCGGGTGAGATGTCGGGACGGAGACCTAGCTATTGGATAGGATCAAAAAGATCTTTGTAGGAAACGGTGCATTAGCTGAGCTTTCATTGAAGTGTTTTGGTGAAGCGGCGTTTTGGAAATAAGTTTTGGAAATCTAGGCCAGGACCAGGTAGTGAACAAGTGTCAATGCCAAGATGTGTGTGCCTCATCCTGGAGGCCAAGGGGAGCTGGTGACTATTATTAAGCAGGGCAGTGACGTCCTCTGGAGAGGCAGGTGAGAAAAGCAGTCGGAGGGCCTTGTTGCAGTGTAGGTCTACAACTGAGTTAGTGAAGAATCTTTGACCTGTGACTGACTTCTTTTCTTTTCTTTTTAATTTTTTTTTAAAATTAATTTCAATCTCTTCTTGGAATGATTCCTTTACTTTTTTTTTTTGGCTAGGCAGTGGGGTTAAGTGATTTGCCGAGGGTCACACAGTTAGTAAGCATCAAGTGTCTGAGGCCAGATTTGAACTTGGAGTCCTCCTGCCTCCAGGGCCAGTGTTCTACCTACTGTGCCATTTAGCTGCCCTGACTGACATCTTTCAACATAGATTTGAGACCCAGACTCACTAAGCTTAATTATGCCTTGGAAGAGGTTTTGTGAGTTAGTCAGTCCATTACTTGTAAAACATTAATGGGAGTCATCTTACCATTAAAACACAACATAAGCCTAAAATGTCAGTACTAATTCCATACTCTGGTATTTAGGCTCAAGGCTGCCAGATACAATTATATTTAATTTGTCATTAATCCGTGTCAAAGTCATTTTTAGCTTGGAGAGAGATGTCTTCACTGATATTGTCACTCATACCTCTCAGAGACATGACTGCCCCATGACAATTTAAGGAAACACTTATAAGACTCTTAACAAGATATTTTCACGTGCTAGAATTAAACAACCGAGTCAATGTGCCATTGTTTCTGAAACCTCCCATTCACTTCAGGATTGAACTTAATTTCTTATGGAGTAGAGTGGGTCCCAGCCTGTTATTGCTGGTGCGATAGAGCGGAAGCTGTGATGTGAAGAAAGATTTACTTTATCACTTCTGTAATCCAGCTTTCCAATTGGTTTTTTCCAACAGTCTGGAAAGGATTTTATAGAAAAATAATATTTCCTAATATTTTCAGTTTTTACTATAAATGGAATTTTAAATCTGCTTCTACATGATTTTTGTATATAGGCCATCAGGATCAGTGATTGTTTGGGAAAAGTATATACTTGTATGCTTTATTATAGTCCTCAATTTTTGACTTTGTTTTTCCTTGTATACAACAACATTTTTAAAGTTACTCAGCAGAGGCACCTACCACGCATTGGGCATATGATAGTTGTCACTTAAATGGTTTGATTAGGTCTTAATTATTTTTGGTTGGGAGTGAGGATGTGTAGCAGGAAATAATGTTTTTCTTCCTTTGCTTTTCCTTTAGCTGGAAAGAGGTGACTTCCTTTCAGAAGAATGGCGGGAAAGAATTGCAAACACAAGGTATGACTAGTTCTGAAAATAGTTTAAATCTCTTAGCTCCTTAGGAAATCTTGTGGGTCTCTGCCCTCCTTGGGGCCTTGCTTTAGATGGCAGGTCATTATGACTGATAATTGTGCTCTGGCTTTCTTCTTAGTGAGTTCCTTCCTTGCTGGTAGAAAGACTAGGTTCTTTCTGAATACATAGCTTTTTGTCCTGGCCATTTCAAAGGTGAATTAGGAAATCACATTCTTTTTGGGGTAGGGGGTAGAGAGGGAGGGCTAGGGGCACTTTTGAGAAGTCTCTCACTCGGAATGAGTCAGTGCTTTTATTCATGTGGCTGAAGGATCCTCTTCGTGTGTGGGGGTGGGCCGAGCCATCTCTGACTGAGTAAGTCAGTCCTTTGGCTCTTGAGGCTGATGATCCCATCATTGATTACTCATGCTAGAAATGACTTTGCTTCTCTGTTTTTGAACACTGGATTAGAATCTTCTAGAGGGCCAAGCCTGCCCTGGTAGCCCAGTATGCATTGATGAAGGCTCCTTGCATGGAGTGATTCTGAAATCCCTTCCAGAAGCCATGGACTTGTTCCCTGTGTTCCTGTGCAGAACAAGAGGAGAAAGCTTTCCAGGGACTCCAGGGGTGGCCCATTGTTCAATCACACTCACAGCAGGGAAGTTATTTCTCCAATTTTGCCGGAGTTGTACTTTGCAATTTAAATCCATTTTGTGCTGCCAAAGAGGGCAGCAGCAAGTCAGAATCTGCTGTAGCCTTTACCTTTAGCTTAAGCTGTTTTTACGTAACTTTTGTTCTTTTTGTTTAGAGTGGCCTTTTTTTCCATTCCCTTAATCATTTTTACTGTTTCCTTTGGGAATTTTGTGTCTCTTCCCCTCACCCCCCTTTTGAAAATCAGAGCAGACCCTAGGATCCCCAGACAGTAAAAGGACAGTAGAATTAGGGTGTAGGTCCATGGGGTCAATGCCAGAGGTACCTCTTGTTAGGGCAGTGGGCTTTCTCTAGCTATATTTTAAATCACTAACTCCTCCTGTTCCATGACTGCATGCCTTAATAATACTGTTATCTTCTCGTGGACGTTTCAGTTTGAATTCAGTGTGGTGTAACTTAGGCACATGATTTGGACACGAATCTCACATTTGCCTTGACAGCTTTATGTTTTGTGGTCTCAGTGTGTTCCTTCTGAAGTGAGAGGGTTGAACATTGGCTAGATTAATGAGCATTCTCAGATTTTATCGTCTCAGGGCCTGAGCACTGCAGAGAGCTTTTGTTTATGATGTAATCTGTTGATATTTACAGAGTTGGGAACTGAAACATTTGTGTGAAAATAGTTCCAGCTCCACAGACCCCCAGAATCCCACTTTGAGAACCACTGTACAAGATGATTTAAGGTCATTTTCATTTTTGAATCCTATGCGTTCTGCCACATGAGCACACTATCCTGTATTTTTAAATTTAATTTTACCTTTTTAAAAAAAAATTCACCTTTCTCCATATCATCTCTCCCAGTAGAAAAAAAAACACACCCCTTTGACAAATATGTATAATGAAAGAAAATAAACTTACACATTTGCCGTGTTTTAAAAAAAAAAAGTCTTACTGGTATCAATTATGATACTTACCAGTTTATATCACGATGTATTTGGCATGTATGTACCTGTTCTTCCGAGTTATTTCTGTAAAATGAAATAATCTCAGTACCAGGTCCAGAAACGTTCCCATTGTTTTCCTACCTGCTTGACACTGAAACGTTGTTCACATTTTCACTTTACTGAGAACTAGATTCTGTTGGAATTAGAAAATAACTATCAAAACTCAGGGTTACTAAAGTGGACAAGGTGGAAGAAAATGTTGAAAGAAGCAGCAAAGAGGTAGGGGACTATGGGTGTGGGCATTGTGCTATCTCTCAGTGCTGTGGTGATTAATCCATACCATGGCATCACTGGGATATTGACACATACTACTTTGTTTTAGTATCTTCCTCAGTATTTAAGAGTTTAGTCTTGCGGCATCAGTAAATTCTGGGAACTCTCTGAAGGTTGGCATTTTATGTGGGAATTAGGTTTATCTGTTGAGGAAAAATAATTTTATCGTGGAAAACAAATTCCCAATACATAGAAGTATTTATGTTCTCATTTGGAGAAATGAAAGTTATTTGAAACTCTCACGGCTTGTTTAGAATCCTATCGCTCAACTCTTAAGGGCCTTTCCCAAGGAAAAATATCGGCTGGATGTAGAATATTATTTTCTGGCATGTAATCTTTTTTCTTATTTGGACAAACCATATTGTATGTTATTTCTTTCCCTTAATTTGTTTTGTGGTATAAGCAAATATATAAAAAAAAACTGTTTGCTTCAAAGGCAATGTAATAACTAGATTCTCACACTTGAGGTAGAGATGCCTCTATTTCCACCCTGGCTCTGATGCTTGTGGCTCTTGGGGAATCACGGGCTAGCCACTTCTCAGGGATCCCGGTCTGGTCATCTAGCAACATGGCATAGTTTTTGTCCTGCCTTCTTGGACAGGATTGAAGGAGTAAAGCATTAGACAGATGAGTGCATTTGGAGGAGAGGGTCCCTTGTCTCCTGACCCTTTTTTTAAGCACCCTTTTTTCTGGGATGTGAGCACCTGCTCATTGGCTCACCTTCCCTCCTGTCTGCTTCTGGTCATTGGCAGGGAATCATTATCACAATAAAGCAGCTGTTTTCAGTTTTGTTTTTAAAGCTCTTATCCTATTAAACTGAGGTTGTCCACCTCTGAGAGGTGTCATTCCAAGCGCATATTTACTAACGTGACACCAGGGTAAGAGTGGGATGGGTCAGCTGACTCTTGTTACAGGCCACGGGTACTTCTCAGTGAAGATGCTTCTCATTTCCAGGCCTTTTAGATGTCTCCTGTCCCTTCTGTGCACCTCTCTGAACACACTGTGGCCAGCTCTTCTGCCTTGACCAAATGCTTTTAACCTATTTACTGCTGAATAAAGCAAAAGGAGTTCCGGTCAGAATTCCGGAGCACGGACAATTCTGTGACTACTGTACATGATCTGAATCTGAGTTTCATTAAGTTATGCCCTAGGTGTCTAGCTGCTCTTAGTTTCTTAAACTGGTGATGCTTTTGCTACTTTATACCTGTAGTAATTACTGTTAGGTGTTGCATGCTCCTGTTGTTTGGGATTTTGAATACGTTTTTTTCCCATTGGTAGAGAGTAAATTGCCAGTCCTTGGACTATTGAGAACTTTATATATTTTGGACCCCTTTGGTTTCTGTACCTCAGCTGTCATCAAAAGGCTGGAAAAGCCTAGGGGAAAACCGTCAGGGCAACTGGAATTGGGTGTACAGAAGCTACTGATGTTGCCAGATTGCTCTGTGATCCCGTCACCATCTGGTTGTATTCAGTCTTGCTTGAAGCTCTTTCTCTTTTGCTCGTTATTCTGCATTGGGGAACAGTCCTCTGTTTTGCACATGACCAATGCTTTCCATGACAACGACTTGTTTCATCAGCTCTGGAGTCCTGGGCCAGATCTTCCTCTGCGTTGTGTACCCAGTGATCTCCCTTCTCCCCCACCACATGACAGAACCAAAATAAAAAGCTGACCAGTCAAAACCTAGTGGCCCTGTGCAGAGACTTGGTTTAAGATGACTTTTGACAGTGGTCATCAGCTTAATTCTGTGAGTACTATCCTCTGTTTTATTCAAAGGATGAGCATATTTTTAATCTACCACTCACAGATGAGGAAATGTGGGGTTTTTAGAGTCTGCCTGTATACAGCAGCCCCCCGTAAATACTTGTTCCTGAAGATATCTCCTGGCTTTCAGGTTCCCAGCACCTTTAATACCTTGAACTTCTCAAGTCCTCCTCTACCATGCCAGCCATGCCATAATCCTGTGATAAGACCAAGCCACAGAATGGACGCTGAGTAGTTGGCAGAGGGCAGAATCTGGCCCTGAGAGTCCGGCAGGATCGAGTTAAGTGAGAAGGTGTGCTCTGGGAAAAGCCATTTGGTAATTAACCAAGGAGACCACTGGATGGGCTGAATTTCTAAAGTTTGCAATTCACAGTATTCCCATAGGATACAATTTCCCTTTGGAAATGCTTTTAGATATTGTGTGTCCTTTCCAAATCATCCATCACCCTGATGTCATTGCTGGCCTTCATTCCTGTGTTAAAATATGACCATTTCTTGTCCTTCCTCTTATTTGCATTTGTCACATGAAGGGGAAGGGGGGGGCGGTGGCGGTGGTGGTTGGGGGTGGGAAGATGGTTTTTTGGCTCTGTCGTTTACTGTGCCCGATCTTCAGACCAGTTCTCTTTGTTCTTTGCTGACTTGATTTTCTTTCCTTCCCTTTCTCTTGTTCTTTATTATTGTTCTGTTTGCTCATCACAGCTCATGATCCTGGTTATTGATACCTTGGGTTTGTTGGGGATACTGGTCTGCCTTGTGGGACCTTCTCTTGATTAACATAACATCAAGATTTGAAAGAAAGGGCTGTAGAAATTATAGTTCGTTGGATGCATACAGGATGGGAGAGGCAGGGGGAAGCAATGATGCCAGTAGGAGTGCATCTTTTGGTATAGTACTTCCAGGACTGAAAATATACTTTATACCGAAGTATTTTAAGCTCTAGATACAAAATTACAAGGATTTGGAAAAGGCTGTGCACTTGTAAAAATGTCATTTTTCCCTTTTGCAACCTTCAAAAAACACTTCCTTTGCAGACTCCCAGCCATCTGAGGCTCTTACGGGGTTTGTTAGATGAGAGAGTGTGCCACCTTTTCACTTGTGAGCAGAGCTATCATTTCTCCCCTGCACCCCTTTCCCCGGTTCTCATTGATCAATATATATGGTTAAAATTATTCTTGAGCAATTAATGATAGTTTGAATTAATCTTACTAATCATATGTTTTAACCTTTTTCCTTCTGGTTTACTGGTAGAGAAGTTGGCTTGTTTCTAATCTGAAAATACTGCCTGTTAAGTTGGTGACAGTTTAGTATATAGATTACCTTGAAAGCCCCTTTTGGAAGAGTCTTGTGAAGATATTCAAGGAGCCTTAGTGTGGGTTACCTTTGGCAGTATTGTTTGAAATGTTTGTTCCTGGGATCTGAACAGAATGCTGCCACACCACGGTCGTCTGCATTTGTAGAAGTTAGGTTCTGATGCCGCTACCCATCCCTGCAGGAGCTTTTACTTGGCCAGTGTTTAAGAAACTGGACTGGCTCCATGAAAATGGCTGCATCTGGGGAGCAGGCTGCTTCCTAAATTCTAATCTCAAAACTTTTTTCAATGGTTTCTTTTTCAAAAGGTGTTAAATATGCAAGCATTGTTTATAGGAATGAGAGATGGACATATGAGAGGCTTTAAGGAAGAATTTTACTTTTTATTCTTCTAACTGGAGTATTGTCTTGCAGTGTTATTTTTGTGAATAATTTTGCCTTTGGTCCTGAGGTGGATCACCAACTGAAGGAGCGATTTGCTAACATGAAGGAAGGTAAGTAAGGCCTTTTTTTCACCCAGCTTCTCTTCCTGCTCTGCACCTTGATGTCCCCCCACTCCCCAACCTTTTTCTCAAAACCAGACCAAACAAGGTCCTAGGCCTGGGAAGGGGTGGTTGCTTCTCATATGGTAAAGAACATAGAGCCTCTTAGTGTATTTTTAAAGCCTTTATCTTTTGGGCATTGTTATGGCTATTGTTGTATCACTAAAAATACTTTATGAAGGTGCTTTTTCAGTTGAGTCCATAAGTAGCTTGGCTAAATGTCATTATGTCATCAAACATCATAAATATTGGGTTATGCTTAAAAGTTAATATTTTATTAGGAGTGTAGTTTAAAAACATGTAGTTTTCCAGCTGTCTTTTGGTGTTCAGTATGGAGTTCTTAATTTCTAGCATTACAAGAAAACAGCTTATTTTTTTAAATGATCAGAATTACCTTACATGTCTTCCAAAATATTTATTGCAGACTCTTAAATTGGTAGAAAGCTGATCCCTAGGATTTGAGGGCTCTTTGGACCCTTGTGGAAGTATTTTAGATCCCTTAGAATCCTTAAGATGATTGGGGCTTACTATGAAAATTAGAGACTTACTACTAATCTTCAGTCACCCAAGAAAGATTCCCTTCTGTATAAACTGTGCTACTTTTGACCACCACTCGTGGCAGTCACTGGACTGGAGTATTCTTTTGACCAAAGCAATGGCATTCTCTGGCCCTTCTGAAATCACAACCCAGTGGAGTCTTCAAGACCTCATTTCCTTTGAAAGAGAGCTCTGGATCACGAACAAGTCCAGAGTAATCTTGTTAACCTGAACCTAGTGATGATGAGTCCACGGACCTCGGTATGAACCCCAGCATTCCTTTTGGACATTCAGCATGTCCTAGCTAGAAATGAGGCACTTGGAACTAGAGGACCGCCAGTATTCCTTCTTGTTCTACATCCATGGGCCCTATATTTGGGTCAGGCTCCATTCAAAAGAGGAAATGCAGTATCCATCTGATAATCATAATTAGAAGGTACTTGAGATACTGCGTGGTCCAGCCTAGTGTCATCCACCTGGACTAGCCTCAGACACTCGACATTTAGTAGCTGTGTGACCCTGGGCAAGTCACTTAACCCCGAATGCTTCACCAGAAAGAAAAAATAAAAAAGATATGCAACTTATCAATAAAATCTTTGGGTATTTCTTTCCATTGGAAGCAAATGGTCCTGCTTCTTCATGGTTGATGGGACATGACCCTTCCTCTGTTTCCCTATAGCATGTCTAGGCTTGAGCTAGCTCGTTTCTGCTCTAGCTTTGACTCCACATTTGTGTGGTAGCTGACAGTGTTAGTGTGTATCCTGAGGTCCCTAAACATACTTGTTACTCTTACTGCAGTATGTACAAGTATGTTTAAGAGGTGATATGGCATCAGAAGATGACTTTGCCAAATTACTTTGGCAGCCAGCCCCTCTGTAAGCTGCCTTTTATCCTGTATATCTGCAGTTTTTCATGACCCTCACTAGAAGTCATGCTTGTATCCTGAGTGTGAGTTTTTGAGGCTTTTCCAGAGCCTGTATTTTATGGCTTGAATACCAGACTGTTTAAGAGGGTGGGTGGTAGCCAACTAGCCCCTGTCAAACTGCACTTCTCTTCTTGATCTCTCTGAATCCCGTCCTGCCCATTGCAGAAAGGAGAACGTGGTAGTGTAAGTGTGGCTTTGAAAGTGGTGGTGCTCAGTGCAACTTGAATTTTTAGAAATAAGGTTTTAGAGTTTTACCATCCTGTATCTTGTTGAATACCTGAGTGTCTTGTCAGTGATTTTTTTCCCTCTTCTTCCAACTATGTCATTCCCACTGTATTTTGTGACTTGATGTGATGATGATTTATCTTTGTGTTTCAGGTGGCAGAATCGTGTCCTCCAAACCTTTTGCACCTCTAAACTTTAGAATAAACAGTAGAAACTTGAGTGGTAAGAGTCTCTGTTACATTATTAAGCTATTATTATATGTAATTTGAGACCATTACAATCCATTAGAGGGAGTTGATTGGAACAGCTGTCACTACACAGTAGATAGAGACTGGACCTAGAGTCTGGAAGGCCTAAATTAAAATTTGGCCTCAGGTACTTCCTAGCTGTGTGACCTTGGGCTAGTCACTTAGTCTCTCAATTTCCTCATCTTTAAAATAGGGATAATAATAGCATCTATGATTAGGTTTTGTGAGGACAAAATGAGATTTTTGTAAAGTGCTTTGTAAACCGTAAAGCACTTATTTAAATGCTAGCTATCGTTTTTCTCAATTAACAGGTATGTTTGATAAATATTGGTAACCTATAGACTTGGGTTTTTTTTGTATTCAGATTATATACTACTAAGGAAAAACTAGCAAAACTACCATCAACACAAGTTAAAATGTGATTTAAAATAATCTATTTACATTACTTTTCAAGGAGAAATTAAAAATTATAGCCTATAAAATCCTTTACTGAACTGAAACATACATTTCAAGCACATGGTTAAGTAAAAAGTAGTCAGCTCTGCATTGCTCCTTGACTGAGGCCTACATTTTCAAATTTTCTTGCCTTCATTTAATTCCCGCTCCCCTTCCTTATAAAGAACAAGCCCATTATTCTATAGAAAGAATCACAGACAAGATAGACAACTGTAAGCCCTGCAGACTGTATAGAGTAAAACTAAACCATAGGCAAGAGAAATCAACCACGCTGGGTGTCAAGGTGGGCAGTCATCCACGGCCAGACAGAATTCTGCAGAGCTGAGCAGCACTTCTCTCAGCAATCTGGGGAAGTTGAGAAGAGGTTGGGCTTTTATCACAGCATGCTCTTTCTCCTTGTCTTTCTTTATACTTTTGAACTAAGGATAGGGAAGTAACAGAGGGAAAATGGCTGCTGAGTTTCTGAAAACTTTGATTGGCTATTTTCCTCCTTTCTGTCTTTTCCTGGTATAATATGTCTCTCTCTCTCTCTCTCTCTCTCTCTCTCTCTCTCTCTCTCTCTCTCTCAGTGTGTGCACAGAGGACAAGGGCTTAGCTCACAACTAACCAGCTTTTTTGTCTTTAGATATTGGCACTATAATGAGAGTTGTGGAGCTATCACCACTGAAAGGGTCGGTTTCATGGACTGGCAAGCCAGTTTCTTACTACCTGCATACTATTGATCGAACCATAGTAAGTATCGCCACTGAGACGCGTTAGTGGCTCACTTGGTCTCTTCTCTCACTTTTGCATTCTGGAGTTCTCGATGGTCTGTCTCATTCCCACTCCACCCCATTCCTGCCCATGAGAAGAACATGAGCCCAACTGTGACACAACAGATAGGGCTCTCTCCTGTCAGAAATGCACTGGAATTGCTTATCAACAGCCATTCTCTTCTGAATACTAACAAATTGCCTGCTTGCTTTTCTTTCTTTCTCATTTGTTCCATCTAGTCACTATTTTTATCAGTGTTAAATGGCAAATTCATGCTTTAATTTAATCTTCAATGTAGTCTGTGTTTTTGCCCTGTTCTTCATTTTTACCCCACTCTTAGTGATTTCCTTTGACTGACCTGCTTTGTGTCCCAGCTCTTTTTCTATTGGAGAGGTGAGACTTAAGTTAAATTTAACGCACATTTTTAGAAGTACTTTGTATGTCCAGTGGTGAAGAACAGTAATCCCTGCCCTCAAGCACCTTGTAGTCTAGTATATGGAATGAGATATGTATGCCAGTTTTAGAGAAAACAAGTGGTAACTCACCTAGTGATGGTCACATAGTAGGATTGTGAGACAGTGGAGGAGAAAGGAGTGACTTCTGGTTGGGAGGGTGGGGGGTTTGTAATCAGATAAGGCTTTATTCCAATTGGGATTGGCCTCTTGATCCAAAAAGCTAATTATAACTCCTTATTACAGAAAAAACTCCTTAATAGTGGGCAAATCTTGATTTGAGGGGTCATCAGAAAGGAGTACTTAAAAATAATCTACTTTTTTCTCCCCCTTCCAGCTTGAAAACTATTTTTCTAGTCTCAAAAATCCAAAACTCAGGGTAAGTTTTTTTGCATGGTGGTCTTTTTCTTCTGTATCGAAGTAAACAGTAATACTAATTTATATATGTGGTGTTATGCAGATATCCATAGTTTGAAATTATTTCCTTTAGGAAATGGTGAAGCACAGGGTCAGGGGTGACTGTTTGTTGTCACAAAGGGTGTCTTCAGTTTGCTCAAGTATTCACTAGTTGTTCTTTTAAGATAACAGCTGTTTAGAAACAGTTGTCTGGTGTTGGCTTCCAAGTGGTGGATCCCAGTACTTTTCCATCCCTCCATCCTCTCCACCTATTGCCATCTCCTACCCTGCATTATTGAGTAACATCTTCGCTACTGCAAAAGCCTCCTTTTAAAGTATGACCAAGGGCACTCGGGGCCTCTGGAACCCTCAGTTACAGATAAGTTGTTGGTCAGGGAGAGAATTTTCACTGAGAATTTCACAGGTCCGGGGGCCAAAGAAATAGTGAACACACATTTCATTTTTGGAGAAGTTCAGGTTGCTGGGAATTCAAGTCAAAAATACATAGCAGCTCAAATTTGGCCTCAGACCAAACACTTGACACTTATTAGCTGTGTGACCCCAGGCAAGTCACTTAACCCCAATTGCCTAGCCCGCCCACCCCCCAAAATACATAGCAGTCAGATGGTTTATATTCCAAGAGAGCGTGCTTGCACACAAGTGCCTGGCTGTTTGTGCGGCTGGGTTTGGACACAGTATTGAGCAGTTGTGCATTCAGGTCATGGCTCCGTGTGTACGGTGCATTGACGCTGTGATGTCCCCTCTTAGGAGGAGCAGGAGGCAGCCCGCCGCCGACAGCAAAGAGAAAGCAAGAGCAACACGACGACTCCAACGAAGGTCCCGGAAAACAAGGGAGCTGTGGCCTTGGAGCCTCGAGTGGTAAATGTCTGCCTGGGTGGGACCTTGTGGAAGGAAAACATGCTTATGCTCACAGATTGCCGGATTTTATCCTACCTTGTGGTTTTCAGATGTCCTTGACAGAAAGTCTGATTTCACAGTGTCTCCAGGCTAATTGCAGCCATCGTTTATTGAAATTGGAAGTGGCTCCAACAAAAGGGGCAGCCTGACCTAGTCTGGGGGGGGCTGCACTTGGAGTCTGGAGACTTGGCTCTGAACACTTCCTTAGGCTAGTTCTGTGCCCGTGGGCAGGTCAGGACTGAAATTCTCTCAGCCTGAGTTTTCTCTTTAGAAAATAAGAATATTCCTAACCTTCACTTTCTACCGGGTTATTTTGATGATCAAATAAATAATAGCTATAAATGGATTCGCATACCTTAAAAGCGTTCTAGAAGTGTGAGCTCATCATTCATGTAACTGAAGAGAACACAATTACATGCAGAGGAGTCCTCAGGTCCATAACCGTTGGTGACGGTGCGGCCACTGAGGCCCTGGATAGTCAATAAATAACAGACACTACTTGATGAATCCTTTTTTTGGCTCTGGAGAAGAGAAATGACAGTTAACCAGAAAAGCAAGAATTGAAGTGTTGAAGTTAAAGTGACTCTACCTTTGGTGTTACATAGTATCGATTTTTAAACCTTTGGGCTGGGAGAGTTCTGACCCAACCCAACCTGCTTTGTGGGAGCCTTGTTTCTTGTACTTTTCTTTCTATTTGACCCCCATCCCCACCCCCCACTTTTCTTTAGGATTCTGGTGCTGAAGAAGATAAAAATGGGACGGCTGCTCTTAAAAAGCCATCTCCTTCCAAGCCTCGCAAAAAGAAATTAAACAAAAAAGGAAGGAAGATGGCAGGAAGAAAACGTGGACGCCCCAAGAAAATGAGTGCTGCAAACCCTGAACGGAAACCCAAGAAGACTCCAAGTGCACTGGAGCTTCTGCATGCTCAGACTGTGTCCCAGGCAGCTGCATCCTCTCCTCAGGGTAAGGGACTTGGAATCCTCAGCATTGCCCAAAGCTGACGTTTTCAACAGCCACAGAACCATGGAAAGCTTATATTTGGGGAAAGCTGGGTAGGCCAGGAAGAGAAGGATCTTGTCCTTTTTGAAGGACAATCTTAGTTCTGCTTTCCTCTTTCCATTTTCCATGTGAAACGTTTTCCAGCAAATAGTATGTATCTGAAACACAGTGCAATGAGAAAGCACTGTGTAAAAGTTTATCTGTTGAAAGATGCTGACTATGGAACGCCGGGCCGTTCATTTTCTCTTTCAGTGTCCAAAACATTCATAAGCTATGTGTTTACCTAGCTTTTGCTTATCTGCTTAGAAGGGGGTGTGTTGTCGTTTTTTCTTTATCAGCTCCCTGAACTGTTGAAATTATGCTTCTCCTCCTAACTAAGGTGGGGTATGGAGGAAGAGAGAGAGGAGAGTCCAAGGAAGAGAGACCCATGAGATGTTCATTTTGTCCTTTTAGTCCTCCTAGTCTACTTTACGTCAAAGCAGATCTGAACCTGAGAATCCTAGGACCACTTAACCTCACTGCCACAGTTTCACTGTCTGTAAAATGTTCTGTGCTTCTGTCATATGTGAAGTTGATGTTATGATCATGGGCATATTGAACATGATGTTTGTCAATTATGGCAGCCCCTAGACTCTTGTAAGAATCATAGGGTACAAACCAGTTTGTTCAAAAGATGTCTTTTCCTTCCTCTCCCCAGTTAACACTAGTTCTTCTCATTACTGTTCTTTAAAGAAGTTGGGAAAAGAGAACAGTGGTCACAAACTGGTATTTCTGGTGGATAGAGCACTATCTGGTCCTTCTTCATTGCTGTTCATTGTGTGAACCAAAATCCGGTGCTCTTGCTCCTCCGTCATGGTTCTCACTTTGATGACGTTTGCAGTCACCTTCCTTCTTCCCTCCTTCCCTAATTACACAGTATTTCAGTGTGACATTGCAGTATAACGAGTTGAGAAGTGGCAGTTGAGGGTTATTTATTTGTATGCTGTTCGTTGTGTGAACCAAAATCCGGTGCTCTTGGTCTCCTCCGTCATGGTTCTCACTTTGATGACGTTTGCAGTCACCTTCCTTCTTCCCTCCTTCCCTGATTATACAATATTCCAGTATGACATTGCAGTATAACGAATTGAGAAGTGGCAGTCGAGGGTTATTTATTTGTATGCTGTGAATAGAATTCACCTTCACATTTACAGGATGGGAATTGGTTCGTCCAAAAATACAAAAAGCCTCACAGGATAAAATTCAGCCAGGATTCTGACTTCTCCAATTTTTTTCCTTCAACTATGGAACATATTTTGTTTTCTCTACTTAGATGCATACAAGTCACCTCATAGTCCATATTATCAACTACCTCCTAAAGTACAACGGCATTCCTCCAACCAGCTATTGGCAACTCCAACCCCACCTGCACTCCAGAAGCTATTAGGTAATGTCTCTTTTGTCTACAGATGTGTTAATAAAAATGCTTTTCTTCTGTCACCTGGCCTGTGCTTTCCAGGGTTAGTGTGAATCAGGCTACGTTGGGTTCATACTTTGGGTTGGAGTCCTAGATGGTTTAAAGGATTACCAGATCCCAGAGCCTTCTGCTTTCAGGTCTCCAGCCTCCTCAGAGGAGGCGTATTAGGATTGTCTGCGGAAGTAATTTGATAGTCATCCACTCTTAATTATTTTTCTTTAGCTAATATACTAGCTCACATCTGTTGGAAAGTCTCGCAGGGGCTAAGGATTAGAGGAAATATTGGCCCAAACAAGTTAAAATCTGGCCTTTTGCTCCACCCTTGCCTCAGTCTGTCCTTTTTCCTATACCTGGAATACAGTCTCTTGGTACTGTCTTCTTCGGGGCTTCCCAAATTCTCATTTGGTTTCAACCACGTGGAAATTATCACATCTCTTTTGTGAAAGGTAGCATACCAGTGCTAGTCAGTCTTGTGATTTCCAAGATGTCATTCCATTACATTAAGTAGCATTATGAGAAATGTTCTAATTGCTGCGTCCTATTGGCTCTCTCTTCCAAAATGTTTCTGCATAGGTGACAACTGCAAGTTTCATAGATCAGAAAAATGTTTCGGTGATTTTAGTATGTTTGTTCTCCATCTGATTCGTGACCAGGGTGGAGCTAGCTGAACAGAATCGCTGCTTTATAAAAAAAAAATCCATATTATCTTGGTTAGCTCTTGTAACCCTTGAGAGTTAACCGCTGTAACCCTTGAAATCCATCCCTTATTATAAAGAATGAGAAAGAGAAGATTGATTTAACTAAAACTCACCAGAAGGGTGGAGGAGAGATGGACCCAGAGATGAGATAGATGGCAGCACCAGTGGGAAATAGTTATGATAGGACTGGAGGTAGAGCTGGACACAAGGCCATTTCTGCTATGGGGCCCTCTTAGCAAGAGGAGGGACTCTGCAGGAAATTGGAAGAGGCAGGTGATATTAAAAGTGGGCAAGTGAAAGGGGGGGGGGGAGGGAATCCAGTGAAGAGCCCTCTACTGGCAGAAGGGGTATATGTCTGTGATAGTAGTTGGGTTCAGTCTGGAATTAGTTGGTATATTGGGAGACTCCATTCCCCAGGAGTGTTGTGCCTCCACGAACAGTATCCTGCTGTAGGAGAGGAAATCTGAGCTCTTAGGGGCACCCAGATAGTTGGGTTGTAGATAGGTGATATGGGCTTAAATAAAATGATAGTGCCAATGGGAAAGAGAATGTCATGGCGACATTGGAGTAGAATTGTACCACATGATTTAGGATGTTGTATTTTCTACCATGGGATACTGCTAGTGTTCACTTTACTTCATGATTTAATATTTTGTGAGTGTGGTGTAATGGGGAAAAAAAGAGGGGAAATGGTATGGTATTTGGTTAGAAGAGAATTTTTAAATTGTGTATTTTAGAAATTTAACTCCACTAGGAACAGAAATATATTAAAGAAGGAATAAATAAGAATTTAGTCCATTTATCAGAGAGTATAGTTTCAGAATACTCTGGAATAGAAAAGCAGAGAAATTATTCTTAGAAAAAATGGAGTCACTCAAAAACTCCTGCAGAATTTAGAAGGGGGTAGATGGGAGTGGAGATTTTAAATCAGCCACTTAACTGAACAGGAGAGGAAAAGATAGGGTGAAGGTGGGGAGAAATAGATAGCCAAATAAAACTTTTTTTCTTTTTGGTGAGGCAGTCGGGGTTAAGTGACTTGCCTAGGGTCACACAGCTAGTAAGTTTCAAGTGTCTGAGGCCAGATTTGAACTCAGGTCCTCCTGACTCCAGGGCCGGTGCTCTATCCACAGTGGCGCCTAGCTGCCACTCCAGAACTCTTTTGAAAGCTTCAGTTAATGGGAGTGGGTACTGGGTGGGGGAAGGGACCCTTTGACTGAATCAAGTTGCGCAGAATCACCCCACAAGTAAACCCGAAGTGTGGGAAGGAGGAAATCTGCTCTTTTTTGCCCTGGCTTGGCTCTTGACACTCAAGGTCAGTTCTGGGAGATAGAAGCGCTCAGATGCTTGCTGCTTTCCTGCCGCAGGTGGGGAGACACTTAGTGAAGGACCTGACAACCACCCGTTGCTGTAGCTCAAAGACTCATGCACAGAGGGGAGACTTTCTGGGTGTGCTGACCTTTCATGATAGAGAAGAGAAAAGCTTCCTCTTTCCGGCTTTACTTAGTACGGAATGAAGTCAAATATTCTTCACCCTTTCTTTCTCCCTCTTGTCCCTAAAATGGTTGGAATTTGTGTGTTATAGTAGGTGCTTACTTAATGAATGTGTGTTGGTTCATTAGTTGCTTTAATTAAATGTACTTTCTTCCTTTGTAGAATCATTTAAGGTTCAGTACCTGCAGTTCCTGGCCTACATGAAAACCCCTCAGTACAAGGCAAACCTGCAGCAGCTGGTGGAGCAGGAAAAGGTGAGTGTGGCAAAATGTGGCCCAAAGCACCATCTGGTCCGTAATGCAGCCTATTCTCGATGTGCCTTTTCTGCATCTTTCCCAGCCTCTACCATAGATCAGAAAAATGGCAAGGTAGGTGTCCAAATAGAACAGAATTGAGAGGTATAATGGACTCAACCCCAAGTCGGGTTCAGGATGTCTTGGTATGTAGTGGCCGCTGTGATTATGGAACAGCCTGAAAGGTACTTTTTGAAATAGTGTCAAGCTTCTCTTATGTCCTTCTTTGCTCACCAGGTGCTGTCAAACCTGATTTAAACTATGTCCATGCATGCCATTTAGACAGATTGAGAGGAAGGCAAGAATACTGCCCTCCCTTCTCTCTGCCTTTTACAAATTAACCAGAGTGCCCGGTTAACTTTCCTCCTGTCAGTCTTTTCCTTGAGACAAAAGATGTGCATCATTTCCATACTTGGCAGTGTCATTTCTGGAAGCCTTCCCTGTGTTGCCCTTCCTTCCCCCTTCTGGCTTGTTCTGACTTTTTTGTTTGATGTTTTTACGTCACCAGTTTTTACCACAGTGCCCGGCTCGAAAGTCATGTTTTTTCAATTAAAATTTTAATGTTAGATATAAACTCCTGAAGTGCTTTCTGATTTATCAGAGTCCAAATTTAATTTTTATTGAGAATTAAACATAAATTTTTTTCTGGTTTGCTAATGTACACTTAACTGTGTTTCTCTCACTTGACTCGAACAATCTATCACCTGGCCGCAGTAGATGAACCCCGTAATTCAATCTAAGCATTTCTGGAGCTTGCGAGGCATTGCAGTAATAGACATCTGTTCTCCTTTAAGAGAATAAAGTGATATTCCTTTTCATGAGAAGTGCCTCTCATTGTGCTTTCAGGCTTTTCCTGGGTCAGTATGAGGATGAGATTTATCATACATCTGTTGCTCATTTAGCCATGATTCACAGTGGGAGAGAGTTTCATAGAAATCAGGAGAAAGCAGCACATGTACCAGCTCTGGGCCTTCCGTTGGAGACTTAAACTAGTTAATAGATGAAGCCCTAGGGTCATGGTGGAGATGAGCACCTTGAAGGTCCCCCAGCCCAGCCCTCTTTCTTCATCCTGTCTTTGAGAAGAAACTGAGGCTGCTCCAGCATCACCTAATTTAGTCACACATTGGCAGGGTTGGCGTCGGATAGAGACCCTCCTTTTTCTCTTATTCCAGGCTGTCTTGCAGTTTGCTCTCCATCTTGTTTTGTCTCTGTTTTCTTAGTTCCAGCTCTCCCATCTTTTCTGATGCCATGTGCTTGTCTTGACATGGGTTTTGGCACCTTCCTATTTCTTTGTGTTCCCTTTCCTTGCAGGAAAAGAACACTCAGTTGTTAGGCACAGCCCAGCAGTTGTTCAGCCACTGTCAGGCTCAAAAAGAGGAGATCAAGAGACTGTTTCAACAGAAACTTGATGAGGTATGGGTACAGTTGGGTTGGAGTGGGCCCACCTGGGGGTCATTGTATTTGCATATTCATATCACAGGATAGAGACAGGATTGTGACTACATAACATATGCATGTTGGGGGTGTGTCCTGTTTCTGTAAAAGCATAAACTCTTCTCTGCATCTCTGTGATGCACTGTCTGTAAGGAGTCCCTTCCCTTTGCCTCCCCCTCTCAGTTCTTGTGTAGGGCCTGCTGATAGGCTGGCTGGCAGGTTTGGTGTTGGGCTGCCGCTGGTTTGGCTGTGAAGTCATTCTCTTCATATGTAGACCATCAGCTCGTGAAGCTGCTTGTGAGGAAATGAGCCCATCGCCTTGTGTACTTTGTGTGCTACCCCAGGAAGTGGCCAGATGGCCAGAAGTTGCAAAGAGGCAGATTTAGGCTGGATGTCAAGAAGAACTTGCTGACAATTAGAGGCTGTCCAGAAGCAGCAGGATTTTCAGCCTCTGCGGGGTAGTAGGCTCCATATCTTTAGAATCCTTCAGGGAGAGCCGCACATAACACATGGCTCATTCTCGGAGTTGGGCACGTTTTGGCCTACATGACTGAGTTTTATAGCCTTCGTCATTATGTAATTATATACTATATAAATGTATTTTCTTCCAGTTGGGAGTTAAGGCTCTGACCTACAATGATCTGATACAAGCTCAGAAAGAGATCTCTGCTCACAACCAACAGCTAAAAGAACAGACAAAGCAGCTAGAAAATGATAACAGTGAACTCAGGAACCAAAGCTTGCAGCTGGTAAGGACATTCCTGTAACTCAAACGCCTTCCAATCAAGAATTGAAGGGTACCATAATCCCAATTTTGTGTATTTGAGTGAAAACAAAAATTAAGTGAAAATCACATTTCTTTTAAAAATGAATCTTGGGGCAGCTAGGTGGCGCAGTGGATAGAACACCAGCCCTGGAGTCAGGAAGACCTGAGTTCATATCCAGCCTCAGACACTTACTAGCTGTATAACCCTGGGCAAGTCACTTAACCTCAATTGCCTCACCAAAAAAAAAAAAAAAAAAAAGAAGAAGAGAGAGAGAGAATCTTGTTTGAGTTGAGCATTCTTATAAGCTAGAAAACTGGTTAGTATGATTTTTAAAATTAAAGCATGTTTTAGTGATGATTTGTTTTGACATGCCTTTTTTTTTTTGGGCTAACACTCATGTTCAGTATTCTTCACTAAAATTTTTAAAAATTAAAACCATCTGACAGGTCGAATTTTCTTGAAAGAACATGTAACATTTCAGTCATAGTTTGCAGTTTCTTCACAATAAGTGGAAAGTATTTTTTCTAGTCATCTGGACCCAGCATTTGTCACCTGTATTTGATCTGTATTTGTTTATTCATTTACATAATCATAAGTCACTTTGTATATTCTCCTAGTTCTACTTTCACCCAGACTCTGCTTCTGTTTAGAGCAACATGGGAAGACTTTGGAGTTCTCATATTTGCAATTTCTTAGCATAAAGTAAACATTTCATTACATTCTTGAAACATAGCCATTTCCCAGATGATGAGCTCAGATTTTTTTTTTCTTATTGTAAAAAGGGTGTGTTCTTTTTATTCTTTATTTTTCCTCCTTGAGATTGGACTCTAAAGCCGGTAGTGGGATTGATGGATCAACACAATGACGTATCTTTTCTCTCATCATTGGGTGCTGTTTTCTATGAGCTCATGACCTTAACATTAACACCAATACCAACAGTGTAATGTTCCTATTTTCACACAGCACCTCCAACGTTGGTGTCTATGATTCTTTGCATATGGGTGTGTATCAGCTCTGTGGAAGAGTTGTGATGATGTGTGTCCTCCTAGGCCTTAAGCTGTCAGTTCTTTTTTTAAATTCTCCTGTCTCTGTGTCCATCCTGTGATAATAGCCGTATTTTATTCAAGGGCTGATCATTTAGAGATGGCCGCAATTTCTTGCCACTTCTTTGATTGTATTATTACCTGCACAAGACACACAACTGTGAAAGAATAAGAGGAAAGTAAAACGGGCCAGAGGTCCCCCCCCCATTGGTAAAGATGACAGTCATCAATGTGGGTGGGGCTATAGAAAGATAAGCCCCCTATTCCAGTATTGTTGGAACTATTCTACTAGTCTGTTAATTAATTCTATAATGAAGCCATTCCACCACCTTATTTTTCCTTAATGAGCCTGTGCTGCCTGATAGTCTTCACTGCTTCCCTTTCTCTGAGTACTTGCCAACTGTCCCTTTAAGAATGTGTTTCATAATGACTCACAGTTAGGACACTTGACTGTGTACCCAGGTCTTGGGAAATACATATCTTTTGTGTTCTTCACTTTTTTCTTATATCCTGATTGTAACTTAGCAGCCACATCCATAAGCCATATCTAGATAATGACTTGAATTCATTGTAGGCAACTATGTTTTCTTCCTGAAGTCTCTCAGTGCCTATTTTAGTTTCATTTTAGCCACATGTCCTTTTGTACTTAATAGTTTTTCTCTGTGTTGTAGGGGGATAAATAGTATTGGTTATCAGCAAGATAAATCTTTATTTCTTTGGAAAAAACCTTGGAATTTGTTGGTATTTTCCACTTTATTATGGTATATGTTCACATTTTAGAGAGAAGACAAGTACAAGGGAATTTTGTTGTGTTCTTACTAATCCTTCCCTGACTTTTCCCTCTAGCTTAAGGCTCGGTGTGAAGAGCTCAAGCTGGATTGGTCTACTCTCTCACTGGAAAATTTGCTGAAGGAGAAGCAGGCACTGAAGAATCAAATTTCTGAGAAGCAAAAGCACTGTCTGGAACTTCAGGTAGGCACTTGTGGCCAGGGTGAGAGTGTAGCCACATCACGTGGTGTTAATTGGCAGGAACCTTCCTCATTATCTAGTCCGTCCAGCCACCTCACGGGAGGAGATGGAAGTCTGAAGGGTGTGAGGGATTTCCCCAGGATCGCAGAAGTGGTGTGAGTACCAGAACCAGGATTCGTGGCCATGTGAAGTTTTTTTTTTTAACCCAACAATAGTTTTAAACTTGAGAAAGACATGTAACACAGGACGAAGTGACAGTATGTGTGTGTGCAGCGTGGAGTGATCAGGACAGCTAACCTTCACATAGAAGTGTTTTTCCTTGAATACTGAGTGTTGGGTAGCTCAGTGTGGTATCGCTAGAGTCCCGTCATTCTTAAGTATCATTTGACTGTCAAACAGTTAAGAAACTGGGTAGTTAATTACCTGATCATAAGCAGTATTTGGAGTGCGTATGGGTGACAAGAGAAATTGATCTCTTGATTTGTGGTTGCCCTGGCATTGTGTACATTCGATGACTCTAAGAAGATTACTTCTCTCCAGCCAGCCGTCCCAGGTCTGAAGCATATACCGCATGTGCAGAGTTCTTAACACACTGCTGGTTTTACTTTATGGCACAATAATTCTGAAATATCACTAGTGTTGATAACTGTCTCATTTATTATGGGACCATGTTTAGCTTCTTGGCCCTATTTGCAGATTCAGATTTTCTTTCTGGCAGGAAAGGCAGGAAAGTTATACATCTTTAGGCACCTTTGCATTCTGAAAGTCACTCTTCTAATCTGATTCACCGGCTTCTCCTCATTGTTCTGACATTGGGCAGTGGGCGAGATCCACTACGTTGGTCAGCCGGGCTTCCTGGCATTTTGTGCTGTGGGAGTGCTGATAAAGCTCCTCAGGGAGTTTGAACGTACAGCTCAATAAATGGTAGTGGCATGGAATGTGATGTGAGTTCTTTGGCTTGGCTTCAGTTGGCTTTAATGTGGTTAGAAGTTTAGACCTTTTTTAGTGATCGTGTTATAAAACATGCTTTTGAGACATGCAAATTCTGTTTAATAATGAACCTGGAAGACTTGTCGTGACTCTGCTTCTGCTCTAAAGGTAGCTGGAGCATAATGGACAGAGTGTTGTACTCGCTGACAGGAAGAAGACCCAAGTTTTGAATCCCATGTCATTCACTTAGCTAGCTTATCTGACCCTGGGCAAATGAATAAGCTTTCTCATCCTCAGACTTCCCTCTGTGTAAAAGAGGGATTGTTATTCTAATAGCTAGCTCATTGGGCTCTTGGGAGGATGAAATGAGATAAGATCTATAGAAGGAGCATTTCAAACTTTAGAACGCTATAGAAAAACAAACCATTTGGGGCAGCTGGGTGGCGCAGTGGACAGAGCGCTGGCCCTGGAGTCAGGAGGACCTGAGTTCAAATCCGGCCTCAGACATATAACACTCACTAGCTGTGTGACCCTGGGCAAGTCATGTAACCCCATTGCCTAGCAAAAAACCCCCAAAAAACAACAGAACCGTTAGTAGCCCCTTGATATCTTCATATCTTCTTAGCCTCAGTTTTCTCATTTGTCAAGGGGGGAATACTAGTATAACTTAGCTCAAAGTCATTGTCAGGAAAGCACTTTATAAAACTGTTTAATTATCTAAAATTTTCAATGGGCTTATTGTTTTGCTTTTAATTGTATTCATTTTTGTTATTGGTCATTTCAAGATTGAGATAAGCAAACATTTATAATAATGAATGAAACTTACTTGACTTGAAGGAAACGGGATATTTTCACGGCAAACATGTTTTTCGAACTGTAATGTCATTTTCTAGCGTCCACGTGCCTTTTGTCTCATGTTAGGGCAGTGGTCTGTATTTAGCCCTCTGCTTTCTGCGCAGTGGATCAAAGCCTCTTTTATTTCAGGCCCTTGACAAGATAACTTTGCTTCAGAAGCTGCTACGGGGAAATGTCTCGGGGGAGGCCTGGAAGGGGGGGAACCTGGTCTTCTGGGCGCCGCCTTTCATTGTGTGTCCCTTGATCCTCTTTGTTGTAAAGATCAGCATTGTGGAGCTTGAGAAGAGCCAAAGGCAGCAGGAACTACTGCAGCTGAAATCCTCCGCGCCGGCTGATGAGGCCCTGTCCGTCCACCTGCGAAGCAAAAGCAGCTTCAGCCGAGAGCTGGAGGCTGACCCTGCCAGGTTCCAGCTGGACTTGGAGTGCTCCAAGTTGTCCTTGCCCCACCTCAATAGCATGAGCCCCGAACTCTCTATGAATGGCCATGCGACCACCTATGAGATCCATAGTATGCTTAGCCGACCTTCTTCCAAACAAAACACTCCACAGTATCTGACCTCCCACCTGGACCAAGAAATAGTTCCTTGCACCCCCATTCATAACAACAGACAGAAGGCAGACAAGCTGTCGAGTTTGTCCTTACCTGATTACACCAGGTATTCCCCTGCTAAGTTAGCCCTAAGGAGACACTTGAATCAGGATCATGTAGTCCATGGAAAAGCTACAGCTAATGAAATACACCACAGGTGAGCAAAAATGTGTGTTTTGGGATGTCAGGGAGAGAACGGAAGAGGGGAAAGAAAGTAATGGTGGTTTAGTCTCCCTTGTATGCGTTTGTGCCTAGAGAATTCAAGAGTTAAGCTTACCATTCTTACCAAAGAACTTTGGATCCTCTGAATCCTTTGGTAGCCAGCACCCCGCTTCCCTTACACACCTACTGGGGATACTAAGATCAAACAGCCCCTGACCTCAGGGGGTTTATGTTCTACTGGGGTGAAGTATAACCCACTTTGCCGAGGGAAATTGACAAGTCATTAACAAAGCAGTATCTAGGGAGGGAGGGGGCTAAGGATCGGCCTCATGTGAGAGGGCGCACGTGAACCAGACGTGAACTTGGTGCCTCTTTGTTCCAGAGCTGAACATGCAAAAGAGAATGGCCTGACATATCAAAGTCCTGGTATGTCAAATGGCCTAAAGCTGAGCCCTCAGGAAACTCGGCCTTCCTCTCCCTCGGCCTTACAGATTGCAGGAGAGAAGAGCAGTGACAAGGTGAGGATTTTTGAAAGGGTGAATTTATGTCATCTCAGGATAGGTCATGGCTTCTAACAGAATGTTCTCCATTGCTGAGGCTAGGGTTCCATTTTGCTGGAGGAAGAGTGCCCTTTGCTGCTGAGTGCCTGCCTGTCTGGTTAGCTTCATTTCCAATAAAATTTTTGTTTAACGTTTGTTTTTATATCACCTGCATTTTGATCCCTTATAAAAAAATCAGAAAAGAGGGGGAGATAAGCTAACCCACACAACCAGCGCATCTCACGTTTTGTGTGTTGTTTGCACTCAGACCCCAAACCCTGCTCCAGAGGGGCAGGAGGTGCCTTTTCATATCTCTTTTTAGGGCCCAGCTTCGTCACTGATCATTTTGCATCTTCAGTTGTGCTGATTTTGTTCTTGTTTTTTCCATTCAGCTTGTTGTAGTCATCATGTGTATTGTCCTCCTGATTCTGTTTACTTCTTCGCATCCATCCGCATTAGTCTAGCTGTGCATCTTGTGTATTCTTCATGTTCGGCTCTTGTGGTGCAGTGATGCATGTCACTGTTTGTCTCCATTTCTTTGCTTCTCTGCAGGGATGTGTCTAGCAGTTTAATTTAGCATTATCCCAACATTTTTTCCATAATAGTTGGACCTAATGACAACTCTACCAGTAGCATGTTAGTGTGCCCATCTTTCCACAGCCCCTCTGACATTGATTATCCATACCTTCTGTCATCTCTGCTGACTTGCTGGGAATGAAGTGAAACCTCAGACCTGTTTTGATTTGCATTTCTATTGGTAGTGATTTGGAGCTTTCTGTCATAATTGGAATTCTTTTGAGAATGTTTTGTTCATAGCTTTTTACTATTTGTGGGGGAATGGCCTTTTGTTTTATATATATGTGTTGTTGATATATCATAGGTTGTAGATCCTTCTCAGAGAGACAAATTCTGAATTGTGGTATATGGAAGATGTTGGTCTAAACCTAATTTATTCCAGATTGTTTTCTAGATTTCTTAGCATTTCTTGTCAAATAGAGAGTTCTTTCCCAGGCAGTTTTGTTTTCAGGCTTATTGTTCACTGAGTTATTATTATTCAGCTTTTGGAGTCTTCCTTATGTGGTCTGTTCTACTATATTTTTATATATTTTAAAATTAGGTCCTAATGGGGAAATCTACAAAGAAAAAAATTGAGGAGCTTAATAGCTTCAAGCAAAGTATTAGGATGTGAAATAAACTCACAAGCATTGACAATACTTCTATTTAGTGAATAAGGAGAGAAAAATAAAAAAGGAAATTCAGTTCAGAATAGCTACAGAATGCATAAAACATCTTGGAGTCAGACTAGCAAAGCACACTCATTCTATATAAATGCAGTTATAACATGTTCCTTAAAGAAATAAATATCAAATTAAGTAATTGGAGGAGTATTGATTCATTGCTCGTGGCTATCCAGTGCCAATGCAACGAAACTAACAATATCACCTAAATTAACTTAAGACTTGGTACTTTAGTAATCAGAGTGCCTAGAGCAGTGGTTCTCAAACTTTTGGGTCTCAGGAGCCCTGTACATGCTCTCTTCAAACAACTCTGACTTATGTGGATCATCTCTATCAATATTTACTGTATAGAAATGAAAGCATCTTATTATGACAATAGTTTTGACCTCACTGACCCACCCTTGTAAGTCTCCTGACCACAAGTTTCAGAACTGCTGGCCTAGAGAATATTTTACAGATCTCAGCAAAACTCTTTTGAAGGAGCAAAAATGGGAAAGGAAATAATAAAAAGTAGGAATGAAGGTGGAATAAAGTGTGGCTGCAGATCCCACACCTTCTGTAATGTGTAGGCCTGGGTTTTAGTATGTTAGGACTCAGTTTTATTCTCTTAGAGACTTTGCTTTACTGTATTTAAAAAATCATTCTGTGTTACAGGTTTTAAAAGAGCGAGCCTATGCCAGCAATGGAGAAACAATCACCAGCCTCCCTATCAGTATTCCTCTGAGCACAGTGCAGCCCAATAAACTTCCCGTCAGTATCCCATTGGCCAGTGTAGTGTTGCCTAGCCGCGCGGAGAAAGTGGTGAGTAGAAGCATTGGTGCTTCATACCCAGGCTCTCCTGCTTTCTCCTCCCGGGGATTCTCTTCGGTGTCTCTTTACGAGGGCAGATTGCTCGTGTTGGCTGTGGAGTACAACACAGTCTCTCTGTCTACCTTTTACTCATTTCCTTTCTTTCTCTTTCAACTCCTCACTGCTTCAGTCTACCCAACTCTGCCTTGTCCTTCTCTAGCCCACTGAGAGGCATGCAACTTGAATTAATCTGAGACTGTGGCATTGATGACTCAGAATTATTGCGTAGAGAGCTTCATTTCAGGGGAAAGTTGGGTTTCCATATTATAGAAATATTATTTCCCCTTTTGTGGGGAGGGTGGTATTGGGAGGGAACACTGAAGTGAAATGTTGTTTTGGGCAAAGTTTAAACCCTTGACTTCCACGTAGCAGTTATTCCAGCTTGGTGCTAGGCCTGACTCATGCGTACTGCTCAGTTCTGTGTCGTCAAACTGTTATTCTTTAGGATGGGTTATTTTAACATTTTTTGGTAATTGCAAATAGATGTTTGATAGTATATGTTATTTGTCTTCAATTACAAGGTGTATTCATTTCCTCTGCAGAGGAACACACCTAGTCCAGTTCATCAGAATCGAGAATCTACTTCAGCAACACTTGAAAAACAGTTTGGTGCTAATTCCCATAATGGTATGAACAGTGCTGTAGGAAACAAGTCCCTTGCTTTGGCTACCTCAGGTATGGTCATTCTACCCCGGGACACCTCAGCTTCACTATTGTCGCTGAGCCCAAGCCTAAGCTGGGGCTTTACTTCTGAATTGCTGTCCTGTGGTTTTAGTAAATCTTTGGATTTGGTTCTGGGGTAGAATTAGTGTTGTCTACCACCTTGGCATTTGGGCTTTTTGTATTTTGTGCTAGGAGGCAATACACTTTAATATCTTGTTTTCTAAGTGGGTGGAATATTTCTGTCAACCTGTTAGAGTCATCAGTGTTTCTTTTGCATGCTCTTTATACTCCACCTGCTGGAATTTCTGTTTCATGGTGAAGAAAACCCGTTCTCAATCCCCTCCTCTTCGTCTATTATTACCTCGGCCTGGCTCCTGTATCCCTGACTGGTTTCTCCAGTACTGGCTCTGTGGGTGTGGGTGTGTGTGCGTGTGCGTGCGCGTGCGTGTGTACCTGTCTGTTCATCTGTCTGTCACATGTGCTTGCACGTACTCTCTCTCCCTGTACGCCTTTCCCCTTCCCCCCCCTCCCCCTTTCGCTCTTCCCTCAATCCTGGCATTCCCAGCCCCAGTCCTGGACTTGAATTTCTGTTCTCCTTGCAGGCTCCAACTGTGCATTCAGCGACCTTTCTTTTGATGACTGCCCAGTCCAGATTTTCGTGATTGTTGTACATCTGTCCCTCCATGCCCGTGTCATCATTCTGTGTCCATCTCGTGGCATTCAGTTCCTGCTTCCTGACCCCACTGCTCCTCACTAATTCCTTTCCTTATTCTAGGGGAATTGAGTATTTCCGTCCGTTGTTTGTCACCTCCTTGTTCCTCACCTCAAATTCCAAGACCTTCATTCCACTCTAACCATACCTGGGGCAGTCACATATTAGATCTTGTCATTACTCACAAGATGTTCAGCTTCCCTAATTAGAAGCTCTGCCGTCCTCTTTGACTGTGATTTCTTTTCCCTCCACGTCTTCCCTTGCGTCACTCTCTGTAAACCTATTTCTGACCCTCATTGAGACCTCCATGACTGTTGCTTTCTTTCCAGGCTCGACCCGCCAGTCAGCCATTGCACCGGGGTCCTTTCCTGTGCTCTAGACTTTCTTGCTCCCTGGTCTTGTTGACACCTTCTCTTGCTAAACCCCAGCCCTACGTCACTCCCTTCTTTCCCTTCCCCCACCGTTCCTGCTTACCAGCTGCTAGAGGAAGGCTCACCGCCTTGCTGACAAATTCAGTTTATTCAGCCTCAGTAGCAAGGTTAGCCCTTTTACTCCTCCCTAATCTTGTTCCCTGCTGAAGCTATTCTAAACCTTTTCTTGCCTTCTACACCCATTGCCCTGTCTGTAGGGATGAGTCCAGACTTCTGTATCTCTTTTTTGTCTCTTTCCCAAGTTCCCTTCCCATGTCACTCAGTGCCTGTTGGACACTTCCAGTGGACCTCACCAGTTCTAGAACTAAACTGGCCTTAGTCCCTAACCCCCTCTCATCTAGACAGAGCTGGTGCTGTGAGAGGTGCTGCCTTCCTTCTCGTTTCCCAGGCTCGTCCCCTCTGTCTTTGGCTGGGACTCTCCACAGGTACCCAGCACTCCATCTTCTGTCTCTGTGCCCTTGCCCTGATCGTCCCTGAGCCCTGGAATGAATCTCGAGCACTGACTTCTTCAGGAAGCCTTTGCTGGTCCCTTCCAACTAACTGTTCGTTCCTCCCTCTTAGACTATTGAATTGTTTGATATACATGTGTTTAACTTCATGTTGTGTTTATCTTACGTGTACTTATAGTCTCCCACGTTTCAGTATAATTTTGTTGTGAATCAAGCTTGTTTGTCCTTGTATAGTCAGCACTGATAATATCCCTGGTACACAGTAGGTCCTTCATATTAATGATAAAAATGCCAGCCTTACTGACAGCTGTATATCTATCATTCATTATTAACTTTTTGTCATAAGAGCAGGCCATAAGATTTAAAACCTGGAAAGCCTTCTCTTTCATGGCTAATGAGACTGAGACTGAGACTTAGAAAGGTTTGCCTGAAGTGAGGAAAGTAGGTGCTTGACCCTGACTCAGGCGATGGCTCTGGTCCCTCCTATGTGGCCCATGGACCAGTCTTTTCAGCTCCTTGCACTCATTCCCCTACCTGGAGTCTCCTGGGCCTCAGCTCTGTGGCTTCTGAGGTTGATGGCCTTCACGTCACTATGGAAACCCGTACAGTGCAGGATCATAGCAGAGCCACAGTGTTGGGGGCAGAAGTCCCTCCTCTGCAGGGGAAGACTCTTTCTTCTCCTAGAGCTCTGATTCCACGCACGTTCTCATAGCCCCAAATGGAAGGTATATGGGTTTTGAAATTGTAATCACAATGGACTGTTCACTTCTTATTTCCTATCGTGCTTTCACCTGGCTTCCGTAGCAGATCTGAGAGTTCGATCTGGAGCCCAATGAATGGGGAAGCTCTTCTTGGCTGAGTTAGAATGGCATTGAAATGTGTCTGAGAACCTAGGATGGTGGTGTTGTAAACTTCAGTGACATAACTGAAAGGACAGCTGTGACCCTTAGTAATATCGGCCTTCACCCTCATTGAAGCAAAGCCACTCATTTGTCATTGATAGGAACTTGTTCTTATATAACGCTTCTTTGCCCTTCCTGCAGTTGTCTCAGAGATTCCTTTGCCAGAGTAGCAATGTGTCAACTCCTTAAAAATACTTGGGACAGAATCGGTCACTGATTCTACAGAAACGTGACATTAGGCCAAGTATATTGTTACAGGGGCTTTTTGTTCATAGAGCAGGGGTGGCGACCCTGCAGCCTCGAAGCCACACGTGGCCTTCTAGGTCCTTGGGTACAGCCTTTTGATCAAGGCCAACTCTTCTACAACTTGATCTTACAGAGTTTGCTAGACAGAGAATTACTTCCCCAAGGTCATTTAGCTGTTATGTGTCAGAGACTCTGGGATCACTCACTTTACACACCCAGGTCACAGGTTTGTAGACCCAGAACTGGGTAGGACCTCAGAAGGCCCTGGAGGCCAGATGATGATGTGGAGACAGTCGTGTAACTTGAATACGAGGGCTTGGGTTCAAATCCTGCTTCTGGTGCTAACTACTGATGTGACTTCCTAGGCCTCAGTTTTCTCATGTGTATTTGTTTCTGAGTTCATGCAGGTGACTTAAATTCTGGGCCTTAGCTACCTTTGTGTAAAGTGCACACTTATCTCTCTAAGGGTTTTTTTTTTTGTGACATCGGCCTCTTTGGCTGTCTGGTTAAGCCTGTGGACTCCTGAATGTTTCTAAATACACAAAAGATGCAGGGATATAATAGAGACCAATTAGATTGAAATATTTATCAGGGCATTTTTTTTTAAAGTTCTGGATGCCATTCTAAGAACCCTTCTTCAAATCTACATCTAAGTTCTATGATAATATATTTAACAGGTGGATGAAATGCTAAAAGCGAGGCTTTATGATTTTTGTCTGTGACTTTGGGTATAATATATGTATTTCAAAATGGTGTGCAAAATTTTGTGGGATATTGCCATAATAACCCATGTCTCCAACAGGTTTTTCTTATAGTGGCTCCTTGGCAGTCAATGGAACGCTTTCCAGTAGCCCAGCCCATCTTAACCATGGTGCTGAGCAGGCAGCCCTAGACGATTCCTCCAATTCAGGGAGCCTCTTTAATTCAGTGGGTTCACGGAGTTCTACGCCACAGCATCCTTCTTTACTCATGATGCAGTCCCGGAACTCCGGCCAGAACTCTCCAACCCACCCACTTGCTGCCAGCCCGCGCCTCAATGGAGCTTCTCAAAGCATGATGGGGATTTTGCAGTACTCGGATACTACAAAATTGTTCTCTGAAGGTAACAATGGGGATCTTCCACTAGATTCAGGCTTTTCAGATCCTGAAAATGAAGTCAAGAGAAGAATCCTCTTTACAATCTCGACCAATACAGGGAACCTGAAGCAGTCTCCTTCCAACAAACACAGTCCTCTGACAGCTAGCATCCGCACAGACTGTGGACAGGCTTGTGTGCAGGAGGGCAAGAAGAGGGGCAGAAGGAAGCGGTCTTCCACAGGGAACCCCAGTGTGAACTCTGCGGTATCTCCCAAGCGCAAGCCCCTACCGTCGGTGGCAGGCCTCTTCACCCAGTCTTCAGGCTCACCCCTCAACATCAACTCTATGGTAAGAAAAAGAGACTTTGTTTGTGGATTCCTCTGTGTTGGAGGAAGGGATATGGTGCTTGACACATGGATTTTAAGGGCTGAGGGCTACCTCAGATCCTCTCCTAGACCATATAGCCAAGAACATTAACCCATTGAAAACAAGTCAGGGGCTGCCTTTCCCCTAGTCTGGTAGCTGTAGAGTTGCAAAGCTATTTCCCCAGACTCTGACTCTGACCTTTTGATCTTGGTGTTAGTATGTATGTTGTTTCTATTGTCAGAAAGATAACTTTGGGGTAACTGTGAGTTTCACCATCCGTATTGCTGCTGTGGATACAATCAGTGTCTAATTTCAGAGTGTTGAAAAACTTCCTAGAGCAGCTTAACATTGATAGTAAGTTGTGGTGAAATGGTAGCAACAAACACATAAGCTTGAGAATGTTTCTGCAACCAGAAATGTGTTTTGTTTACTTGTCACCAATGGGTGTGTTGTAGGAAAAAGGGCCCAGGATGTGCATTGAACCCTGGACATTCCAAGTGGACCAAACTGCAGGATATGGACTGTGTCAGGAACTCAGAATTCTGTCAGTCATGTCCGTTGTGGTACCAGTGGCCTTGGCTTTTCTTCAGAATAGTCATTTTAGAGCTGATGGGGACCTCTCACGCCACAAGGGATTGACAACCTTGCTTGTGCTGTAACCTTATTTAGCACCTAAAGGTCAATCATTTATGCATTCCTGTTAATAAAATGGTTCTGTAAGGAACTTGTCTCAGGTCATTTTGTCTTATCCTTTCGTTTTTCAGGTGTGTCATTTGAGGCCTTGAGAGATTAAGTGATTTACTGAGAGTCAGATTGTTCGTGTCAGTGCTGGGATTCCATCCTCCTTCTCCAGTCTTAAAATAAAGCGCTCTCTCTGCTGTTATGTTACTTCTTTTTTTTACCCACCTTTAATCTCAGCACTTTGCTGAAATTATCTACTCTAGGCCTGTAGGTTTGTAGTGAGAGGAGTTTGAAGGTGATTTTTCAGAGGTGACATTAGAATGTAATTTGAAAATCATGTTTTGGTGACATGATCTGCTTGAAGAATACATTTAATTGGGTTTTTGTGGTGTGTGTTTTGTTTTTGATCCCTAGGTCAATAACATTAATCAGCCTTTAGAAATAACAGCCATTTCCTCCCCTGAAAACTCCCTGAAGAACTCTCCTATTCCTTACCAGGACAACGACCAGCCTCCTGTGCTGAAAAAGGAGAAGCCCCTGATCCAGACGAATGGGGCGCACTACTCACCCCTGACCTCGGATGAAGAGCAGGGATCCGAAGACGAGCACAACAGCATCAGGTGAGGCGAGAACGCGGCGCCAGTTTCACGTGGGTCTTCTGTTTGTGGGACTGATTGCCCGGGCCTTATTTTTCAAGGGAGTTCTCAGTATGTGAAGCTTGACTTCTCTCCCACAAGGGGAGAATGCCCCGCTAGGGGATCACGTGAGATTCCCAGGATAGACTGCTCACATGTTCTGCTTGAGCTTCTTTTTCTCTTGAGATTTATTTTCTTTTGGTGCTGTAAGAAAAGCACAGTGGCCAGAAATTATGGAGAGACGTGATACATCTTTTGAGAGATACAAATACATATAATCAGACGAGCATTTTTAAGGCCCTTCCATGTGCACTTTAATAATTAATGCTGATACTTACTAGCTATGTGATCAAAGTTACCTTGGTTTCCTAATTTTTGAAGTGAGGTGGTGGTGATCAAAATGCACCACCTAAATCACAGAGTTGTTTGGGGTCTTTTTAAAAAAGACCTTTATAGAGTTCAAATCCAGCCTCAGACACATAACAATTATTAACTGTGAGACCCTGGGCAAGTCACTTAACCCCAATTACCTCAACAATGGCAAGAAGAAGTCCTTTATAAACCGTAAGATTTTAGATAAATGTGAGTTATTAACACTTGTTGCAACTGCCCCCTCCAGTGATCCATCTCTTCAGTGCTTTAGTCTTTGAGTTACCATGAACAACAACGAAATAGCCTGTTGGTTAACACTTTGGGGTGAACCTTTCTGTAGGTGCACTTGGTGGAACCATTGCTTTAGTGAGCTATCTGAGTAATATCGAGCTTTACTATTCCAAAAAGAAGTCCAGTGCCTATAATGTACCAAGGACTCTTGTGGGGGATAGTTTGGGAGTCATTGATTTAGAGGACCAAAATTATATATGCTTCCTCTAATCCTCAATAGCCCATTTAAAATTGGGAATTACAGAATGTCTGAAGGGTTTGTGTGGGCCAACCTCTCATTTAACTGAAGCTCTGAGAGGTTATAAGGGAACAGTGGGATGTGAATTTACTTGAAATAAGCCATAATTTTTATAGAATTTCCAATCTGTAACAGCAGAGCTCAGATATATGCTTCTATACCAGGTTGACTCAGGATGTCTGACCTTTACCAAATGAAAGTATATGGATTTGGTTTCACCATTGTTAATTAGTTCTCTGACAGTTGAGTGTTCAATTTTATACCATATGCACATGTTTCATTGCTCTCTTTTGTTGTGTTTTTAATTCTGTTATTTTTAAGAATGGATGTTACTCCAAGGAAACGTGCAAAATTTGTAGCTCTTACAGAGCACGCTTCAGTGACTGTTAGAGATATTTCAGCGTCTTCTGGTGTGGGGAAGTCAAGGATCATTCAAGTGCATGGTGAAACGGCATCGATCACAATGAAGCACAAAGGAAAGTGGGGGCATACACGTAACATGGCACCAAGAACTTCCCGCAAGACAGCCTAATGAAACTACAGAAACTAAGCATAGACTAGCAGGGGCGCCAGGTGGCAAAGGGGCTGGTAGCACTTCCTCTGCAGTGTGAGGTTAGCTTCTTGAAGCTGGAAGATGAGTGAGAAGACCAAAAAAAAACCCTAGCTATTTACCATTCTCACCAAGAAGCAATATTGTCATGGCCAAGATAGTACAAAAAATAGTACATGAAGTAGAGTCCTAAAGGCTAGAAAAGTAGTTTTTATTGATGAATGAAGCTCCGTTTTTCATTCGAGGTTATATCAAAATCATTGTAAGAAGTCCAGGCCAGCCATTCCAGTCCGGACACCTCAATAATATTGTAAATCATCCGCCTCGCAAAACAATGTTTTGGGGATTTTTTCTTTCTTTCTTTCTTTTTTTTTTTTTTTACTTACAATGGGCCTAGAGGTCTTTTCCCCTTTGAGGGGATGGAAATCTCTGATAACAATGATAGGACTAAAATTCCTGAAAAAGACATAATTCAGTAACACCTTGTAAGACCATGCTACATGTCATAACGCTTTAAGGAGGTTTGTCCAAGAAATATATGTGACTGTGCCCTAAAAATAAATAGATAGATGTGACTGTGTCCTAGAAAACAGCTTGATATCACCACATCAAAAACATATAGCCAGTCTGGAAATTATTTTGGAAGTGTGCACTAAAAGCAGCTAAACTGCGGCCCAGTGACACCTCTTTATAGGCCTGCGCTGCAGAGAGAGCAAAGAGCGAGGAAAGGGACCCTTTCTTGTAGTTACAAGGAGCTAAACCAGAAAAGGGCTTTTATTTGGAAAGGGGCTGAATGAATTGTTACATAGAAGTGATGGGCTATTACTGCAACACCAAAAATGACAGCAGATGGTATCAGAGAAAGCTGAGAAGACTTGTATGAATTGATGCGGACTGGAATCAGCAGAAACAGAACAAGTTACACAATGACAACAGTATCATCAAATGACAAACACCTTTGAAAGACTTAAGAACTCTCATTAGCTCCGCGAACACCCATAACTCCAGAGAACCGTTCTTGAAACGTGCTGCTCACCTCCTGAGAGGCAACAGATTCAGGGTGCATGATGAGTCTTACTTTTGGACGTGGCCCGTGTTTAATTTGTTTTGCTTTAGTATGCATGGTGGTTTTGCATTTTTCCCCAGTAGTTTAGGGTGGGATGGAGAGACTTATTTTTTTGTTCATTTAAAAACATACACAAACGTATATATGTATACGCACGTGTGTGAGAGAGAGAGCGAGAGCGCAAGACATGCGTTTTTGGACATGGCTGGTGACTATGCATATCTGTTACAAGGTTTTGTCTCTCCGTACGTTCCACTAACTCCGTGGTGGGGTGGGGGAAAGGAGAGAACATAAATGCTTGTTAGTTGAATGGAAAAAAAAAAGTAAAATAAAAGTGACATTTAAAAAAACTTCTTGTGAACTCATTTCCAAATTGTGTAAAATAAGATTGTAACAGAGAGGATATGTTGCCTATTAAGATTTTTATGTGAAATGCTGTATAGTTAATTCTGTTAAGTCAATAAATTTTAATATTTTTAACTTTGTTCCTGTCATTTTCAACACCACAGTATTAGGTGGAAGACCTAGACTCAGGTTGTTATTTGCGTCCCTTGGTTCCAAGTTTGGTGTACGTTTTACTGTGTCATCCACTGTGTCCTAAAGTGTTTAGTTTCTAGGGAGGCGAGCCCCGAACTCATTTCTTTGAATTTGCTGTCTGTAAAACTGAGGGGATTTGTTCACAAGCTGTTCAGTAACATCAAAGGCTTATTGGTTTTATTTTTAATTAATACTTGTGATAAACCCCATGTAGAGGTGGGAAGGCTAGTAGCCAGAGGCTACTCATTTTCATCCTCAAAATTGGATTAACTTTCGTAGGCATCTTACAGTATCCCTTTAGACTTTGTCTAAAATTCAACTGGTTGTAACAGTTAATGTAAAGATCCTTTACTTCTTGCCTCGCTTTTTTAAAAATACATTTTTATTGATCTGTTTATCAGCAGAACTTTACTATCATTTCCCCCTTTCCTTCCAGAAAGCCATCTCAATATAACAAATACAGAGGGAATGATCTGCAGAGTCAGTTACTTTGAAAAAGTATGAAAACATGCGACATACCACACCTGTGGGCCACTTGTGTCTGCCAAGGAGTGGGATTCTTCTTGTAGGTCTTTTTTCAAACCGCGCTAATTCTTTGTAATTTTGCAGCGTTTGTAAAATTGGGTGGTTGCAGATCACCATACCTGTTTAGCCATTCCCTAATCCATGGGCGTCTGGTTTGTTTCTTTGCTACCACAGAAAGCGTTGCTTAAATATTTTGGTGTATGTGGTGACTTAACAGTGACCTCCTTTGGATGGAAGAACACAAAAGAAGTAAAAAAAATTCCACCAAAAGTACAAAATACCCAAACTTAACAAGACCATATCCCATCTCAAAATAAGGAAGTAGAACCAATTCTAAAGAATCTAAACAAAGAAACTCAGAATCACAGGAGAATTTTATTTAAAAAAAAAAGTGCCATACTACACGACTTTGAGAAAGGACTCCACCACACTACTTTCAGGAGAGAAATACAGTCTTGATATCTTAACCAAGGAAGAACTTTACACTCTTTTTAGAACAGAGTTGTTAAAACACATGGCCCATACACCTGGAACCAGGTTCAAATAAAATTGAGAAATGCTTTTGGACATGTTAATTAATATGTGTGGTTTTCAATATTTGGCCCACAGAGATCCTTAACATATACATTTTAGTGGCTAAGTGGCACCATAGTCTTCCAGAGCCCAGGCCCAGAGCTCTGTGTACTATGTTCCCTGCTTCAGACACTCACCGGCTGCATGACCCTAATCAAATCCCTTCACCTCTGTCTGCCTTGGTTTCCTCTGCTGTAAAATGGGGCTAATAAGAGCATCTTCCTCTGAGCACGATCCTTGTCGCGAGAATCCATTGAAATAATATTTGTAAAGCATGCTTAGCGCAAGGCCTCCCGCAGAGTGTCAGTGCCTGACCATATATAAATGCCACTGCTAATGGCACATTTTTTATTTGAGCTTGACACCACTGTTTTAGAAAATTATCATGAATATTGATTCAAAAAATTTAAATAATCTCATCAGAGGTACACAGCATCCCACTCAACATCATTTGACCAAGTCAAATTTATTACAGAAATGGTTTAGCTTTAGGAAAACCATCAAAATAATCATATTGAAAATGAGTCCAGTACCACATGATCATCCCCAATTAACGCACAAAACGCCATTTATAAACTGTTCGTTTATGCCAAAACCCTATGAAGTGTGTGCATAATGGAGGGACCTTTAAAACAAATGTAAGGTATCTAAAACCAAAAGCAGCCAACTGATGGGAATAAAGCCAGGAGGCCCCTTCTTGCTGTTTGATATAGTTTTAGAATGCTAGCAATAGTAATACCAGAAAAGGAAATTAAAAGGCATTAAGCTAGGCAGCTGAAGCTGTTCAGATAATAGTTTATGTGGAAAACTAGGAAATTAGCACAGATATAACTCTATAAGACTATAACTTCAGCCCAGTTACTGGCTACACAATAAACTCAAAAAATAGCATTTCTGTGCAATAGTAACAAAATCTAAGTTATAGAAATGGAAAATTATTTAAAATAAGGCAATCAAAAAACAAAAGCACACAAAATACTTGGATATAATAACAAAATGTTCCTTTTTTAAAAAAAAATGAATATTCAGTGCTCATGGCCGAGCTAGGCTGCTAATTAAAAATGACAGTCCTAGCTAAGAAAATCAGCGTTTTATTGTTAGGCCAAACTCTCCAGGGCACACGTGATGAAATGATGGCAGAATTTATATCTAGAAACAAAAGATCTGGAATATCTAATGAGAAAAGATAGGGATGAAGGGGTACAGTACTTCTACCTTAATCTAGATTATAAATCAGCCATCAAACTATTTTGTATTGTTTAAAAATCAGTGGAGCACACACCAATCTAAGGATTAAGAAACAGTGGAATTCAGTTCAACTGTCTGTCCTTAGAGGGGGGAAAATCCCTGTTTGATGAAAGCTGCAGGGAAATCTAGGAAGCATTGTAGCAGAACATAATCTTAGATCAACATTTTACGCTGTTTTCTGCAATAGATTCAAAATATTAGATATGGAATCTTAATATTAAAGATAATACCGTTGAACATTGAGAATCCGATCATGTACCTTTCACTGTTATTGGCAGGAATCATTCTTAACAAGGAATAGAGACAGTTGCAAGAGATAAAACTGGCAACTTTGATTACATGAAACTGAGAAACTCCTACACAAAATTGAAGTGTAGGATAAGGAAAGTATAGGAATGAGGGCAAAATGCTACGTTGGTATCCAAGATAAATTCAACTATATATGCACATACATATATTTATATATGGATAGACACATTTGCATAGTATACATACATAATCTCCAAAAGACATTCTCCACTAGGTATTGCTTTGATATCTATTTTGGTGAGGCAATCGGGGTTAAGTTGACTTTCCCAGCGTCACACAGCTAGTAAATGTCAAGTGTCTGAGGCCGGATTTGAACTCAAGTCCTCCTGACCCCATGGCCAGAGCTATATCCGTTATGCCACCTAGCTGCCTTTCCGTTAGGTATTAAAGGATATGAATGGACATTTCTGAAAAGAATTGCAAACTATTTGTAACCATATGAAAAAATGTTACAGTATAAGAGAAATGCAAATCAAAATAACCTTGAGATATTTCCTCACCACCAGCAAATAAAGATGACAGAAGATAGGAATAGTCAATGTTGGTGTTAGTTCAGTTGTGAATAGGTGCATCAACCATATTGGAAAGCATTTTTCAAGTATGACAGAATAACTGAACTGGACATGTGTGCCCTCAGACCTAGAGATTCCCCTACCAGGCAGCTATCTCCAGGATCTCATTTACACTGAAATATCTTTAGCGGTCTGTCAGACTTTTAAGTGCCTGCTGTGTGCTGGGCATTGGGACTAGCACTGAGTACAGCGGCGCTTTGTGTGGGAGCAAAGAATTTGAAACCATGCCTGTGCGCATCCTTTCGCCATTCAGTTAACAAGTCTCGATACAAAACTGTAATGGAAAATTATTCTAAGAAATAGCATAATAACATTTATGTGATCTGATTAAGAGGAAAGCAAGCAGTCATTAATGTGTAGTTAGCACAGCAGTGTGAATATGTAAAAAACAATCACAAATGATGAATGTTGCCAAGTTACAGAAAACAAGCAAATTCTCCCATCCTCAACTCCTTTGGGGAAGTTGGGGTTCTGTGGGTGTGGTACATCTTTTAAGGCTTTTTTGATGAGTGTTTTTCTCTTCCTGTTTTTTTCTTTAAAAATCATTAAAGATGACTGGGATGGAGACAGGTGATACTGGGAGAAACTCTGCTGGTCAAAAAACCTAGAAAATATCTATAAAAACTTTAAATTCCCAAGGTTTCAATTCGACACTCAGGAAATTTGCAAAGATGACAGAGTATGGGAAGTCAGTAGTGTAGGCATCATGGGAGGATAGATAGATAGGTGCACTAAATGTAGTGTTAATGAACTGTGAGTCCGTGATTTTTGGAAGTAGTTTTGAATTACTGCATGTAACTATGCGGATGACTAAAATGTCCCTATCATTTGACCTGGAGCAGATGTTCTCAAGCTTTCTGGTCTCAGGACCACTTTACAATCTTAAAAAATTGCTGAGGACTCTAAAATGCTTTTGTTTATATGGGTTCTATCTGGCTATGTTTACCATATTAGAAATGAGAACCAATATAGTTTTAAAATAGTAACTCATTTTAAAATAATGTTGATAAACCCATTGCCATTTAACAACTGAAATTTTTAAGAAAAGGTAACTTTTTTTAAATTAGAAGAATGGCATTGTTTTCCATATTTTTGCAAAATTTTTTTTAATGTCTAGCTTAAGAGATGACAACTAGATTCTCGTATCGGCTTGTCCTTTCAGTCTGGTACATTGTTGTTTTATTTGTAGTATATGAAGACTGTTCTCACACAGATGCATGTAGTTAGAAAAGGGAGGCGTACTTTAATAGGCAAATAACATCTTAGTTTTACTATGAAAATAATTTTGACCTTACAACCCCCTGAAAAAACCTTGGAAATGGCCAGGGATCTGAAGACTGTACTTTGAGAATTGCTGACCCAGAGCTGCTTCTACAAGTTTTGTGTACCAAGGAAGTCATTGATGAGGGTGCATGTCTTTTTTTTTTTTTTGCTAGTAATCTTTTCCCATGCTAACATGGCTTAAAATACAGTTTGAGGTTTTACCTTTTTGAAAGTGGCTGTATGGGGCAGCTAGGTGGCACAGTGGATAGAGCCCCGGCCCTGGATTCGGGAGGACCTGAGTTCAAATCTGGCCTAAGACACATAACACTTACTAGCTGTGTGACCCTGGGCAAGTCACTTAACCCATTGCCTAGCAAAAACAAAAAGAAAGAAGAAAATAGCTGTACGTGTTTGTAAGTAACACCCCAAACCAAGGAGTTAAAGACAATTTAATTTTATAGCAGTTAGGAGCCTTCCTCTTTTAGGGTGGCTGGGGGAGGGGGTCCAGACATTTGTTTTTATTGATGTAGACAGCTTGGTGAGGGCACTTCTGTAACTCCAAGCCTATTGAGAATTGCTTGGGTCACTAAATATTTAAATGACTTACTCAAGGTCCCAAAGACATTGTGTCCCAGAGATGGGATTTGAACCCCAATGTTTCTTATCCAGTCCAGCTCTCTTTCCACTATAAACTTACTGATTCTTTCTGAATTCAAAGCTATTTTTTTGTTTGTTTCATTTAAACTTGACGGTTGTCTTTGTTAGCAGAGGATGGAACTGTTTATGTCCAACCTGTGAATTTAAATTATAATTATATTTTATTTTAACTCTTCGAAGCTATGCTGTTTTGGGATGTACAAACCCCACTACTTCCAACAACCTTCTCATGATGCAGTTGTAATTGTTAAAACTCGTTTCAGAAAGAGAAAGAATGGAAGTGATGGGAGTTGTCTGAATTATCATGTATAAGCAGTGGAGCCGACCTTTGAACCCAGCGCTTTCAGTTATGCCTTTGGTAGAACAGTGCTGCTGTGACTCTCCTTTAGTAACACATAAAACATTCCAGTTTCCTGTCGTCACGCAGTGCCTTTACTTGGGCGGCAGACTGAAACGTGGGATAATATAGGTGTATAAGTAACCGTTTCCTTTTCCCTTTTTAGGATTGAAAGGAAAATCGCAACAATCTCTTTAGAGAGCAAGTCTCCCCAGAAAACAGAAAATGGTAAGTAAACGAAGCATCGCATGTCCCAGTGTTTGCCATCTCCTGCTAGCTCTGGCTGACGGACAGGAGGCTGCAGACCTTCCTGCTTGCCCCAGGTAGGCTTAGTGTGCCTTTCTCTCGTCTTTGCTTCTTTCTGAGCAGTCTTCCTGGTCTTTCTTCAGTTGGAGTCATCAATTTTAATTCCATCTCATATAAGCTGTAAAGCTTCCGCCTTTGCCGTGTGACTAAGCTTTCGTCAGCGAGACGTTCATGAGTGTTTTTGCACGTGCATGTTGTGTGCCACCATGTATGGACGCAGATGGTTGCGGTTAGTGGAGTGGGCGAGTCGCTGCTTCTTTTCGACTGCTTCGCCATTGTGGGGGAAAGGGGGAAGGGCATATTTTTTGGCATCTAGTGGAAAGTGGCTTTCTTCTTTCCTTCTGATGGCCCACAATCCTGGCTGTAAAGTTTTTCTTCTGCCATTTCCCAGCAACCCTTTCCTAGCATTTAGCTCCTCAGTGTCAACAGTCCTTAAGCTCTTGACCATTTTTTCCTTTTTTGCTCAGGTCAGTCTGCTGGCCTGTATAACCTTTAGGACTTCTCGTAGCAGACCTAGAGGAGCCAGTTTGGGGGCTCATTCCCACCCCTATGAATGTGTTCCTACTCCTTTCAGATAAACCCGACCTTTCCCATTCCCTCCCTCTCCCCCAATCAGATGATTGAACTGGGGTTTATTTTTTGTTCTTTTTTCACCAAACCAGGTGGTGGCCTTCCAGGAAGGAAGCAAAGTCAGCTAACTGAAGGCATCAACAGCAGTAAATGGAAGTCTACCTTTTCGCCAATATCAGACATCAACCTTACCAAAACATCTGACAGCCCCTTACAGGCAGCTTCGTCCCTGAGCCAGAATTCCCTGTTTGCCTTCCGGCCTTCCTCAGAGGATACGATGGCTCTTGATGCTAAGATCTCTGTGCACACGAGGAAAAACTTCCCCAGTTCTTTGTCAGGGCCTGATGGTCTCAGCCCCACCACAAACTCCTCCAATGGTTTCTCCTATGCTGGAGGCCTATCTGCTGCTGACATGAGTTTACACAGCTTTCATGATGGTGCTTCTCTTTCTCACAAGACCACCGAGGTGGCCAGCTTAAGCTCACCTCTGGGTTTTCAGGCACAGCGGAGCAAAGATGGCTCAGACGCCAACCCTTTTCTGAACAAGAGGCAGCTGGACGGCCTGGGAAGCATGAAGGGGGAGGAGCTACAGAGGGCTGGAGGCAGAAGCAAGGAGGTGCTCGACGTGGGCCTGCAGCTGGGGGGTCCTTCTGAAAAGGGCTCTCTGCAACACAGTGGCAAGGCTGGCAAAGGACGGGACCGGGACTTGGAGTTTAAAAACGGCCACAATCTTTTCATTTCTGCTGCCGCCGCCGCCGTACCTCCTGGAGGCCTCCTCAATGGCAAAGGCCTTTCCGGCGCGGCCTCTGCGGCTGGCCACCCTGCTTCTTCTGTTTCGGCGCACCACCCTTTTTTAAACACTTTCACCACTGGATCCCAGTTTCCCCTGGGCCCTATGTCCCTGCAGGCCAACCTCAGCTCGGTGGCAGGCTCTTCAGTATTGCAGTCTTTATTTAATTCCATGCCTGCTGCCGCCAGTTTGGTCCACGTGTCATCGGCTGCGACCAGATTGACCAATTCTCACGCTATGGGAAACTTCTCTTCTGGGGTTACAGGTGGAACAGTTGGAGGTAGGTCAGCAGAGCTTTGCTCCTCCTGTCCAAGGAGCCACTTAGAGGTTGCTTTTGAGAATCAAGCTGTGCAGGGAAGGTGCTAGGATCATTTCAGAGCCAGAGGGACCCTTCAAGGTCATCTCTATTCTAATTCCCCCTCATTTTCCACATCAGGAAACTGAGGCCCAGACAGAAGTGACTTCCCTAGGTTTGTCTCTAGGATACTCTTCACAGGGAGCCTGTGATTACATGTTGCGGTTTGAGGGGAGATCCTGCCTTGTCACTCTCTCCCTCTTCCCCTCATTACATTGTTCTCTCCTTCCTCTCCTTGCCTCCACCCTACAGCAAACACACAGCATTTAGACAGGCTACTAGCTTTCCGTAAAACGATTTGATTTGCCTGCCTCTCAGAACTTCCTGATTCTGTAATCCAGGTGCTTTGTGCACAGTGCAGCCAGTGACCTCTATCTGACCAGTCCTGAGTGTGTGCACCTTGTCACAATAGCACGTTACTTGCCTCCCTTCCCTGGCCCTAAACCATAAAGCCCTTTGTTTGGGGACACCCCTGTTTGAATGTTTGCACGGCATTGATTTCAAGGTCTTCAGCTGGTAGTTGACAGAACATGTACCTCCCTATGTATGCCCCTGCCCGGTTTCTGTTCATCCTTTCTGGAGATATTATACAGGGAAGAAGCAGACCCTACATTCCTTAATTGTCTCCCTTCTCTGCAAGAGTGGCCGAGTGATGGCTGCCCGGGGTTGAGATCCTCGCCCGCCCCTCGGTCTCTGCCAAAGCGCAGTTCCCCGGCCTCGCGCAGAGCCTCCGTGGTCTGGGGCTAGTCTTTTCTCCCTGCGCTTGGGTAGGGCCTCTTCTCTCTCGTTTGCCCAGGGCGTCTGAAGGTAAGTTGTGCTGTGGAGCCCTTGCCTCTGGCACTGTGGCTTTCAGTGCGGGCTGCCTGTCGGACATCAGGCTCTCACCTTGACGGTTTTGCTTTTTGCTCTGTGTGTGTGTGTGTATGTGTGTGTGTATGTGTGCGTTTGCACGTGTGTGTGTGTGTGTGTGTGTGTGTACCTGTACGTGTTTGGCACAGGTGCGTGTCTTGTCTGTCGGCACCCCTGCTTGAGTGCACGTGTGTGTGTGCTGGCACACATGTCTCTTCACCGTTCCTGGACAATGCCTCTGTGTTGAAGCTCAGTTTTTCTCTCCTGTTTGCAGGTGTTTTTAACCATGCGGTGCCTTCTGCCTCTTCTCATCAGTTTGGAGCCAGTTTCTGTAGCAGCACCATGCTAAGCTTAAACCCAGTGCAGGCTGTGGTCACCCCCACTTCCTCTTCCTTCCAGGCCCCTTCCTCTAGCATAGGAACATGTAGCGAGGCTAGAGCCCCCCAGCACCTCAGGCCTGTGCAGCCTGTCCTGCATCCTCCTCCTCCTCCTCCCCCCGCTCCTCCTCCTGCTAACATCTCGTTACCTCCACCCCCTCCATTACTCGCTGCTTCTAACCCGGAGCCGGGGCTTCTGTCGACCCTAACGTCTGTTCCCGCTAACAGAGCTTTTATTGCGCCCTCGTCGGCTGCTTCTCTCCAGGCTAACGCTTCTCTGTCTATCAAGCTCACTTCCCTCCCCCACAAAGCTTCCCTTCCCTCCTTCACAGTCCATCACCAGCCTCTGCCCCGTTTGGCCCTGGCCCAGGCTGCACCCGTGGTCCCGCAGTCCAACACCGCTGGCCCACCCGCTATGTGGGTTACCCTTGGCATGCAGTCTCCTTACGCTTCGCACCTTTCTGGGGTTAAGCCGCGATAAAGAGCTTGCTTAGCTAGCAGTTCATATTATGTAAGGTAAGGCTAGAGCCTAACTAGGTGGTTTATGCACAACATTGAATTCCCTTCCTTTCACAGAGGCCAGTTAAGGTCAGAGTAGGAGTCTCGGGTGTGCCAATGCAGGCTTTACCAGGGTTTGGAGATCAGCATCCCTCCCGTGGCCAGTAGAGTGGGATGTTTCATTGCATCCTTTCCTCGTGCTCATCAGGAGTTCTCCAAATGCCGACGAGGCAAAAAAAAAAAAACAACCCAAAAAAACAAAAATAGTGCCCAGCAGCCGGAAATACATGAGGCTGGTCACACTGGTTAAGTAGGTGAAAAGCCCTTCCTCCTGTCGAGGTGACCGAGCTGCCATCCTGACCTTCCCGGGAGGACGCATGCCTATTTTGTTTGCCCTGGTGGCATGAGTCATGAGTGTGCTCCAGACAAGTCCAGAAAAAAAGCCCATTCCTCATGGGGGGGCACCCTACGTAAGGGCCTTGGGGGTGACTACAGCTTGAGGGGCACAGTGCTGATGAAGGAGGAAGAAGAAACTCATTGATGTTAATCTGGCTCAGCTGATAGTGCTGCCCAGTAACCTGTCTACTGAAGCATGGCACCCAGACCTTGGACTTCTGTACTTAGGCAGCCTCTGACAGGCTCTGGGGTACTAGGGCCGCTGGCTGGGGAGAGGTGTGGTTTTAGCTGGAGCAGTCCCTTTCAGCTGATCAAGTTGAATTTAGACCCTATTGCTTATTTAATTTGGGGCAGTCTAGGGCTCAGATAGCAGCCCTTTCCTCTTCCCTCCTAATGTCCATGAGCTTTCTAGACTCAGGCCTAAGTGGCATGGGCACTGCCAGACCCACTGTCACTTCTCTCTGAAGTCACACCTCAGTTCATCTTCCTTCCCTGGCCTGTTGCAGGTATTCCAGGTAAGAAAGGCCCTGTTTAAGGTGTGACTTTCATGGCCCGTCTTACCACTTTGTATCCAAAAAGGATTTTGAGGTTTAGCCTCTGGGATGAACCATACTTTTTTCAGCGTACAAGTTTGAAGTAGTATTTGTGCTCCAGCAATTCATTTAAAACCCTGCAGGGAACAGCTCAGTCCACCAGTAGTCCCATCGATAATTGCTGTGTTCTTTTCAGTTATCTTTACAATTCTGTGGTCCTAGTGTGTGTTTTGAGATGATTTACATGCAGGTCAAGTGTGTGTTTTTGGGAAAAGGGATAGGATGGACTAAGTTATTGATTCACCCAATGTTAAATGCTCATTCCATGCAAGACATGGGAGCTGGATGCTTTGGTGTTACCAGGAGAATTTCGATTCGGTTGGCATTAACCTTGGTCCCATCAAGGTTTGTTTTTATCTTACTCTTTGTTAAGAGACATGAAATCCACGTTGTTTGGATAGCAGAGGTCCACAGAAGGACCACAGGCCCAGTCTCTTTCCCCCATAGCTCCTCTGCTCCACGCCTGACAAACAGAACCGCACTGTCTTCTTTTCTAAAGCAGGTAACAGTGGCACTAGGGAAATGACCATCTTTTTACACACATGGTGTTGGAAGTTCCTTTTTAAGTAAGCCACTAGTTGACTGTAAGTGTGAAATGTGGGCTCACCAGCTGGCTTCTGTTCTTATGGCCATCATTTCATCGCACACATAAAATGACAACAAAGGCAATCCCTGGTGTCTTCTCGTCATGAACACCCAGCCAGCTTTGATTGCCTGGCAGTTCAGAAGTTGGCACTTTACCTTGAAGCAAATACTTCTTGCCAGACTTTTGTGCAAGCCAGTTAAGGTATCCATGATGTGGCCTTAACTCAGCACCTTGTCAGGCAGTAACTGCAGGGAGCAGTCTGGCCCCAGTTCTGCTGTTGATTATGACCTGGGGCAGTTGTTTGAACCTATTTCAGTTTTTCCTTAGTTGTGATCATACAGATCGATGCTTGTTTAATAAAGCTGCTGTTCAGTTTCTAAGGGGACAGGTCCCTTATGCAAGAAAGAAACAAATAAATAACTACAGGCATGGCCATTCTTTTTTATTTATGTTCTGTGTACACATGCCGCCCTGCTCCCAGTGCCTGGTTTCTGGGCCCCCCCAGATTTCCAGCAGAGTTCGGTGCTGGCAGGTCCTTCTGAGCTGGAAAGACTCTGAGTTTGGTCAGACAGGGCCTTTTAAGTTTAGTAACTTCAAACTGCACTGTGACCTCTGAAACAGCCGGCATATGTTGTATAGACGAGCTCCCCTAGTACTTGGCTTCAGAGCAATGAAGTTTTCAATTTCCGCACCTCTCCCAAACCTTAGAGATTGAAATCATCCAGTGGAGGGGAAGCCCCCTGGTGAAATCGCTGACCCCTCGGGAGTCAGTTGTCATTTGGATGCTGTTCCCTGTGAAATTCTTCAGCCCAACTTAACCCTCCTGTTGTCATTCCCTCCCGTCCCTGCACTTCTGGTGCTCGATAAATGAAGCGTGGTATTATTCTCATTTGTGGTTTTAGTTCTGTTGGCATTGTAGGTGTTTTGAGAATGACTGCTACTTAACTTGAAGCTCCTGCTGTGACTGTCCGTCACGGTTGTCACAGTTCTGTAGGAGACGGTCACCTGGAAGCAAACCAGTGTAGGATCTGACTGAGCCTGGGCAGCCTGGGACGGGGGCTGTGCTTCTGCTTCGTTGAGCTAGCTGCTATTGCTGCTGCAGTGCTGCATTCGCTGCTCGCTCTCCCTGACACCCGTCATCCGGAGGAACTGAAACACCATCCTTAAAAAATAAGAGCTGGTTGGCAGAGAATCCCCAGAGGGAGAAGACAGTGTCTTCTGCCTGTTGCTGTGTTTCTTGTTTTGTCTTTACGTGGTCCTTTCCCAGATGAGGAGGCAGGGGCACACACAGAGAGGGGCTTCCCAGATATTGTCCAGTCCTATAAAGGCAGCGCCTGGCTCCACGGTGGGAGCTCTCAGTTTCTAGCCAAGCCTTTTCACGGAAGCTGATGCTTCCCTGGGGAGGGCAGGACAAGTGTAACTTTCTAGCCCTGCTCCTACCTGCTCACTCTCAGAGGTTTGGGGACTATTCCAGTAATGGTTGTTTGCGAAGGAACGGGGTTTGTCAGCTCAGTTCTCTGTTCCCTGAAGGCTGAAGGCTTATGTGAGCATGAGGTCTCCCAGATTCAGTACCTTGTTCCATTAAGTAAAAAGGGATAGTCACTTAATCTTCTGTGGCCTCAGTTTCCTTTCCATTTGCTTCCACTCTGATTCTAGAAAATGAAATTTTTGTTCATTTTACCATGCACAATCCCCCAAAAGGTTACTGTGGTATACTTTTTTATAGGAGTATTTTGACTTCCCTGGCAAACCTAATGTTAGAAAATGATGGGCTAGATTTTTGATTCTTGGCTTGCTCTCTCTCCCTCCCTGGTTGTCTTCTTCCAGGTAACTAGGATTTCTACCTCAACCCCGTGTGACCTATGCAAGGACATCGTGGACCAACTCACTCAGCTTCCACTGAAAGGTGCTCACCTGGCCTGCAAGGGTTTCAGCTCACAAACTACTGGATGACAACGTAAACAAAAAGATTTTTTAAGTACGAAGAGTAAAGAATATTCTACTGTGAATCGGAGTTTAAAAAAAAAAACTGCAGAAGAAATGACTTAAAGGCTCCAGTTTGTATTGTTGATAGTTTTAGATAAAGTATTTATCATTTTTTAAAAAGTAAAAACAATTTTGACTTATTTTATTCCATCTAAGTCATAAAAGGCAACTTATTAAGAAGATATAAATAACTATATATAAGAATATATATAAATAAATAAGATATATATAAGGACTGGCACACCAGCAGAGACGTCAACAGCTTGTTCTCGGTGCTATTTCATCCATCAGAACTGTGCCTCTGTAGTTCTCCTTGGTGCTGACTTTCGAGGGTTGACCAATGCCAAATATAGTTCTTGGGAAAGTCTGCTTTATTTATTGAAGTCACTCTGTTCATTTACCAAAGGCTTTACCTGTCCTGAAGAAGTGAGGGCAAAAAAGTTGATGTGTGGGTTTGGGGCCTTGGTGGTTTTTATTTGTTTGTTTTTGTTTTTAAAAACAACTCCTTTAAGCAACTATGTATGTTTGACCACTGTTTTCCACCTTCTCAACCAGCTGGTAGGCCGCCTGGTCTTTAGTCCTTGTGACCATCCCACCAAACAGTTCATCGTGAACTGAGAATACCTTAAAGCTAGTTCCATTTAATGTTTTCCTTGTCCCCCACACATGCCCTCATCACTGAGTTCCCCTGTCACTGTGAATTTTACCTGCTATACTGTTAATTCTTTTAGCCCTTTATTTTGGGGATGTCATTGGCATATGAACAGGGTGCATAATTACTGGTGTTGGTCAGGCCCATTTTAATTCTTCATGGCAACATTGGACATTAATTCCTAAGCTGGGGCAACCTTTGATTTCTCAGCTTTTGTTGTTTTTGTTCAAAGTACTCTGTATTTTGTTAGTAATTTTTTGATACTTGACCCCCAGATGGCTTGGCCTTTGTACTAAGTGCATTTGCTTTTGTATTTCTTTGCTTTTCAGTAGGTTTAAATGGTAGTTCTCTCACATACACACAAACACACACACATACACACACAAATCCCACACAACTATCTTATTACGCACCGATCTGAGGATGTGGCGACAGATTAGTTGTCTTGTGACCTGGTGTTCTGTGTACAGAAAAGTGTCACGCTATGGAAGTGACAGTATTTTATAGAGATATGATGAAAATTTATAAATTTCATATACTTGATTTCATTTATTTTTAGATTGTATAATGCACAGTAAACTTTTAAAAAAAGAGAGGAAAAAAATTACAAAACATTTTTATTTATTCAAGTGCACAAAAAAGGGTATGGGTTCCATTTTTAAGCTTCTCATTTTGAGACTAGGTATCATGGATTGGACCAAGTACTCAGATAGGAAATGGCAATAACCATGAATTGCAGTAGTATGTCGACTAGACCCAATGTACCCCTGCCTAAGCAAGTGTTCAGTCATGGCGGGCAGAGGCTTTTGAAGCCTTTTGGCCTCCTTGGATCCATTCCTGCAAAACTTACTAAAGCATCCTATTTTCACACACAGACCTGGGATGGAGAAACACGTTTCTTCCTCAGCTGTTCTTACCTACCTTGATTGATTTCTTCTGCTTGGCTGCATCGTGTTAGGCTTCATCAGTTAATTGGTAATGAATTAAATGCCTAATCTTGATAATATTTCTTCTTATTTGTGTCTCTCTGAATCAGGTTATTGCCTACAACCCAGCAGGCCGTGTCTGGGAATGTTCTCAGTGTAGAATTGTATTTAGAATCCAGTTGCTGGATTAGGTATTCCAAGCTTCAGCCTCTGCTACAGAATTTCCCCAGCTGGTGATTCTCCCTGTTCTTCAACCCTCGTCTCCCCCTCACCCCCCATTCCTGCACTGAGCCACAGGGACGTGAAGGTTTCATTGTCGGTACTCAGCAAAAGTGAGCAGGTTGAGTCGGACTGTTGGGAAGAAGTGAGTGGAGGAGGAGCTGGAGAAGATAACTCACAAGGGCAGTAGCTTCTAGTAGAAGCTGGGAATATTCCCTGGAATCCAGGAAGTCATGAAATGAAGCCTAGTAACTCCTGACCACCAGAGAGGCGAATCCCCTAGCACAGGTTCTGTGGAAGCCCAAACTTGGATGCGAGTCTTTGGAGCCCTGAGGCTCGGGGAAACTCACAAGAAATGACTGTCCTCAGGTTGAGTTGAGGGCAACCTCATTGTGCTGTCTCTTGACATTATAGATAGAACTGGTGTCTTGTTAAAAGTGGTGGATGTGGGCTTGGAGAAGGGAGGGCAATGTAAAATGATGAGGCCATTAGCATTCCTTGTGGTTGGTACATTGGGATTCAAGATAAGGACAGCTACTTCATCGTTGCCCAGAATAGCTCAAGACTGAGGGTAGTCAGGATCTGGGGGCAGATCAAAAAGGTTCCCGTGTTGGAGTCCAACTGGTGGCTAGAATTAAGTGTGAGACTTTGGCAAATCCAGTTATTAGTGAATGTAGCAGTGTTTCTGGATGAAAGGTGAGGGCCCTTGGAGTTGCTCAGGTAGCTGGTTGTCTGGTCTTTGCCACCCCTAGCTCTCCCTGCCATCCCTCTTCCCTGGCCGCCTTTGCGTACAGAATCCCGGGAGCAGTTCTGGTCAGATGATCAGCCCACATGTTGATGGCCTTGAGAATGGTTTGTTTTTTAAAGGCTACTACAGAAAGCCTTTGGGGCTTGGGACATCGAAGTACTGAAAGCATCGAGTCTGATCGTTCAGCACCCAGGGCATCTTTGCCGTTAGCCTTTGTTTTTACTGAGACCTCATGCCCAAGTGTAGATGTTGGGAGGTTGCTGAGGAGTAGGGGAAGGAGGACAGGAAGGATGCTTTACCTGTGGACAGCTTTAATTTAGGCTTCACGGCCTGAGGGTGAATTGAATGAAGCTGTTTCTGGGAGGAAAAAAGGAAACTCTCCTGTTGGGATTTCCCAGAGGCAGCCACAGAGGTAAAAAAATGTGGGGCTAGAAAGGCTGTTTTCTGCAGTGATTCTAGGCTTTATGACAGACCCCTTCAGAACAGCTCCCATACGCCTAGTCTAGATGGATTCCCTTGTCAGCTGGAACCTTCCCCTGAACCTCATGCAGGTGTCTGGGCAAGACACAGGCTTCATCTTTCTTTTCTCAGGAACTAGTTTAAAATAGGAAATGAAACCATTAAAATTGTATCTTGTATTCCCATAACTTTCAGATCCTCAGAATGTCAGTTAATTCACATCTAAATTAATAAATGCTCTTTAGAAAGCAACCTTGTAAACCCCCTCACTGATCAAGTCCGGTTTTGCTGGGTCCTCCCCAGTGGTGGGTGGTTTAAAAGAATGTGACAGTGGCCGTGTTGGCTCTTCCCTCCAGTTCAGAACACTTGCCCTCCCCCCGAGTTTATGGAGGGGGTGGGCACTATTTGATGAGAACCTGTACATTCTAAGAGCTTAAAGATGCCGAGAGGCTCTTTGAGGGATGGTGGTGCTGAGCCAGCTCAGGTGATGATGGAGTGACAGAATGTGTTTCCCGGTGCTCTTCCTCTCTCTGCTCTTTAAGGGGAAATAGGAGGCCGATGCAAACCCATGAATGTTGAGTGAATAGGCCCAGAGTAACAGGTGTGTCCAGTGGGACAAGAGAGGCCTGAAAAATGGAAGATTCTGATCCATCGCTGTCTCTCCCCTCCCCCACGAGATTAAATTATTGAGCAGGAATGAAGGGTGGCTGGCTTTGTCAGCTGCCCTGGAGTCTGTGTTGAGAGGGGTCTTAGCTCCCTTTGAGCATGCAGTTAAAGGCATTCCTGCATTGGGTGCTCTCATATATTCATATATATATTCGACACTTTCAGAGCCATTCCTAGTGCTCCTAGTAATTTCCCCTTGAATATGTTCTCTGAAGATTTCCTTTGTCTGTTTTCACCTTCAGTAGTCACTGGAAGGGTTTCCCATAAGTTGGTAAAGATTGGAGATTTTGAGCTTCAGCAGGCCTTGAACAAGGTCCCGTGGGTATGGATGCAGTTGGGCTCGGGGAGGGCAAGCAGCACGGGAGTGCTCCTTCCAAAACCTAGCAGACTGTCCCAAAAGACTTGGTCTAATATTGCAGCCTGCTGGATGGGGAGGGCGTGTCGAGTTGGTAGGAGTGCCTCTTCCCCCCCCCCCTTTCTGCTCACCCTCCAGTGAGTTGCCAGAGGGTGACTGCTCCCTGTGAAGGCCTGGCATGTTGGAGTAGCCAGAGGCAGTTCGCTGTGACCGCAGGGCACTGGGAGCCTGGATGCTTGTTCTCTGGCACAACTGGAGGGGCCCTCCCCCTCACCTTGGGGGTGGGGAACAGGACTGGTTTGACCCTTTAGGGAGCTTACACACTTGATTTGTGCTGTAGAGCAAAAGACCAATTTTGAGATGGTGCTATTTATCAGCTTTTAACAAACAAACAAACTTAATATTCAAGAGGGAAATTGTTCCCTCTCTCCTTCCAGTGAAGTTGGTGCTCTCCTTGCTCCCAGGTGCTACGTGTGCTATGGATAGATGAGTTGGAGATCACCCAATCCCATTCTGCATGAAGTAGGCCTGTTGTTTGTCTTCCTTGTGGCCTCCTAGGTGAAGGAGCATGTTCAAATTTCAAGGTTTTGGCACTTGTCTCCAACCTCGGTGACCCAGGCACCTTCCTTCCTCTCCTGGGTCCTTCCCCACCTCCTCTTGGCCAGAAGCTGTTAGGTGATATCTCTGCCCTCCCCAGCAGGAGGCTTAGAGGGACAGTCAGAGACACCTTAAGTAAGAGTTGGAGAGTCCTTCTGTGCTCCACACCGCACAGTCTTTGGAATGGTGGCTGGCTGTGTTTCACAAACATGTCGGATGAATTACTGTTTTGTGCCATTTTTGTTCATACTTTCTTCATTAAAAAAAAACCAAACCTGTATGCACACACACATACACACACACATTGACTTGACTACTGCAGTACAAGATAGTACTGTGGCTACCAGAACGTAACACCTGAGATTAAATGGAATTATACTCTCAGTATATGGCATTTGTGAAATTCTTTAGGGATTGAAAATTTTTTTTTCATTCCTTGAAGAAAAAATATGTGTGTGTCACTTTAAATGCTGACAAATAATTATAATGTATAATTGAACATGATTAACCCTTCAGGTTGCCCTGTGACTGACTCTAAGGTACACCTGTATGCTTCACTGAGATTAGCCTTTCATAAAGGTGCTTTTTAAGAGACGGGGGGAAGGGAGGAATAGATCTTTAGCTCAGGAGAGAATTTGGGGTTTGCAATCCGTTTAGCTAAAATGGTCAACTTTGGCTTTTATGCATGGGATTTAGAGCTGTTGGAGAGCAGAGGGGTCGTTCAGGGACATGAAGCAGGTCATGAAATTACTTTGCTCGCATATTGATTTGTTAAACTTTTAACAACTAAAACAGTCCCTTCCCCAGAATGGATTAAAAAACACATCCCCACACACCCCCACACCCCTACATCTTGCTTAGGACATGTGCTATGGGATGTTTCCTAGTCAATAGGAATTAGTTTATATGCTTTAGCCTATGAATTTGTGACTTATTTAAAATTCAAATTGTTTCCCTTAATTTATGTCAATACATTGTCATTCCGTTCATTTTTAGTAGGAAATAGTTAATCCTAATCCTTTTCCCTCTCATGCTTGTAATTAATTCTTCACAGTTCAGAATTTAAAAGGTTTTCCCTTCTATTTCAGTTCCTTCTATCTTAATTTGTAATTGAGAAGATGCTTTTAAGTTTGCCTTTATATTAAAATCTGTATTTTAAATGTGTGTATCGCTGTGTTGCTTCCCCCTTGAGGCTGTTGGTTTAAGCATCCTTTCCTATGGGAAATCCATAACATTCTCCATTTCCACCCCTAGACTCAAATAAAAATATTTATTTTCACTTGTATCTGTTTTTAATGGGAACTTTTATTCAGTATTAAAGTTAGATGATAGGATAAGTAATGGCTCCTTTTCATATCACAGATTCATATGTTAATATTTACAGTGTTATTGCTTGGGGCAACTAGGTTGGCGCAGTGGATAGAGAACCGGCCTTGGAGTCGGCAGGACCTGAGTTCAAATGTGGCCTCAGACACGTGATACTCAACTAGCTGTGTGACCCTGGGCCAGTCACTTAATCCTGATTGCTTCCCAAAAAATAAAATAAAATGATGGAGGAATTTATATTTTAAAAAAAAGCACCTCCAAAGCTAGGAGGGACCTCAGGCCATCAGATACACAGTGTCTTTTGGGGGACGGGAATTGGAGCCACCCTGGCCTCTCTCCTTGGGCTGCTTCTCAACTCACCAAGTCCAGTACTTCATTATAGCCTGTCTCTGGATGTCCTGGCACCAGTTAAAAATCTAGCAGCCCCTAAGAGCCATAAAAAAGACTGAAGCCAAATCCCACCTCTTCCCCTGGAAGAAATGCAAATGAAGACTGGGGTGGAAGGTAGGAAGCCCATCTGGCAGAGCTGAGGGGGTGAGGAGTGGGGGTCATGCTTCCCTCACTAGGGACACTGACCATGGGTTGGGTGTTGCCCTCACATTTTATTTTCCACCTTCGGGTCTTCCAGGCACTGACCCTGTCCTGACCCAGGCCCTACACAGGCAAAGGGGTTTCCTAAATCTCCTCTTTTTGTCTGGGGTGGAGGAAAGTTTGCTGGAGTCTCTGCTCTCATTCGGCTTGGACTGTGCTTCCTCTCCAGGGAGGTGTGAAGAGGCCAGCTAGATTACTTGTGGCTGCTCACGGAGTCCTGGGAAAGGGAAGAGGCCCAAGCTTGCCTCCTCCCTAGGAGTCTGTTGCTTTTGTCCTACCAAAGAGGAGTCTCACAGAGGTGTCTTGACAAAAGAGACATTTATTTCAAATCCACAAGACCCTCCCTAGGACAGTACCTGCAGAACCACTTCCTTGACGGGACAGAAGCAGAAATGAAAAGGAGAGCTTTCCGTAGCTGGACAGCACCCAGAAGCAGACTCCACAATCACGTGGGGTTTGCACCACCCCCCTCCCCCCAAGCCATTCACAGCATCATCTAGTAGCATACATTCAAGTAGGTAGGGAAACAGAAGTCCAGAGCCTCTGTTGCCAAAAAAGCTCAGGCAGGGGCCAGCATCTTCTGGCTCAAGGCCATCTTCAGGCAGGTCTGGGTAATGAAATCCCAGGGTGGGTTCTCTCGCACCTGCTCCCTTGATCACCCTCACCCCATTGGCTTATGAGGCCAGAGGCCAAAACAGGACTTGTTTACTTTGCTCAAACTGTAGCATCCCCTTCTAAGTTTCTGGCTATGTCAGAAATGAGGAATTCGGCTGCCCCAACAGGGTTAGCGGAGGCTCGACTGAGACTGTATAGAAACCAGCTTCCAGGGTAGAGGGTAGCCCCCAACATCCCAAGAGACATTTCTAGGTCTGCCCTACCCTTTCCTCTCACAGTTCTGACCCAACTGGCATGACAACTCAGAAGAGACTAGCTAGTCCACCCTCCCTTTATAGATGGGCAAATGACTTATCCGGGGCCACACCACTGATGCAGTACAGTAGCTGCTAGGGCCAGGGGATAAGAGGAAAGCCGACTTATCCTGAGAAGGGATGGAAGGGGCCTTTACAAACCAGGACTTGAAGGACAACTTCCACAGCAGCACCAAGCTCATTAATGGCTTCCTTCCCCCTTCCACACTGTCTGCATTCACCTACAAAGGCCATGGAAACGTTGTCCAAGGAGACTGGTGCTCGGCCCCATCCCTTCCTTCAAGACCCCAGCTACAAGCCCTCAAGCCTGGGGAGCACTCTGCCCTGCCCGACTCCAGTGAAGGCTGCTTGAAGGAGCCCTACCTCTAGGCCTTGGTTACCTTTTTCAACCCGAGAAGAAAAACTACATTTCATTCCCTTCCCTCCTCTGGGCCCAGATCTTGTTGAAACAATCCAGGCAGCCCATTGCCAGTCCCAGGGTAAGGTCTTCTGCTGTAGAAGGCCCGAGGCCTGTAAATCCTTTCTTCTCCTGTCCCCCCCCTTCCCTACCCCCCAACCCCCCAATAGTCACTGGGGCGAACACTGGCAGGGAGTGGAGCAAGGCAGACTTCTTTCTTAGAAGAGATGGTCATGCCTGGTGCGTGTTCAGCTGGAACCTGGCCTCCTCAGAGATACCGTACTGCTCCAAGGGGTCCTGAGCAGGGAGAAAAGAGTCTTGAAAGAGCACCCCCAGAGCTCTACTCCATAGGCCCAGCTGTGAGGGGCAGAAGGCATTTCTCACCATGCCAGGCCTGGGTATGGGGATGAGGGTGGGGGGAGGATGGAGTTAGAAATTTCACTGTCAGTTTCCCCTTTGTAAATGAAAGCCAAAATAAACTTTCAGAAATAGTCTATAAAGGGGACTGAGGTTGCTGGAATCGTCAGGGTGGTAAAACAGGCTCCAGGAGTAAGGGGGTGGGAGAACACTGAGGCGACGCAGGTTTGCCAGAACCTAGACAAAGGTGATCATGACTGTGTCCAGGAGCAGAGCCCCTCCTCTGGGCCTGAGGAGCCAGGACCTTTGTCCCTCAGGTTATCCCATCCCCACTATTTCAAGAAGGCCTTAAACCCCTGACCTCACAACTAGGATCCAGGTGTATCAGAAACCTGGATCTCAAGAGAATGAGGGGGCAGCTAGGTGGCACAGTGGATAGAGCACCGGCCCTGAAGTCAGGAGGACCTGAGTTCCAATCCGGCCTCAGACCAAACACTTGACACTTATTAGCTGTGTGACCCTGGGCAAGTCACTTAACCCCAATTACCTAAAAAACAAAAAAAGAAACATCAAGAGGATGAGGTCCTTTCCTGGAATATTCACCTTTCCCGTCATCTTCTGGATCTCATTCCTATAAAAGATGAGACTTCTCCGCATGAACTCATAGCTGGGAAGTGAGAAGCACAAAGAAGGGGAGTCAGGGAGGCTGTGTATTCCTTAATGGAAGAGGATGCCCTAATACCAGAAAGGGAAATGCCAGTGTCCACATACCTCCATGAGGCATCGAGGCATCCTCAATCAGCCAACATCAGGCAGTCTCGGAGGGAAAGGTGCCCAGAGGACACAAATCTTTAGCCTACGTCTGCCTGTCTGCTCCCCTCAGACTGGGGACACTCCTCCCCTCCTTTCCTGCCCCCCAGTTCCCCTCCTTCAGAATATCCCCTGTTCACAGGAAGTGCTCAGTCCATACTGCCCACTAAGTTAGTCAAAGCCTAGAGGTCTACCAGGAACTCGACACCAGAGGTCTCTTCACTCCTCCCCCAAACCTACCTCGCTCTCCTCAGGGCGTCAATCCACTCCTGACATTGCTCCTCGCTGCTGCACTCAAAGTAGTACTTTCTGTCAGGGTCCTCAATGAAACCTGTACGGCAAAAGAGAGAGGGCCTTCGGAGCTGGGGACGAGCCAACAGGAAACCCCCGGCTGCAGGGTACCACCCTGGGACAACCAGCTGCAGAAGCCAGTGGCCAGGGGAAGCCCCCCCACCCAAAACATGCCCCATCCCACTTTCATTTTCCTGCCCCCTTCCCAGTGCCTGAAAAACACAACATCTGGATTCTGTGGTAGCCAGGACTGCAGTATAGGCACAGAGACAGGGGTGATGACAGGAGCCTTCATCTATCTAGACATGGAAAGGTCTCTCTCCTTGAAAAGCAGCTGAGCTGCTGAGAAGAGGCCTCACTGGCCTGAATGGCAATCCCCTCTTTTGGGGAAGAGAGGAAACAACGCAAGGAACATGGCTGTTCTATACTTGATTCTCATCTTTCAAGGACTGGTCCTTGAAGTGGAGATAACCATGGCAGGCTGGCATGCTAATTCATGCCCTTGACTCGAGGGCTCAGCTTTCAAAGAGTTAGGGTGAGCGTGTGACTCTCAAAGTGTAATTCAGCATGAGAAGGGCCCCACACCACAATCTGGCGAACCGATCACAACTGGCCACAAAAAAGAGAAGAAGGGAAGAGGGCTTAAAAACAAATGTGGTTGAACAAGGAACTTATATTCATCAGCGACAAATATGAAGGATGGAGCATGGGGAACTAAGAGGAAACAGGAGCAGCAGTATAGTTCTGTAAATATATGCAGAGGAAAACAAAAATGGCCTTCTTAAGCTATGATAGAGACAAGAAGATTACAGAAGGAATAGGATCCTTGACCTTTCCTGGCATCCTCCGACCCCTGATGCTCATAGCTGGGGAGATAATGGTTTGAGAACAGTGAGATACAACTACTTCACTCCTGTTTTTGTTCTGTTTCCCCTACAAAGCAGACTCTTTGGACTGGGAAGGGTAGAACAAAAATAAACAGAACTGAAGTTCAGGATAAGTGGGGAGATGATACTCTTAATGAATTCAAGTCATCAGTACAGATGAACTGCATCCCAGGAATGAAAGCATTTGCTTACTGAACTATTGCTGTCCATCTCGGAAGTCACAGACAATGGGAAGAGTGCTCTAGGCCTTGAGATAGGCAAATAGCCTGATTTTCAAAAAATAAGAGGAAGTAGAGACTTAAAAAATACAACGTGGTGAGCTGACAAAATTCCAGAATTCCTTATTACAAGGATAATTTGTGAGACAGGGAAATGGTCATCCCTGCGAGACAACACGGTGGGTTCATCAAAGACAAACCATTCTACTCCAATCTCATTAACATTTTTGAAAGGGTTACTAGAAAAAGAACCCGGAGATCACTGTGCACAGTAACAGCAAACTGATGATCAACTATAAAAGACTTGGCTACTCTGGTCAATACAATGATCCAAAACAGTTCCAAAGGATCAAAAACACTATCCACCTCCAGAGAGAACCGAGCAGCTCTGAGTGCAAACTGAAGTACAATGTTCTCGCTCTCTTTCCTTTTTAAAATTAAATGATTTGGCTTAGATTTCACATGTACGATTGATAACATATTGCTTGCCTTCCCTGTGGATCAGGGAGGGGAAGGAGGGAGAGGGAGAATTTGGAACTCAAAATTTAAAAAGAAAAGACTGCTAAAAATAAATAAATAATAAGTGAGGAGGAAAAAAAAAAGGAAAGGGTTACTAGACTCGTAGATCGGAGTAATGCTGTAGACAGACATCATCAACAAGATGAAATTTAACAGGGAAAAAAGACCTATAGGTGAGTTTGAAAAAATCAACTTCAAAAGTAAAGGATAGTGGAGATGCGCCTAGACAAACTTTAGTATTTTAATGAACCACCCATTCTAGGAGAGAGCAGCGTGAGGTGCTCAAAAACTGATCAAAAGGCTGCATAAATAGAAATCCCGTGTCCACAGGGAGGGACCCAATGGTCTTCTTTATACTCTGGCTTCTGCCCTTCCCAGGAGCACCACGTCCAATTTGGGGCATAATTGTTCAGAAAGGCCCCTGTGGAGATGAGACCAGGATGGTTCAAGTGCCATGAATGGAAGCGAGAATGTTTAACCTGAGGAAGGGAAGGAAGACTTAGGGGAAGGATGGTGGCTGGCTGTCCCTGAGAAAAGACTTGCTGTTTGGGTTCAGAGGACAGAGTAAGAACAGGAGGCAGATTTTGGCTCAACCTAAGCAAAAACCTGTTCATGTGGCTGTTATGGAACAGGCAGGCTAAGGGGGGCAATGAACTCCCTGTTCCTGGTGGTATTCCAGAGATGTCACAGATTATAATTCAGAATCTACATAGACATTGAGGTAGATGACTTCTAACTCTTAAGATTCTATGCCTAAACTCACCTTACAGGATGAAGGACTCCACAGATTTCCCTTCCAATGTAGCTTTACTGCAAAAAAGGGATCTAGAAAAAGGCACTGCATGGCCCAAAGGAAAGGCTTAAAAGGTAGGATTTCAGCTGTCTGTGGGAATGGTCTTCAGATGAGAGACTTCAGAGCCAGAAGAGGCCTTGGAAATGATAATAGTCCAATGGCCTCATCCCAGGGGCACCAGACAAGGGAAGATGATTTGCCCAAGGCATTCCCGATGTTGAACCCTGGCTCTCCCCACCCCACCCTCATTACACCACGGTCCCCTTCCAGCCTGTGTGTCGGGCCAGCTTTATAGTATGGTGGGCCATCAGACTAGGTACCTCCTACAAAAGAATCAAATCTGGTGGCAGAAAAAAGGCATCATCTCAGGTGGCAAGTGGAGGGAACAGCTACTTGCCCTCCTGACGACAACAGCTGGGAAATGAGGTGGGTCCCTACAAAGGTTTAGGCCAAGGGGACAAGACAAGATCGCCAGGTGGGTACGCCAGCTGCAGCAGGCCAAGGCTGAGAACTCAGGCCGACCTTGACAAGAGGGAGGGCCCTGGGTGAGGTGAGCACGCATACAAAGGGCAATTGTTCCTCAGGAGGGCCGGGAGGAGCCAGGCTGGAGCCTCCGCTATCCCAAGGTCAAGCCGCCCAGGCAGAGCGGCCTGGTGTGAGGGCTAGGTGTGAGGGGGGGTGGGAGAAGGAAATGCTGGGCTGGGCCAGGGGCCCCAGCCCATCCCCTTTCTGAGGCCTGAGCAGAGGAGGTTTCTGAAGTTGGGACAGTGCTAGGGGACCCCAGAATGGCCAACAGGAAACAGAGGGCCCTCCCTGGCCCTGCTCTTGCCCCCACATTTATCAGACTGAGAAGCCAAAGGGGCAGGCACTGGGGGTTCCAGGACCCTCTCTTTCCATCCCCCTGGTGTCTAACAACACCCCTCCTTCCAGACTCACTGATAGAGAAGCCACTTGGCTCTTCCTTGGCAATCCGGCAGTGTTCCAGAAGCAAGGCTCCGATGGGCTGGCAAGACAGAACAGTGGAAGGAGAAAGCTAAGCTAAGTACCTGGGCTTAGGACCCACAATTCAGGAAGAAAACAAGGAATCATTCCATCTGTATAGGGCCTCAAGGTTTCCTCCCAACATCCCGTAAGGTACGATCCTCAGGCGCTGCCAGAGACGGAGAAGCTGAGACTAACAGAAGTGGCAGAGCCAGGAACAAACTCAGGTTTTCTGCCTCAACGGATCTTTTATTCTATCATAGTCGTTAGTTTCCATATGTGACAGATGAAGACACTGAGGCTTGGAGAGACAGCAGTCTGCTCTATGAACCAGGGTGAGGACCTTATTACCAATCTAGCAAGGCTCCTGGGAGCTCTAGGAGCCACTCCTCAGTTGATGTCACAGAGTACCATCCGGGCCTCCAGGGCAGGGACTGGATCTGCCCCACCCAGTGCCAGTGAAAAGGTTCAGACCAGAGGTTATTAACTGTGGAATAAAAATGGGCCTGGCTTTCTACCCTCAGGGTCATACAGCCCAGGGATGGGAGGAAGGGGAGGGGGAGTGGGAGGCATTCTAAGAAGGAGAGAAGGAACTCGGTGGATGGAGCCAGAAAATAGGGCTGTGGGTCAGTACTCAGCCCTCCTGGAGCTCTTCAGAGGTAAAGGGGACCTTTGAGGTCATCTAGCCCCACCTGCTCATTTTTCAGAAGAGGAAATCTATGTCCAGAGGGTTTTGTGAAGGGTCAATCAGCTGGCAGGTAATGGAGCTGGGATTCCAACTTAGGACTTCAGCTCTAAATTGAGTGTACTTTTTGCTACACTACCCAGCACACAACAGGTTCTTAACACTTGCAGATCACTCATTGACTTGGGCTTCCTGGTACCAGGCCCATCCCCCAGAGTCACTGATTAACAGTCTTCTCCAGTGACCTAGAACTACCCTAAGGAAGGGGGGAGGGAGCCCAGAGGAGAACCCGGCTGGATCCCAGTGACTCATCGAGAATGCCGGGATGCAGCAGATAAAAAGGAAGCCTTGGATCGTGGGGAAAAAGCAATGAGCCGGGAGCTGGACAGCACCAGAACTACCATGACCTTGTTCTGGGACCTTGGGCAAATAATTTCCCTTTTCTTGGCCTATTTCCCCATCTTTAAAGTCCCCTCAGGTCAGAAATTTTCTAGATGGTACTTCCAGGAAATGCTAAAATAAAAATGCCCACCCATCATCATGATAGAAATAGAATTAAGCTCATCATCCCCATCTCCCAATGACTCCTTTCTGTCCCTTTAAGCTCCTGCCATGAGGCAGCCTGGGGTGACTTAGGACACAGAGGGCTTGGTAGAGCAAGTCCCATGTCACCAGTGTCTCACTACATGGCCAGGACCCAAACCCCAAAGGGAGGTTCACTTTCCCCCACGGCAGTGCTCCTACAACGTCACACTCCATCTGGAGGGAGACACCCCAGAGACTACCTCTGGGGAGGTCACCTGACTGTGCTGGGCCTCCTTGAGGTCCCTTCCAGCACCAAGCCTCTGATGTTAGGATCCCCGGGTGCAGGACGAGGGGCACACAAAAATGAGTGAGACTATCACTGGCCTTGAAGAACTTGGCATGCTTCATTGTAGCCTCATTTCTTCTGAGAAAAGCCTATGTGTGTGAGGGTGGCTCAGAGCAAGCCCCAAGGCAATGAAAAGCCTGGCTTGGCCAGATCCTGCTTTGGACATCTACTCCCTGTCACTTAACCTCTCTGGCTTCAGTCTCCTCATCGGAAAAACTAGAGGTTTGGAATAGGCGACTTCTCAGATATCTTCCGGCTCACATCTGTACTATGAGCCTGGTCCAGGGCTCTTTCCACCACCGGATGCTGGCCACCGATGCTCCAGCTGCAGCATCTAGAACCCTTTGCTAAAGATACTCTTCTCTAGGACACACAAGTGCCCAGCCCCCGACCTGGGGTGGGTGTGGACCAACCCGACCCGACAGACAAGGAAGCCTGCCCTGAGTGGACCTTTAGACTGTATAAGTTAAAAAACATCTAGCTTCGGGGAGAAGTTTCCAGGGGTCCTGTACTTTCAGAAATATTTTCACTGTGCACACTGGGGAAAGTCTTCCTACTTTTCAAAACTGTCTTCAAGGGGCTGCTTCAGTAGCAGCCGAAAATATGTAAAACAAGGAATTTCAATCTTTTTTTGGTTATGTTTTTTGTCTTTGGTCATCTGGTAAAGACTTTGGAACCCCTTTGCAAAATGATGTTTTTAACTGAATAAAATAAAAATCACAGGATGACAAAGCAAACCAACCATGCTGAAATAGTTATAAAAACAAACAAGAAACAACCACCCCCCACACATACAAGTTCACAAGCTCCACTTTCAGAACCCTTGACAGCTCGCCCTAGCCCACGGTTTAAAGGAACAAGTGTTGACCACTTTCCCAGGTCTTCTCTTCCCCCCAGAGGCCTCCTGCACCTGCCCTGGCCCTCTCTCATGAGGACCTGCCTCTTACTTTACTTTCTGCACTGCCATGGAAGCACCTCCTCCTCCCACTCTTTTCACTGGAAACCCCCTAGACATCACTTCCCCTCTCTTCCTCCTCTCCCTCCATCTCGGACAAAGAGGGGGCCCTTCTCCTTCCCAGGGCCAACCCCTCTCCATGTTCCCTTGACCCCAGCCCCTCCTGTCTCCCACTGAAGATTTCATCCTCAATCATCTCTCCCTCAATTTTTCAACCTTTCCATGTCCAACAGTTCCTTCCTTACTCCCTTTAGACATGGCCAAGGTTCCCCCATTCTTAGGAAACTTTCACACATCCTACCACACCCTCAAGCTATCATCCTTATCTTTGCTCTCCTTCTCCAACACTATGAAAAATTGGTCTACTTAGTACCTCTACTTCCTCTTCTCTCCTCCTCCTTAGTCACCTCTTAATCTAGCTTCTGACCGCATTGCTCAGATGAAACAGCTCTCTCCAATCTTATCAATGATTTCTTCTTTTCTTTCTTTTTTTTTTTGGTGAGGCAATTGGGGTTAAGTGACTTGCCCAGGGTCACACAGCTAGTAAGTGTCAAGTGTTTGGTCTGAGGCCGGATTTGAACTCAGGTCCTCCTGACTTCAGGGCCAGTGCTCTATCCACTGCGCCACCTAGCTGCCCCTCAATGATCTCTTAATTGCTGAATCAACAGTCAATAAACTGTAGATACAGTTAGGTGGCCCAGTGAAGTACTGGGCCTGGACTTAGAAAGATCTGAGTTCAAATCTTGCCTCAGACACTTACTAACTGTGTGATCCTGGGCAAGTCACTTAACCCTGTTCGCCTCAGTTTCCTCATCTGGAAAATGATATTTAGAAATGGCAAACCACTCCAGTATCTTTGCCAAGAAAACCCCAAAAGGGGTCACGAAGAATCGGACATGACTGAAAACGACTGAACAGCAACAGATTAAAAAGGCAAATACAACGGCCTTTTCTTAGTCCTCATTCTTCTTTGGTTATTGCTTTTTTTTTTAGTGAGGCAGTTGGGGTTAAGTGACTTGGCCAGGATCACACAGCTAACGTCTGAGTATCTGTGTCAAGTATCTGCATCTGAGTATCAAGCGTCGGAGGTCAGATTTGAACTCAGGTCCTCCTGACTGGAGAGCCGGGTGCTCTGTCCACTGTGCCACCTAGCTACCCCAGTCTTCATCCTTCTTGACCCATCTGTTGCATATGACGCTACTGACCACCCTTTCTTCCTGGGTATTCTCTCTTCTCCTGGTTTTCCAGATACTTAAAAACATTATTCTAAGCGATCCATTAACACACAAATGTCAAGAACTCATTGCCCTAGCACAGGGGTGGGGAACCTGCGGGCTAGAGGCCACATGTGGCCTTCCAGGTCCTTGGGTGTGGCCTTTTGACTGAGTCCAAGCTCTCCAGAACAAATCCTTTTCTTAAGGAGACTTGTTCTGTGAAGTTTGGATTCCGTCAAAGGGCCACACTTGAGGACCTAGAAGGCCACAGGTTCCCTGCCCCTGGCCTAAACCCTCCCCTCTTCCCAAATTTCCCTATGTCTGTGGAAGACACCATCAGCCTTCCAGTCTCCCAGCAGCCTCCTGGACTCCTCACGCATCCTCATCTCACATATCTAATCAATTACCAAATTTTGCCCTTTCTGTTTTCACAACATCTCTCCTTTCTGATCTGTTCTCTCTACTCATAACCTACCCCCCTCATTTAGGCTGTCATCACATCTCTCCAAAATTATTACAGCAGCCCCTAATTGGACTCTGTGCCTCAAACCTCTCCCTACTGCACTCCACCCTACACACTGTTTGCCAGGGTAATTCTCCTTAAAATGCCAATGTGATTCCCCTATTTCACCACTTCCAGTGGCTCTACTGTTCGACATAAACTCCTTTATTTAGCTTTAAAGCCCTATATAACCTGGTTCCACTCTCTATTTTCAGTTTTACTGCACATGACTCCCCTTTCCACACTCTTGTGATTCAGCCACACTGGCCCTCTATCTGTTCTCCACACCTCTCCATCCCCTATCTCCATGGCTTTGTACTGAAAGCGCCCCCTTCTTGGAATGCATTCCCTCACGCTGGCCCCATAAAAGTCCCTCTCTTCCTTAAGATGCAGCTCAATCATCATCTTCTGCACAAAGCCTTTGCTGATCTCCCCAAATGCCAGGGACTCCGCTCCCAAACTACTACGCATTTGACGACCTCACATATATTTGCATTTACTCATGTTATATTTTAACTGTACTTTTTGTCTCCCCCACCAGAATGTGAGCTGCTGTTTCCTTCTCCGTCCTTGTAACCTAAATACCTGTCACCAAGCAGACGAATCCTTGTTGGCTGACTGGCTGAAGGTCTTTCTTCTGCCATCGCTTGGCTGTGACACTTTAGGCCTGTCATGTAACCTCCGGGGCCTGAAGCTTCCTGTTCCCCGGGTTGTGTTGTGAGTAGCACATGAAATAATAACCAGAGGAGTAGAAAGAGCCGGCAGTGGGAAAAGCCTTGACCTTGGGACCACATTCAAGCTCAATCCCTGTCTCACTGGGGGATGGTGGTGAAGTCACTCTTTGTGGCCTCAGTTTCCTCATCTATCAAATGGGGGAGAAGTGTCAAACTCAAGTAGAAATAGTGTACCTAAGAATCCATCTGAGTCACATATTGACTTAGAAAACCATATAGTAACATTATCTATGTTCTATTATATTTTTATTTATTTTGTTCAGTATTTCCCAATTATATTTTAATCTGGATGATGGGGCCCCACTCAGGAGTGTTGAGGGCTGAATATTTGACACTCTGAATTAGATTATATTATTGCTAAGATTTCTTCCAGATCAAAATGCTCTAGGTGGAAAGGTCCCCCCTGCTTAGAAACTCCATAGATGGGGAAGCCCTTGGAAGGGATTCTATATTATCACAGACCGTAGCCCAGAATCCTCCTACCTCCGCTTCATCTGTCCGGAAATAAAAGAGGAAATTCACCACCAGCTTCACGAGCCTCCGTTTCACCACTGGGGGAGAGATCAAAAGAGAATGTGGAAGTTGGGCACTGCATGAAAATCCCAGAGAGCCCCTGTCCAGAGCACAGGTGAGACCAGGCTTCTCCCCTCAGCCTTCCCACCCTTTCCTCAGGCTCCTTCCAAAATAACAGCATCCTTTACTAGAATTTCTCTAACCTTTAAACTTTGGGAAAAACACATAGACTCTTGGAGGGTAGAATCTGACCTAGTTTAAAGAGATGGGAGGGCAGAACAGGAAAGTAAAACAAGGTGGAATACCATGGGGAAAATCCAAAAATACAAATTCCTGCCTTCTCATCCCAAAGAGGGAAGCACCATTCTCTGTCCCATCTGTGCAGAGTACATCTGTCCAAGACTGAGACCAGCTATTTTAGGGGTTGACTTGACTCTTCTTTAGTCACCCAGGGGAGTTCCTTGAGTCAGAGCCCCCACTGTACCCTCATCAATAATGCCACGGTCCAAACGAAGGACAAATGCCTTCCAGAAAGAGGAGCCCCATTCCAGAGCAGAGCTGGAAGCAGGACCATCTGGACAGGGTAGAGGGCAGGCCTGGGCTAGAGTGGGATGGACAGTGGGGAGACAGGGCCAAGGAGGGACTGGGATAGAGGATTTTCTCTGGAAAGGCTGAGGTGGAACAGCCTTACACAGAGGCTAGACAGGGAGGTTCTCTGTAAAAGGGCAGCTGGGGCAGAGGGCCTGGGGGAGCCTAAGGGAGGTTATACAGTAAGATTCTGTCTGGGGTTTGCTAAGCTTGGAGGCTTAGACTTTTGTGGAAACCTGTTTGGGACTGTGGCTCCAGGAGGCTACTGCTGCTGCCCTGTCCAGTAGTTTCAGTCATATCCAACTCTTCACGACCCCATTTTGGGCTCTTCTTGCCAAAGATACTGGAGTGGTTCGCCATTTCCTTCTCCAGTTCATTTTACAGATGAGGAAACTGAGACAGACAGGGTTAAGTGACTAGCCTAGGGTCGCAATGCTAGTAAGTGTCTGAGGCCAGACTGGAACTCATGAAAATGAGTCTTCCCGACTCCTGATTCCAAGCTCAGTGCTCTAACGATAGGGTCACCTAGCAGGATATTGACATTTTTATTTGTTTAGGGGGTGGTGGCAGTGTTTGCAAGGCCAGCTGAGGAACCATTATTTTTCCCCACAAATGTTTATATTCCATTTTTAAAGCTTCGTTAGTAGTTTGATTAGAAGGGTAGTTAGATCAAGGTGGGGATTTTTCTTTGGAAGGACTTGGGAGCTTAGAATACTGTATACAAGTTGGGGTAACTTTCCTGGATTCAGAAGGAAAAGGGGGGGGCTAACAGATTAAAGGAAGAGAAAGTCAGACAAACTAGATCAATGATTTGGAGCAAGGAGGAACCTTAGACTTTCTCGTGTAATGCTTTAGTTTTACAGATGACAGAACTAAAAGGTTAATTAACTTGCCCAGAGGCCACAGGTCCACATATCAGTCAGTATTTGAACCTAGCATGTTGTAACACTGGAGCACTGAAGGAAGGGCTCAGGAAGGGTTCTCTGGATGGAGTTCGAGAAGCTGTACCTAAGGGAGTAGGATCCTGGTGGGAACCTGAGAGGGGATGATGAAGGGGGGATGCTATGACACTGGAGGTAACCTCAGGAGGACCTGGCAGGTGATTTACATGAAGGTGGGGAGGGCTTAGTTAGGGGAGGCTGAAGCTAGCATCTTAGGAGAATGTACACGGGGGTGACTGAGTCTGGGGGAAGCCGAGTCCAAGAGCTGGTAGGTTGTGCAGGTAGATATGAACCTGACAAGATGGAGGGAGGGTGAAGGGGAGTCAGGCAGGTATGCTCACTGGTGGGGCTGACGCTGGGAGACTGGGTACATGGAAGTGGGGGTGGCAGGGTGGCTCAGTCTGGTGACTTGGGAGTCAGGCAGGAGGGATACAGGGGGTCCTGAGGCTGGTGGCCTGGAGGGCTCTGTACACAGGTCGACCCTGGGGGACTCATACAAGGGGGGCAGGCAGGCCGGGCTCAGGAGGGGGTGCGTTCTTGGGGGAGAGGGGCTGAGGCTGGTGGCCTGGAAGGCTCAGCACACCGGGAACACCCTGGGGGCTCCTGTAGGGGGCAGCGATGGGCAGCCCCTGGGGGGCTGGCGTCCCTGCCCCCCCCCGGGCGCCCTCCCGCCCCGGCCCGGCCTCCCCTCCGCTCTCACCGCTGCCCTTCTTGGGGACCCGCATCCCGATCTCCGCCGCTTTCTCTGCCGGCTGCCGGGACAGCGCCTGGAGCTCCTTCTCGTTGTACCGCATCTTGACGGCGAAGGGAGGTGGGAGGCCCCGCGGCCACGTCGGGATCCTGCTCCGGCTCCGGCTCCGGCTCCCGCGGCCCGCCAGTCCCGGCCGGGCCGCTCCCCACTCCTCCCCTCCCTTCCTCCCGCCCTCGTTCTCTCCGCCCCCAAGAGCTCTGCTTTGTTCTTGTTCGTCGCCGGGGGCCCTAATAAAGTTGTTCCGCAGAGCTCGCCCCCGCGGCCCGCAATAAAGTTTTGTTGATGGCTGAGTTGCGTGCTCCTCCCCTATCCACGCTCGTTTCTTCTTTGATTTCTAGAGACCCGGATGTACAGGAATTCTGGGTGGGACGAGTTAGATTCTAGCCTCTGGCCTTTTCGCGGGCTCTAGGGAAGGAAGGCGCAGGGCGGCCCTAGGCGCCACAGGGGGCGGGGCGAAACACCCACCTAGCTGTTCGTGAGCAAAGCGGTCAATAAAGTTTGCGAGGGCTCCCCGTCGCGCGCGTGCGCAGGTCGAAGCTGCGGCGGCGGCGCGCATGCGTGGAGGGTCGGTACGACGAGCAGGCGGTACAGATAACGGCGGAGGGGCTCGTGGCGCTGGTCCTGACCGGCGCTTGGGATTTCTGTGAGGAGGCCGGTGAGGAGACGGGAATAGACCCTTTGGAGTCCAGGGGGGCTCGCGACGAGGAGGAGGGGCGAGGGGAGGAGGAGGAGGAGGAGGAGAAAGCGGCCGCGAGGCCTGAGGCCTGGGTCTCGGCGTGTGAAGGTCCGATATCGGCGCTGGGGAGCGGGGGCGCGCCCGAGCCCGGGTCACCTGTAGGTAGGCGGCGGGGGCGCGCACCGGAGGGGGCTAGTGGGGAGAGTGGCCCTGGGAGGGAGGGAGAGGGGAGGGCACACTGGACTGAGATTGCGCAGGGAGGGGCGTGCCTGGGGCGGGGCGAGGGGGGGGTGTCTCTGCTAGACTGTGATGGAGAGGGGGCAGCCGGGTAAAGTCCTCGAGTCCCAGAGCTTGGGCCGAGCTGGTGGGAGGCCATGGCCTCCTGATTGCCACCATTGTCAGTGGATTTCTCGGTGTTAGTGAACTTCCTTCCTGGAGACTTAAATTTGCTATTTAAGTATTTTGCATTTAATTTTCTGTATTCTGAGTCATCCCAGTACTGTGTAAGTTCCACGAGGGTAATTTTTACTTTGCTGTTCTCAGCACCTTGCACATAGAAAAAACCTAATAAACACTTGCTGACTTTCCCTTTTCTACACCTCACCAAGTTGATTTTCCAATAGCTTTTTTAAAATATAAATTTATTTATTTTTAGTTCTCAACATTCACTCCCACAAGTTTTTGAATTCCAAATTTTCACCCCATCTCCCCCTTCCACCCAACCCCCAAGATGGCATGCATTCTGAATATCCCTTCCTCTAGTCTGTCCTCTCTTCTACTTCTCTCCCCTTCTCTTAACCCCTTCCCCTTCTATTTTCCTGTAGAGCAGGATAGACTTCTGTACTCCATTTCGTGTATTTCTTATTTCCCAGTAGCATGTGAAAACATTTTTTTAAACATATGCTTTTAAAACTCTAGGTTTCAAATTTTCTCTCTTCCTCCCTCCCCAACCCCCTCATTGAAAAGGCAAGCAACTCAATATAGATTGTACATGTGCAGTTATGCAAAACACGTCCATAGTAGACATGTTGTGAAAAACTAACTCTATTTCCCTTAATCCTATCCTGCCCTCCCATTTATTCTATTCTTTCTTTTGACCCTGTCCCTCCTCAGAAGTATAACCCTAACCCTTTCCCAATCTGCACTCCTCTCTATCACCCCCCTGCTCTCTTGTCCCCTTCTCCCCCTATTTTCCTGTAGGGTAAAACAGATTTCCATATCTAATTGAATGTGTATGTTATTCCCTTTTTAAGCCAAATCCTATGAGAATAAGATTCACTCATTCCCTCTCACCTCCCCCCCCTTTTCTCTTCCACTGTAAGAGACTTTTCTGGTGGGTTTTTTTTTGTGAGATAATTTACCCCATTTTACCTCTCCCTTTCTTCTTCTCCGAGTATAATCCTCTCTCATCTCTTTAATTTTATTCTTCAAATATGACCCCTTAATATTCAACTCACCCTATGCCCTCTATCTATCTATCTATCTACATACATACATACATATAATTTTTTCCCTCCAACTACCCTAATACTGACAAAGGTCTCATGAGTTATAAATATCATCTTTCCATGCAGGAATGTAAACAGTTCAATCTTAAAAAGTTTCTTATGATTTCTCTTTCCTGTTTACCTCTTCATGTTCCACTTGAGTCCTGTATTTGAAAGTCAGATCTTCTATTCAGCTCTGGTCTTTTCATCAAGAATGCTTGAAAGTCCTCTATTTCACTGAGTGACCTTCTTAAAGTGCAGGTCTGATCATGTCACTACTCACTAGAAAAGGAGTGATTTGAAGGGGGCCCTGGTACATTAACGCAGGGAAATGGTCTTGTCCGTCAGCCCCGGGGATTTCCTTATTGTCTCTAGAATCAGACAAACCCCTCTGTCATGTAAAGTCTTTTACAACTGTCACTCTGCCTTTCCAGTCTCGCTATTCATTGCTCTCCTTCATGAGCTCTGTGGTACCTTCTTGCTCTTCCTCACACGTAATGCCCTTGTACTGGCTATCATTCATGCCTGAAGTACACTCCCACCTACCTCATTCAATGAAACTGCTCTCTTTAAAAGTTAGGTAGCACAATGGATAGAGCACTGGACCCTGGAAATAGGAAGACTTGATTAAAACCCAACCTTAGAGTCTTAATAGCTGTATGTACAAGTTACTTAATCTCTGCCTGCCTCAATTCCTGATTGGTAAAATGGGGATTATAATGCTACCTACTCCCAGGGTTGATTTGAAGATAAAATAAGGTACTTGTAAAGCACCCTTGTAAATCTTAAAGCTGTGTATTAATGCTAGCTTTAATACTAATTATTTTTTAATTGTAGACTCTCATGGCTTTTTCTCAATCCTCATCCTTCCAGACCTCTCTGTAGCCTTTGACAAATTTTCTTCTCTTTGATATTTTCCTCTAGATTTGGTGCTCTACTGTGTCCTGGTTCTCCTACCTGGGTGACTACTCCTCAGTCTCCTTTGCTTAATCTTTGCTGAATCTGTGCCCTCTAACCCTGGCTGTCCCCTAAGGCTCTGCTGGGCCCTCTTTTCTTTCTCTGTACTATTTCATCACCTCCTAGGTATTCAGTTATCACTATGAAGATGACTCTTAGATCTGCTTATGAAGCTCCAACTTCTCTTCTAACTTCCAAATTGGAATTTCTAACTGTCTGTTAGACATCTCAGCACATCCAAAACTCCAGTGGTACCCCATCACCTGCCACATCTAATACAAAAGCCTGTGTGTGGCGTTCATAACCTGGCTACCTTGTGCCTTTCTAGTCTTCCTAAACTGTACTCGCCCCAGTGACACTGGGCACCTTGCTATTCCTTGAATGAGGCGACCTGTGTCCTGACTCTGGGCATTTTTTCTGGCTGTCCCCATGCCTAAATTGTCCTTCTCCCTCCACCTCTTGGCTTCCTTCAAGTCTCAGCTAAAATGCCAGTTACTGAAAAAGGCTTTTTCTCAAATTTATCTTCTCTATCTTGTTTATGCATAGTTGCTTAAACTATCTCCCTGCTAGATTGTGACATCCTTGAGAGTGACAACAGTTTTTTGCTTTTGTTTCCTGAATACTTACAGTGCCTGGCACATAATTAATGCTTTGTTGACTGACTGACTTGACTTCTTGAAGTCTTTTATTTCCTTCAAGATTGAACTCAAGTACCACCACCTTCTTCATGAAACCTTTCCTAATTCCCTTCTGGTCCTAGTGCCCTTCCTACCAAAGAAGATGCTTTGTTTTTATTTTATATATAGTCTTATATATTTAGGTGGGACATGTTGCCTCCCCTTATAGAGTGTGAATTGTTTCCTTTGTATGCCAGCACCTGCCTTAGTGCCTGGCTCATATGTAGTAGATGCATATTAAATTCTTGTCAATTTTTTAATCTACAGGATTAAACTATAGGTTGAGTTCCTTAAGCTCACCTCCTACATGAAACCTTTCCAGATCCCACACTGATCTCTTCCTCTCAGAACTCTTACTGACAGCTTGTATTATGCTTCTCTGGCTAGTTCTTCCACATCCTTGAAGCCCTGACCCCAAGTCAGATGACCAAGCTGTTATTTACTGTACTGGGTCCTTATCTTGGCTTAGTGTTAAGTGTCAGCATTGTGGTCATCATGGTAGCAATGTGATTTTCACACAATTTCAGTCAGAGGAGATCTTGGGGCTGACCCTTGGGCATCTACTTTTAGTTTGAAGACGAGGAAGGAGAGAACAAAAAATTCTGAAGGTACCTGACTCTGCTTTGGGATAGCGCTGATAAATTGTAAGCCAGAATCTGTCTTGTGATTTCCATTCCCAGTTCTGCTCTCTGGGACCAAACAGAATGAATCGACTTCTTTCTTGTAATAGCCTTTCAGATATTTCAGGGCAGTTATCCTGTTTCCCCCTAAATTTTCTCTTTTCCAGCTTAAATGTTCCCATATCCTTTAACCAATCCTTGTAGAGCCTTTACCATCCTAGATTTCTTCCCCATCTGCCAGATTGGGCAATTAATAGATCATTGGTAATTTTGGAGAAAGCAGAAGGGAAAATAAAGTATGGCAAGTGATTTTATCATGGGATCATCAAGCCAGAAGGAGCCTCAAAGGTCTGAATGTATCATTCCTCAGTAAGCTGACTGTGTCTTTTTGGCCTTTAAGGGTCTTGGTAACCTGGCTTCAACCTCCCTTTCCAGAGACAGTATATGTTGGTTCCTTTCCCATACTCTGTGGTCTTAGCCACACGAGAAATTTTTTTATGTGCTTCATATATAACGTTTCATCTCTTAGTTCCTGGGTTGTTTGTCTTTCTTCATCTCTGCTTTTTTGAATCCTTGATTTCCTTCAAAGCTCTGCTCAAGTGTCACCTTCTGTGACACCTTTTCCTGATTTTCCCGCCAGCTGCTAGTGCCCTCCTTTGAAAAATTGTCTTGTATATATGCATTTTGTATTTTTTTTAATGTGGAGAGGCAGTGTGTCATAAAAGATAGAGAGCTTCAAAACCAGGGTGACCTGGTTTCAAGCTTTTCCTCTGCCACATATTAACTTCTCCATCTCTGTGGTACGCCCCCCTTCATTGGTAGAGAATGCAGATTTTTCCTTGATGAAGTCATAGGTCCAATAAAAATGAATGTAAGTGGTATACATATACATGTATGTATGTATGTATATGTGTATTTTGTATGTACTTGGAGTGTACATGTTTTCCCTGTCCAAATGTGAGCTCTTTAAGGGCAAGAGCTGTTTCTTTTTCTTTATTGTGCCAACACCTAGCTTGGCACATAGAGGTGTATAATACATATCTGTTGCCTGCTTGATTGATACAAGTTCTTTGTGAACTTTAAAACACCACAGAAACATTGGTCTTTGGATACATACAGGGTGCCCCACAAGTCTTAGTGCAGCTAAAAGCTTTAATAGTTTACAACACCACTAAGACTTGTGTGACACCCTGTGTATATGCCATTTAAGATTCAAAACAACAACAAACTTATATCAATCCAACCCTTATTTGGGGTTCTCTAATTGAGCACTTTTTGTATTGTGTCCCCACAGTACTCCAGTGGAATATGAGGTCATTGAAGTCAGTGGACATGTTTCGTTTTATCTTACAGGTCCAGTCTCTTTATCCCTTTACAGTACCTGGCACATTGCAAGTACTTAATAAATGTTTGCTGAATGAATAAAACATTTTAGGGCCCAGGCATCAGGCCACTAGCCCTCTCTTCAGGGCCTCAAAGCCCAGGCCTGCCCAGAGCTCAGGTGTATGCATGTGTATGCAGTATATCTTATGGTATACATTATTCCCTGCTGTGTTGGAATAAAGAGGAATTGGCATGGCATGTGAATTCAGTCAGTCCCCTGTATGACCTGATCGCTAGGTACGTATCGAGTCTCAGATATCCAGTCTGGTTTATCTCTTTGCTAGGTCAGCTCCTTCTCCCCACTGTGTTTGAGAGAAAACAAATTGAGCTAGCCCTGCATTGTCATAGGACCCTGTAGAGTTGAAGCCCCCATTTCTCCATGGAACACCATGCCCTACTGCTGCCCACCTTCCACCCTACCTCCCCTTTCAGCTTTGCTTTGTCATTGTCTTGCCCCATTAGTAAGCTTCTTGAGGGCAGGGGCTGTCTTACTTATTTTATCCCCAATACTTAACACCGTGCCTGGCACACAGTAAGTTCTTAATAAATATTGAATTGAACATTTCTTCTCTCCAGCAGACTTCTCCTCCATACCTTGGTATAACCCCCTTTCTGCAGCTACCAAATTTATGCCATCTCAAATGAGTCTTTACTGCTTTGAAGCAATCCTTTTATTCTTCCCTGCTTGGCTTATTCTCCATACATTGACTATTCTAAACATCTCTGTCCTCTAGCCATATACACCACCGATCCTTCATCTCTGTCAGTGAATGACTTTACCTTCTACCTTTATGAGAAAACTGAAGCCATCCTTCTCTCCTTTCCCACATTTTAAGGTCTCATTAAGTCATTCCCCGTTCTCTCTTCCTTGCTGTAGTCTCCTAGGATGGGATGATCATTTCCCTTGCTAAGTCCAGCCATTTTACTTGTGCCCTTGCTCCCATCCTCTCCTGTCACTGTTGGCATCTTACCAGATCAATCATTGGAATGCAGTGGTAAAGGGGAGCTTACATTCTCATTGGGGGAGATAACACAAGAAAGGAAGGCTTACCTCACATTCTTGTTCAGTTCAAGGCAGATGGAGAGGCTGCTGTTACTTAGATTCTGGCAGGGAAAGTAACAAGGCAAATGTTAGTCAATGAGCATTTATAAGTGCCTGCTGTGTGCCAGGCACTGGGTGAAGTGATGAGGATACCAAGAAAGGTAAGAGATAGTCCCTGCCTTTGAGAAGCTCACAGTCTAATGGGGGAAACAACGTGCAAGCAATTCTGTACAAATAAGATATACACAGGTTAAATTAGAGATAATCAATAGAGGAAAGAGACTAGAGTAGCAGCAAGGGGAATTGGGCAAGACGCGAAGAGGACTTCAGTTAAGACTTGAAGGAAGCCAAGGAAATATGGAGATGGAGATGGGGTGGGAGAGCACTCCAGGCATGAGGGACAGCCCGTGAAAACACTAGCAGTCAGAGATGGAGTGTCTTGTTTGAGGCACAAGCCTGGAGGCCAGTCTCCCATGATTATAGAATATGTGGGGTGTTTAAGGTATGAGAAGACTAAAAGAGCAAGGTTATGGAAAGCTTATAAGCCAAGTAGAGGATTTCGTGTTTGATCCTGAAAGCAATAAGGAGCCATTGGAATTGATTGAATGGGGCATTGGGGTAGGCCTGTGGGGTGGTAGCAATCGCAGTTACACTTTGGGAAGATCAGTCTGTCAGCCAGCATGTTCCTCTCATCTTTAATCTCTCCTTATCAACTGGCTTCTTCCCTATTATATATAAACATGCCCAGGTCTCCTCCTTCACTTGACTGTTCCCATCCTCTGTCTCTTTACCCGTTCACAAGCACATTCCTAGGAAAAAAACTACCTATCCTTGTTGCCTTCACTTCCTCACCTCCCACTTCTCAGCCTTTTCTAATCTGACTTCTGACTGCACCACTTGACTGAAACGACCCTGTCCAAGGTTACCAGTTATCTTACAACTGCTGGGTCCAATAGCCTTTTCTAAGTCCTCATCCTGCTCGACCTTTCTACTGCTTTTGACCCTGCTGACCATCCCCTTCTCTTGGCCAGTCTTTCTCACTTCGTCCTATCCAGATTTTTCTCCTGCTTGTGTGACTTCTTTCTCAGTTTCCTTTGCCGGATCATCATCCGCACCTCCTCCCGCCTTCTTTCTTCAGATTTTTCTATGTGTTCATCAGCTCTCAAGGGTTTCTACATGTTTGGAATGTATTTCTCCTTCACCTCCACTTCTTAGAATCCTAGTTTCCTTCAAGATTCAGCTCAGGTACCATAAAGCCTTTCTTCTTTCCCCAACTGGCTAGTGCTCCCTCCCTCCCATATACTTAATGTGTATATTTTGTGTGTACATCGCCAACTGCCTGCTGAATTTTCACCCAAATGTCTTGTTAACTTACATTCACCAGCTATAAAATAGAATCATCTTTCTCCTAAATTTGTTCCTTTTCTCTTTCATGCCCTTTTTTCTGTTACAGGAACCCCCGTTCTTCTAGACATCTAGGTTTACAACCTCAGTCACTTTTGACTTTTCTTTGTCCTGTACTGTCGTCCCTTTATTCAAAATTCAGTTGCCAGGTATTGTTGACCTGATGTCCGCAGTGTTTCTTCTATCTCTTCTTTTCCCGTACCCAGCTAACCTTAGGCTGGTCCTGTTCACTTTTTATTTAGACTATTTTAGTAGCCTTCTAATTTGTTTCCTTGCTTTTGTAGGCTCTCTTCTTTTTCGTCAACCTTCTGCACAGCTGCTGAAATAAGTGCCTTTCTAAGGCATACAGCTATTATGTCATTCCTTTGCTCAGAAAATCTTCAGTGGCTTTCTGTTGCCTCCAGGATAAAATAGAAAGAGCCTGGCATTTAAACCACTACATGAACTATTTCCAACCTACCTCTTATATCTTCAAGTCATATTATTCTCTTTCACAATTTGGTTTCAGCCAGGCAGGTCATTTTAGGTGATGTATAGATAGGGTACAGGACTTGGAGTTAGGAAATCCTGAGGCCAAATCCTGCCTCAGACACACCTTAAACTGTTGTGTCTCTGTTTCCTCATCTGTAACATAGGAATAATAATAGCACCTCCCTCCCAAGCCTTTTGTGAGTTAATATATATGTCAAGCTCTTTTTATACCTTAAAACACTACATAAATTCTAGCTGTCACTGTCTCTGCCTTTACACCAGCTGTTCTCCATGCCTGTTATGCACTTTACCCCTTCCTCTGTGAAGCCTTCCCTCCATTCTTTTCTTTGCCACTCCCTCACTGTGACTTGTTTGTGCTTTTCCCTGTCTCTGTCTCTGTGTCTCTGTCTCTCTCTCTCTCTCTCTCTCTCTCTCTCTCTCTCTCTCTCTCTCTCTTTTTTTGTTTTTTTGGTTAGGCAATGGGTTTAAGTGACTTGCCCAGGATCACACAGCTAGTAAGTGCTATGTGTCTTGAGGCTGAATTTGAACCCAGGTCCTCCTGAATCCAGGGCCAGTGCTCTATCCACTGTGCACCTAGCTACCTCAGCTTTTCCCTCTCTTAAACCAAATACTTTACTTAATGCTGGTATATATTTTACTCCCTATCCCCTACCAAGAATGTCAGCTCCTTGAGATCAGGGACTGTGTTGTGTTTTTCTATCCAGAGGACAGAGTAAGCATGTAATAAATATTTGAATTGACAAATTTGAATTAACAAAATGTGACCTTTCTAAAGTGGGGTGGGTAGCATATAAAGAGGGTGTGGGGGAGGGGAGACTCAGCTATGTAAAAAGTTAATTAGCAGTGCCGACCATAGATGGTAAGCAGCTTGTCAAAAAGTCCTGCAGGAATTCAGAGGAAGGAGTGACAAGGACAGACTTCACAAGGGGGTGGGATATGTGAGTGAAATTTTCTATTAACTTAGTAAGTTTGAACCTGATATTGAGGGGGCAGCGTTGGGGGATCTTTGGAGAATTTGCATGAGGGAAGTGATGTAGTCATATTATTGGGAGTATGGCAGACTCCTGCTAGATTTAGAGAAGCTCTTCATGAGCAGGGATACGTTTCTCCTCTGGTGATTGACAGCTTTTGTCATTGGCGTACTGTGTGTTTATATGTTGAATCCCAAACTGGGATGGGGGTGTATTTGTTAAATTTCTGAAATTTACAGCTTTTGCCCTGGGTTAATGGTCCTCTCTTCCAGTCTTGTTTTGCAGATTTCTTTCCTCAGTGCACTGAAGTACAAAGACCATCACCATGGATTTTCAGCATCGGCCTGGGGGCAAGACTGGGAGCGGTGGGGTGGCTTCATCGTCTGAGAGTAACCGAGATAGAAGAGAACGGCTCCGACAACTGGCTCTTGAAACGATTGATATCAACAAGGTAAAATTCAGTCGTTTCTTAGTTAAAGGAAACCATCTGGCTGCCTTAATTTTTAGAACTTGATACATTATCTCAGATTGGTAGGTTAGAACTCTCCCGGGAGCCATTTCTGGTCCTCTTGAGCTATATCTTGCCACTAGACCCAGATGGCTCTGGAGGACAGAGTGAGGCTGGTGACTTTGCACAGCCCTCCCTCACTTAAATCCAGTTCCCTTGTAGTTCAGGCCATCACCTCCCTGATATCATGGTCCTCTTTGAGAACGAAGAACAAACAAGAACAACATAGAGCTCTCCCTATCCCACCCCCCCATCCCATATCCCCTTGTACTCTGCCTTTTGAGAAGCAGCACGTTATATTGAAAGCTAGGAGTCAGGAGGCTGGAGTTCTGGTTCCAGCTTCATTGCTTATCTTGGACAAATTAACCTCTTTCCTTCTCAGTTTTCTTCAACCATAAAAATGAGAGGCTTGACAAGATTACCCACTAAAGTTTTCTTCCAGCCCCTAAAATTGTATGACCTTATTGATTGCAGTGAAAGATTGAGGTAAAGGTTAGGAACAGGACAGACAACATCTTAAGCCTTTTAAAAATGAAACAAGTTCTAGCAAAATGCCAGTACAAAATTGAAGAAGAGGATATCAGGGTTGAATTGTGGTTTTCCTTTGTTTTAGGTCCATGACAGCCTAAGTAGTAGCATGTGACAGTTTCTTCTCCATATTCATTCCATTTCACTATGTGTCTCAACGTCTGCCACTGACATGGCCTGTTATATTCTCATGACACTTCAGGATACTTAGTATGTGTGCAGTGTGAATGTGGGCAGGTCGCATTGCCTTTTTAGATTTGATCACCTCTTCTCTAAAATGGAGGAAATAATATCTTGTCTTTCTAGAGGTGAGACAAGATAATCTCTTCTAACTTCAGTTCCAGAATCTATGGTTCTTTAATGTCTTTTTTTATGAAAGCATGTTTCCTGATACCTCGATCTCTTTCAAAGAATAGCAGTCTATAAAATGATGATCAATTTAATAATCAAGTTTAATATCTTTACTTTCCCCTAATAGAATGAGCTACTCCTCACTGTACACCAAAGCTCCCTCCCCTTATCCCTGTCTCTCAGATGTAAGGTCCTTGAGAATAGGAACTGCTTTAAGGGATGGGGGTCTTTGTGTCCTCAGCACCTAGCAAAGTTTCATGTACCAAAATAACAAATGTTAAATTGAATTGACTTTTAAGAAGTTTTTAGTTTAACTAATTCTCAACCTTCTTGGCCACGTTCATCTCTCTCTTTGACAGGAGAGGGCAGTGGCCATCCCTAGGAATCAGAAAAGTTCTCCCATTAAAGGCTTAAAGGCAAAAAAAGAAACTCTTTCTCCCTGCCTTCCTCCTCCAAATTGTACAGGTCTTTGGGGTCACACTGTCATATGTGTGTGTGTGTGTGTGTGTGTGCGCGCGCGCGTGTGCTCACGTGCGCATATGCACTCCAGTGACTTCATTAAGAGCTCTCTCACACATCCAAAGAATATAATGAGTCTTACTTCTGAGTGCCTAGTAAAAGAAGGATTTTTCCTATAGTTTCCATTCTGTAAGGGCTGTGTGTTATTTCAGGCAGGAACATGAGCAAAGACAGTAGTAATTGTCACAGGCTGCTGCTTTTTTTGCCCCAGAACAACCCTTCTGATAATATCAAGCATGTTATTGTGTCTGTGGTTTTCATTTCATTAACATGAATTATATTTTTACTTTTCTAGGATCCATACTTTATGAAGAACCATTTAGGTTCCTATGAATGCAAACTCTGCTTAACACTTCACAACAATGAGGTGAGTTATGTTGGCTCTGGGCTCAAACAGTAGCCATGTGACCCAGGGCAAGTCACTTAACCTTCTTTGCCTCAGTTTCCTTGTCTATAAAATGAGCTGGAGAAAGAAATGGCAAACCATTCCAGTATCTTTGCCACGAAAACTCCAAACGGAGTCATGAAGAATCAGAAAGGACTGAACAACGAAAGAAATTGAGGACGATAGTACCTGTAGTCCTATGCTGCCTTTAACCTCTGTGGGTTTTTCCTATGATCAGAAGTAGAATTCCTGGGGGGTCATGAGAAGGCAGCTTCTGAATACTGAGGTATGCCTGCATGGTGAGGTGAAACCTGGGCAGACATTCCTCAAGGGCTGAGTGTAAGAACATCATCTCCCTCATCCCTCTGAAGTTTGAAAAAACCGAGCAAGTGTTCTGCAGCCAGTCTGCAGAATGCTCAGGAATATGAGTCGCATTTGCAGTGTTAATTGAAGTTAGCTAGCCAGTGTTTGTGAGCTCATTGATGGTTCTTAGAAGCCTGAAAAACATGAAGTGACATAAATAAAAACTGTTCCTCCCTCCTCTTCTCCTCTTGTATCCATTTAGTTCCAAATGGACAAATCAAAGTATCTTCCTATGTGTGTGTGTGTGTGTGTGTGTGTGTGTGTGTGTGTGTGTGTGTGTGTGTGTGTATATATATATATATATTTATATATATATACACACACACACATACATACATATACATACATACATACACACACACACACACACACACACACACGACTAGAGTTAGATAATCTGGTAGACAACACAGTTGATGTCCAAAATAAACTCAGCAGGTTAGAATAATAGGTTGAAGCTAATAAAATGAAATGTAATAGGGTTAAATATAAAGTCCTGCTGTGCTTTGGTTCAGAAAATCAGTTGTACAGGATAGGAAGTATGACTCGGTAGTTTCATGTGGAGTTTTAGCAAACTGAAATTTTCATAAAACTCAACAATGTGTTTTGGCACCTAAAAAAAGCTGATGTGGTCCTAGACTGTATTCATAGCAAGTTAATATCTGTGAATGATGGTCATATGGAACTCTTTCCTTTTCAGAGCCTGTCTGTGGTATTGTATCCTGCTCTGGGCAGGGACCAGGTAGAGCAGAGGAGGGCATCTAGGATTAGGAGGAGGAAGACTGGACAACAGGCCTCAGACAGACTATATCAGTTAAAGGAACTGAAGACCCTTAGCTAGAGGAAGTGGGAGTGGAGGTGTGTGTGAGGGGTTGATGTACATTGTCTTTAAATATTGGAAAATCTGTCAAGTGAGAAAGGAATTAAATTTGTTCAGCTGGACTTTGGAGGACAGACTGGTGAGTGGAATTTAAAAGGGTAGTAGGATTTCAGCCCATTATAAGAAATCTCTAGTTAGAGCTCTCCAATAACATACCGATTTGGTTTACTTTAGGAAGGAGAGGGGGCATCTCTTGTCACTAGAGGTCTTTCAGCAGAGCGAGGGGACTTTTCCAGTCATGTTGTAAGCAGGATTCACACTTGGGCTAGCATTTGAACTGTGTGATTACTGAGATCCCATTCTCTTGTGTTTTGATTCTGTGAAACTTCTTATACTTTAACTTACCCTAATTTCTTTGGTGTGTTTTCCCCCTAGGGAAGCTACTTGGCGCATACTCAAGGAAAAAAGCATCAAACAAATTTGTAAGTATTTAAAATAATAATCTTTAGGGACCTGATGTTGAATTATTGGTTACTTGTACTTATTTCCACCTACCAACTTCCCTGTCTTCCTTTAAGTCCCAACCAAAAAATTCCGCCTTTTATGAGAAGCCTTTCTCAACACCTACTAATTCTAGTGCCTTTCCTCTGTTAATTATTTCCTTTTTATCGTGGGTGTAACTTGTTTGTAGTACATATTGATTTGCTAATTGTTTCATCTGTCAGGTTGTTAGCTCTTTGAGGGCAGGGATGTCTCTTTTGTGTATCCCCTGGGCTTTAGTAAGGTGTAGGCATTTAATAAATGTTTATTGACTGGCTGAGTGTCACCACATCTCTTTCAGCTTGGTTATTTGGTATTCAAAGTGCTGTTTTGAAACGCTCTGCTTTTATTTAAGGTACTGTTCCTTGAATTAAAGCATTCATGGGATTCTATGAAAAAGACAAATAGCTACAGATAAACACAGCCCCAAAACTTTATTCTTATGGTCATTCAATGTGGAAAGAAAATGGAAAATTAGTTGGAAATTAGGCTCAATTGGTTATATAACTAATAAAGTTTCTTACTGTTGGTCTGGAACAGGGGCTGACAAACTATAGGACTGCAGAGAATGGTTTTTATGTTTTTAAACAGGTATGTTGTAATTAAAAAACGTAAACCATTCTTCATACAAAAACTGCCCTCAAGCAGTAGATTGCTGTGGAAGCAGTCACTATTTGTCTCCAATAATGTCTCATGTCAAACAGTTTGTCTCAATCAAAATATATATAATGAAGTGTGTATTTTTACTCTTAGTGTTGTGTGGTAATTTTTTCTTTTATTAATTTTTTTTTGCATACCCATTATAGATAATTGGGGAAAGTGAGGATAATAAAGAGTCACAAGAAAGTAAAACTGTTAATTGTCTGGCAGTGAAACAAATAGCCATGGATGTAACTTGAGTGCCAAATTTCAAAATATCAGAGAAATACAAAAGCAATATTAACTGTCTCTAATTTAGATTTGTATTTTTTTTAAAAATAAATTCTTATTGCTGTATCTTATTTTTAGATCACCTATAGTTCCCCTAATACCCTTTCCCCACCTCACCTTATCCCAGAGAGCTATTTCTTAAAATAAAGAAGGAAAAAAAGAGGAAGAAGACAATTGAGCAAAACTAACCAACACATGGAAAGCGTTGTCTGAGGTTTTATGCAGGGTCAGGAGCAGGGGAGGAGGGGTCGTCTTTGATTTCTTCTTTGGGGTCAAGCTTGGCCGTTAGATTTGCAGAGCATTTCACTTATGTTCTTTCAGTTACTTTGTACGTGTTGTTTCCCTGGTTCTGCTTCCTTTACTCTTCATCAGTTTACATTTTCCCGTGTTTCTCTTCTGTATTCATCATAGTAATGATTTTCCATCATTCATACACCAAAGTGTAGTTAGCTGTGCCCAGCTGATCATCTTTCTCTTTGTTCCCAGTTCTTTGTGCAGTTCAGCACTTTGCATGGTTGCACATAGATGGAAACAAAGAAGGTGCCCATGGACCAGCTGAGCAAGCTGTGTGAAATTTTACTGTGCCTTAAGAGCTCAGAGAAAGCATAGGCTGAGTTAGATGAATGGATGGAAAAGGAAGTTGGCAGAATCACATTTACTTTTAAATAGTTACATCAGGTTTATCCTGATGTGCTGTGGAGCCAATTTAAAAAAAAAGTTCTTTGGTTATAGTAAAATTACGAAGAAATTTATAAATAAAACAGTAAATGCAGAAACAACTTGAAAGTTGAAACAACTTTCAGAAACAAATGAAACTATGATGAACTAAACCAGGCCGGAATGTTGGTTTATGTAAGTCAAAAGGGAAGTGAAAATTGTTATGAGTCAGCATGTGTAGTGGTAAAGTTAAAAAATACTTACTGATCATTTTAGTCACATCTTTTTTTACTAAGTTGCTTATAATTTGTCTAAATCTGGGGAAAAAAAGTTGAAAATAAAGGTTTGTGGGTTGTTTTTTTTTTTTTAATTTAAAGGCTAGGGCTTAAAGTTTTTAAAGTTATTGTTCATATGTTATTTAGTACAACAGTACCAAAGTTCTAGTAATGAGCATTTAAAAATCATTTTAAGAGGTTTTAGTTAGCAAGCATTTATTAAGTGCTTAGTAAGTGCCAGGCAGTGTGATAAATGCTGGGAGTGACAAGAAAGACAAAACAGTCTCAGGCTTCAAGGGGCTCACGTTCTTCTGAAGGACGACACACACACAACCATGGTCCAAACAAGATATGTACAGGCTGAAGTGGAGATAATCTTAGTGGAAAGGCCCTAGCATTAAGTGGGACCAGAAAGACTTGCAGAAGGTATGATTTTAGTTGAGACATGAAAGAAGCTGGAGAGCTCTAGAGCCAGTGGTAAAGAGGTGGAAGATTCCAGGCATGGAGGACAGCCGATGGAGATGCAGGGAGTTCCGAGGGTCTTGTGCAGGAGATAGGCATGAGGTCAGTGTCACTGGATGGAATTTCATCATCAGCAGTGGAGGAAGACAAGAAAGGGAGGAGGAGAGCCAGGTTGTGAAGGGCTTGGAATGCCAAACAGGTTTTATATTTGATCCTAGACTTAATAGGGAGCCACTGGAGTTTATTGAGTAGGGAGATGACATGGTCAGACCTGCACTTTAGGAAGACCATTTTGATAGCTGAGCTGATGATGGCCCAGGAGATACTTGTCATAGGGAGACCACCAAGCAGCCTATTACAATAGGCTAGGTAGGGAGTGGTAGCAGTGTCAGAGGAGAGAAGGGAGGGTTCGTAAGAGATGTTACAGACGTCAAATTGATACTCCTTGGCAGCAGATTGGATATAAGGATAAGAGGCAGTGAGGAGTTAAAAGGTGTCACCTAGATTGTGAGCTAGGGTGACGAGGAGGATGGTGGGACCCTTGACAGTAAGAGGGGAGTTAGGAGGAGGAGAGGGGTTGAGAGTAAAGATAATGAGTTCAGTTTTGAGCACATTGAGTTTAAAGTGTCTGGAATATATAGTTCAAGATGTCCAAGGGGCAGTTTGAAATGTGGGACAAGAGGCCAGGATAGAGGGTTAGGACTTGGTAAATCTGAGAATCATCTTCATAGAGTTGATAATTTAATCCCTAGGAACTGAGATCACCAAATGAAATAGCGTAGAGGTAGAGGAGATGAGGGCCTAGGACAGAGCCTTGGAGGACACCCATGGGTCCAAGGGTTCCACTGAATTTTGTTTAAAGTGTTTCTGCTACTACTACAGAAAGTTTGAGAACCATTGTTTTAAGGTATGTGTCAAAATGTTGTTTGAAGCCAACTGAGTCCATTTTTTAGGTTGTTAGAATTCTTGTCCCTCTACCTGAGCTGTCCATATATCCACAAGCAGAGGAACTGGTTGATATGAGTGAAGGCAGCAGGCATGTGGTGAATCTCTCCTGCTTGCAAAGCCTTGGAGAAGATCCCAGAGTTGAGAGCTGTCACAGCCAGGGGTACTCCATTTTGATTGTCATAACTTAGGACCCTGAGGTGAGGAAGGAAGATAGAATATCTGAGAGGCAGCAGTGATGATGTGGAAAAAAGACTCATAGTCTTGCCACTGATCAGCTCTGTGATCTTGGAGAGTCATAGCCCCCCAGCATAATGCCCACCTGTCAGGGTTGCCAAGGCAGTCACTTGGTTAGCTGCTCCATAAATGTGAGTGAGTGGTTGTTGCAATCCTTTATGTACATGAAGATTTACACTTCACACAACTCTTTGCCGTATATTTGTGGTATGGTAGGAAGAGAGCTAGATGGTAAAGCCGGAGAACCTGACTCTGTTACTTGAGCACGTTTTTGAATCTCTTTAGGCTCAGTTTCCAACCTAGTGAAGGATTTGGGGCTAGATGACCTCTGAACTTCTTTCCAACTCTCATTCCATCCTCACTATACCCCTTTGAAGCAGGCAAAACAAGTTGGATGATTGTTCTAGTTTCTAGATGAGGTGAAATGAGATCCCCATGGATGATAAATTGAGAGCTGGGGAAGGGGGGGGCCACAGAGCAAGAAGGTGACGGAGCCAAACTAGAACCCAGGCCTCCTGGCCCCTAGTTCAGTACCCTTTTTGCTACAATAAGAGAATCTCCCCTTCAGACAACTTAGAGACACGGCGCGTCACTAACTCTTTGTTGTGGTTGACCTTAGGGCTCGGAGAGCAGCCAAAGAAGCCAAGGAGGCTCCAGCCCAGCCAGCCCCAGAGAAAGTCAAAGTGGAAGTGAAGAAGTTTGTGAAAATTGGCCGTCCAGGCTATAAAGGTATGTGACTCAGGGCTCCCTCAGGCAAACTGGACTTGGAGTACAGTATAGCAGGTGGTCTCCACAGCTGCTCTTTGAATTGTAAATAAGCTTTTAGCTACTGTAATCAATGACCCTGAAACCCTCCCTGTACCTATAGAAAGACTGTTCATCTCTGGAATTCATACCAGGAATCCAGTCAACTCCTCAAAATCTCCTCCTAGCTCTTTCTATGGACCTTTCTGCCACACTTGATAACTGTCTCCCCCTCCTTTGTGAGCAGAGGAGTAGCATAACCAGAGAGATGCTTAAGAAGGATTATTGTATCACCCTCATTTCTGTTTCCAGTTTTTCCTCTACTTCTCTTACTTGATTTTTTAAAATTTGTATTTATTTATTAAATATAAATTTGTTTTATTTTTAGTTTTCAGCATTTACTTCCACAAGATTTTGAGTTCCAAATTTTCACCCCATCTTGCCCCTACCCCCACCCCAAGATGGCATGCATTCTGAATTGACAATTGTTGGCGGTGTGTCTGACCTAGTTGTGTTTAATCTTGCCTTGTAAGGTTCCCTTTGGTCGACAGTAATGCCTCTAAAGGAAGAAGTGTTCTATTCCTTTTCCTTTAAAACGAGTGTTTTGCCAACCATCCCAGGCTAATGAAAGGCACTAGAATAACAAACCTGAATACCCTTCCCCCTTCTCTGCCTCCCTGTCTTGTCGGGGATTTTTACCTTCTAGCACAGGACTCTCAGGCCCCCTATAATAGCATGCCATTTGATATTACTGCCTGCATTTTTCCAAAGAGGACCACACTCAGTGTAGAGTAGTGAGTTTTCTGTAGATCCAACACAGAAATCTGGGGTTTCTTTTTTCTGTCCTCTGCCCTCCCTCTCTTTTTTTATTGGTATTTATTTCAGAGAAAGTCACCCCCAGGGGAAGTCCTGTAGATAGGCTGGGCTGCTTTATGGAGCCAGTAGCCAAAAACCATTTGACCAAACAGGCCCCTTCACCTTTTTGGAGCTGGGCAACCCAGAAACCCTCTCAACAGTCTGAGTCATTTTCATCTTGTCTTTAAGCAAGCCTGATCCCAAGCCTGGCCCATGGAGCCAGGGAATGTGGAGAAGAAGGCCTCTTGGCTTTGTGGCAGGATTTGTTATTTTCCTAGCACTGTCCTGCTCTTAGGTGCTTAGATTGATTTTATTGTCATTTTTAGACATGGCTTTACTCCAGCAAACGGTTATTGAACACCCCAGTGTGTAGAGCACTGTGGTGGAGGGAGAACAGCCAGCTGTCTAGGGAGGGATAAGACGAACACAGGTAACTGTAATACACAGGATTACATAGGCTTTAGAGAGGTACAAAGTTAGTGAGAGCTGAGGTACTATGAGGGGTCTTGGAAAGTTTCATCGGGGAGGTGGCGTTTTAATTGGGCTTCACATCATGGGTAGAAATTCAGCAAGATGGTAAGGGAAGGAAGACAGTTCAGGCATTAGGGATGGCATGAGTAACAGCAGGAAAGTGCCATTTGAGGGGCAGAGGACAGGGCTGTGAAGTTGACCTGAGATTGGACTGCCCAGGTAGTGAAATAAAGTTGTAGTGAGGTTCTTAATGCCTTGTAAAGAAGTTTTAGCTTTCCTTGTTAGGCACTAGGGAGCCACAGACAATGTTTGAGCAGAGGAGTAGCATAACCAGAGAGATGCTTAAGAAGGATTATTGTATCACCCTCATTTCTGTTTCCAGTTTTTCCTCTACTTCTCTTACTTGGTTTTTTAAAATTTGTATTTATTTATTAAATATAAATTTATTTTATTTTTAGTTTTCAGCATTTACTTCCACAAGATTTTGAGTTCCAAATTTTCACCCCATCTTGCCCCTACCCCCACCCCAAGATGGCATGCATTCTGAATACCTCTTCCTCTAGTCTGCCCTCTCTTCTATCTCTCCCCCCAACCTCTTCTCTCATCCCCTTCTCCTTCTGTTTTCCTGTAGGGCAGGATAGACTTCTGTACCCCATTTCCTGTATTTCTTATTTTCCAGTTGCATGTGGAAACATTTTTTTAAACATGTTTTTAAAACTTTGGGTTCTAAATTTTCTCCCTTCTTCCCTCCCCACCCACCCTCATTGAAAAGGCAAGCCACTCAATATAGGTTATACATGTGCAGTTATGCAAAACACTTCCATAGTAGACATGTTGTGAAAAACTAACTCTATTTCCCTCAATCCTATCCTGCCCCCCTATTTATTCTGTTCTTTCTTTTGACCCTGTCCCTCCTCAGAAGTATTTGCTTCTAATTTACCCCCTTTCCCAATCTGCCCTCCTCTCTGTCATCCCCCTGCTCTCTTGTCCCCTTCTCCCCCTATTTTCCTATAGGGTAAGACAGATTTCCATATCGAATTGAATGTGTATGTCATTCCCTCCTTAAGCCAAATCCTATGAGAATAAGATTCACTCTTTCCCTCTCACCTTCCCCCGTTTCCCCTCCACTGTAAGACCCTTTTCTTTTCTGGTTTTTTGTGAGATAATTTACCCCATTCTACCTCTCCCTTTCTTCTTCTCCTAGTATAATCCTCTCCCATCCCTTAATTTTATTCTCCAGATATGACCCCTTAATCTTCAACTCACCCTGTGCCCTCTGTCTATCTATCTGTCTTTCTTTCTTTCTTTCTTTCTTTCTTTCTTTCTTTCTTTCTTTCTTTCTTTCTTTCTTTCTTTCTTTCTTTCTTCCTTTCTTCTTTCTTTCTTTCTTTTTCTTTCTTTCTTTCTTCTTCTTTCTTTCTTTCTTTCTTTCTTCTTTCTTCCTTCCTTCCTTCCTTCCTTCCTTTCTTCTTCCTTCCTTCCTTCCTTCCTTCCTTCCTTTCTTCCTTTCTTCCTTTCTTCCTTTCTTCCTTCTTCCTTTCTTCCTTTCTTCCTTTCTTCCTTTCTTCCTTTCTTCCTTTCTTCCTTTCTTCCTTTCTTCCTTTCTTCCTTTCTTCCTTTCTTCTTTCTTTCTTTCTTTCTTTCTTTCTTTCTCTTTCTTTCTTTCTTTTCTTTCTTTCTTTCTTTCTTTTCTTTCTTTCTTTCTATCTACATGCATATAATTTTTTCCCTCCAACTACCCTAATACTGACAAAGGTCTCATGAGTTATAAATATCATCTTTCCATGCAGGAATGTAAACAGTTCAACCTTAATAAGTCTCTTATGATTTCTCTTTCCTGTTTACCTCTTCATGTTCCACTTGAGTCTTGTATTTGAAAGTCAAATTTTCTATTCAGCTCTGGTCTTTTCATCAAGAATGCTTGAAAGTCCTCTATTTCACTGAATGACCATTTTTTCCCCTGAAGGATTATACTCAGTTTTGCTGGGTAGGTGATTCTTGGTTGTAATCCTATCTCCTTTGCCCTCCAGAATATTATATTCCATGCCCTGCAGTCCTTTAATGTAGAAGCTGCTAAATCTTGTGTTATCCTGATTGTGTTTCCACAATACTTGAATTGTTTCTTTCTGGCAGCTTGTAATATTTTCTCCTTGACCTGGGAACTCTGGAATTTGGCTACAATATTCCTAGGAGTTTTCCTTTGGGGATCTCTTTCAGGAGGAGATCAGTGGATTCTTTCAATTTCTATTTTGCCCTCTGGTTCTAATATATCAGGGCAGTTTTCCTTGATAATTTCTTGAAAGATGATGTCTAGGCTCATTTTGTGATCATGGCTTTCAGATAGTCCAGTACTTAAATTCTCTCTCCTGGATCTTTTTTCCAATGCGATATTTCACATTGTCTTCTATTTTTTCATTCTTTTGGATTTGTTTTACAGTGTCTTGATTTCTCATAAAGTCACTCTTCCAATTGCTCTATTCTAATTTTTAAGGAAGTATTTTCTTCAGTAATCTTTTGGACTTCCTTTTCCATTTGGCCAATTTTTTTAGGGCATTCTTCTCCTCATTGGCTTTTTGGACCTCTTTTGCCATTTGGGTTAGGCTATTTTTTAAGGTGTTATTTTCTTCAGTATTTTTTTGGGTCTCCTTTAGCAAGCTGTTGACTTGTTTTTCATGATTTTCTTGCATCACTCTCATTTCTCTTCCCAGTTTTTCCTCTACTTCTCTTACTTGCTTCTCAAAATCCCTTTTGAGCTCTTCCAAGGCCTGGGACTGATACATATTTTTCTTGGAGGCTTTGGATGTGGGAGCTTTGACTTTGTTGTCTTCTTCTGGTTGTATGTTTTGATCTTTTTTGTCACCAAAGTAAGATAATATAGTCTGACTCTTTTTGCGCTGCTTGCTCATGATCCCAGCCAGTTACTTGAGTTTTAAACTCTTTGTTAAGGTAAGAGTCTGCTTCCAATGTGGAGAATGTACTGTCCCAAGCTTCAGGGGTTTGTACAGCTGTTTTCAGAGATACTTGTAGGGACCTGTAAATTTTCAGTTCTTTCAAGGTGGTATGATAAGGGGCGAGGTGTTTACTCCTTTCCTGGCCTGTGTTCTGGTCTGTTAGTGACCACAAGCACTCCTTTCTGTCCTGGAACTGTGAGGAGGGTTTCCTTTCCACAGTTACTACAAGTTCCACTATGCCAGCATTCCTCCTCGCCCCAGGATCGCCCCTCAGAACTGTAACCCAGATCCAGGCATGGGCAAAGCAAGAGATTCCTGCCTCAGCACTGGCAAAGAGATCCCTGCAATCCCCCTTTGATCAGCCACTTGATTCCCCCTCAGTCTGTGGGCCAGAAGCTCAGGAGGCAGCCCCCACCTCAGGCCGTGCTCAGGGAATGGAGCTGAGACCACCTCGTTCTCTCTTAGCAACAGACTTTTCCCACTGATCTTCTAAGTTATCTTTGGCGTTCCTGGTTTGAGAAGTCTGGAAATCACCACAGCTGCCCGAGATTCAGTTCTCTGAGGCCTGCTCCAGGTTCACTGCGGCCTACGTGCCCACGCTGCACTGTGCTCCACTCCCAGCCCAGTGCAATATACTTTTCCTATCAACCATCCAGGTTGTCTTGGCCTGGAAATTTGCTTCACTCTGTCTTTTTGTGGGTTCTGTTGCTTTAGAATTTGTTTAGAGCCATTTTTTATAGGTATTTGGAGAGGTTTGGGGGAGATCTCAAGCAAGTCACTGCTTTCCCTCTACCATCTTGGCTCTGCCTCCCCCTTACTTGATTTTCAGAATCCTTTTTGAACCCTTCCGCGGCCTGAGACCAATTCATGTTTATCTTAGAGGCTTTGGATGTAGGAGCTTTGACTTTGTTGTCTTCTGAGTGTGTTTTGATCTTCCTTGTCATCATAGTAACTTTGTATGGTCACAATTTTTTTCTGTTGCTTGCTCATATCCCCAGGCTATTATTTGACTTTTAACTCTTTCTTAAAGTAGGGCTCTTCTTCCAGGGTGAAGGGCACACTGTCCCAAGTTTCAGGGATTTTGTGCAGCTGTTTTCAGAAATACTTCTAAGGTCCTGTACGTTTTCAGTTCTTCCAAGGTGGCACGCTCTAAGGAGAAGTGTTTACGACTCTCCTGGCCTGTACTCTGGTCTGTGAGCAACTAGAAGCACTCTTTTCTGCCCTGGAACTGTGACAAGGGTCCTACTCCACCGTGGCTGCAAGCTCTGCTCCCCATGTTCCTCCTTGTCCTGGGACTTCCTGGGACTGCAGCCTGGATCCAAGTATAGGCAAAGCAACAGAGTTCTCTCTTAGTGCTAACAAAACAGAGACCCTTGCCATCTGTGCGCTTAGAGCACCAGAAGTAGCAGCATGAGCTGCTGCTGCTGTGGCTGCTGCTGCTGGTGATTCGATGACTGCCAAGGCCTGCTACTGGTCTGCTGTGGCTGGAGCTGTGCTGGTGTGGCCTGCACTGGACTGCCCTCCTCTCTCACCCTGGTGTATCAGACCTTTCTTGCTGACCTTCCAAGTTGTCTTGGCCTGGAAAATTGTTTCGCTCTGTCTTTTTATGGGTTCTGCTGTTCTAGAATTTTTTAGAGTCATTTTTTAAAGGTATTTGGAGAGGTTTTGGGAGAGCTCAGGCGAGTCCTTGCCTTTACTCTGCCATCTTGGTTCTGCCTCCCTCAAGAAGGATTATTGTAGGGAAGGCAGGAAAAGACTTGTGTTAGGAAGGAGGCTGATGTAACAGTACAAGCTTTTGAGCACAGCTGCCCTGTTTATCTTTGTGTCTTCACTAGCACTTAGCACAGTGTAACACTGCATGTAATATTCACTTAATGTTGAGTGAATGAAGGGTTTTGATAATCACCTTAAGAGGCCTTCAGAGTGATTACACTTAGCAACAGCTTTTCAGGAATAGGATCAGAGGGTCAGAGGCTTAGGGCTGGAAGGCACCATAGAGGGCATCTGGTGTAAGAGGAGATACTGAGGCCCAGCGAGGTGACATAATCTCTCAAAGGTCACAGAGGTAGCAAGGAGCAGAGCCAGGATTTGAATTTGGATCTTCTTGACTAGAAATCCATTGCTCTTTCCACTGTGCTACAGTGTCTTTTGTGTGCAGTGCAAAGTGAAGTACATTTACAGTAAATATTGTTATTGCTTTGTGTACTTCCAAGATTCGGGGGATGCATATAAATGTTACTTTTTTTCAATATTTAAAATTTAATTAAAATTGTTTTCAGTTAACAAAAATCTTCTCCACTCTTCCCCCCTACCGTTGAAAAAAAAGTAAGGGTGAAAAAAGCCTTGTAACATATATATAGTCAAGCAAAAGTAATTCCCGCCTTGGTCATGCCCCCAAAATCTGTGGTTCAGTGTGCACCCCGAGTCCCTCCTCATGGATTTCATCATGGGTCAGAGGACAGCTTCTTTCAAAGAATCCAACATCTGCTTCCTCTGCTTTATCTGCCTGTACCTGATGACCATCCCCATCCAAGCAGGCAGCATTTACGCAAGTTTGCCTGCACGTTTTTGTCCTGCATGTGAAATGGCAGATAAATGTGCCACTCTCCAGAGCAACACTTTGTAAATCTGTGAGAAGCAAGTGTCTGAATTTCCGGAATAGTGCAGGCAGCTTGGCCCTCTCTGGCTCCCCAGGTGTGTGATGTGGAGGCAGCCAGCCTGGCGGTGACGCTTGCATCTCTGCCACCCCCGTCATTCAGCAGGCATTGCTTCCCTTTCTGCCATGTGCTTCATCAGTGTGGTGCTAGGCACTGCAGAGAACATAGAAGAGAATGCAGTCCTTGCCCTCAGGTTTCTTATGGCTGTGCAGGAGAACAGTGTAGGACGAGTGGTATAGTTCAGAGAAGAGGAAGATTGGGGTGGGCTTTGTTAGAGTGACCAACCGCTTCTTTGTCTGTCTCAGTCACCAAGCAGCGGGACACGGAGCTGGGCCAGCAGAGCCTCCTCTTCCAGGTAAGGAAGCCACCTCCCCACCCCCCATCACCCTTTGTGAATGATCGTGTTCCCTGTGTGTGAGTCCTCAGCAGAAAGTCTCTTTTCCTTAAGAACTCTGGTGCACATGTGATGAGGGTTCATAAGAGGCCAGAGAATCACCCCTGATCCTGCAGCTCTGTGTTGTATGTTCTAGCTGAGTGTTCCCATCTCCCGGGCGCCACCCACCCCCACTCCAGTAGGGAGGTGAAAAGAAAAGTGCAGCTGCTGTTAATGCCTTTTGTGTCTTGTCTTTTCCCTTTCTCCTGCTGTGTTAACCACACTCTGCTTAGTTGTGCTCCTTGGCCTGTCCCTGCAGATTGACTATCCTGAGATCGCAGAGAGCATCATGCCCCGCCACCGGTTCATGTCTGCGTACGAGCAGAGGATTGAACCCCCAGACAGACGCTGGCAGTATCTTTTGATGGCGGCTGAGCCCTATGAAACCATTGCTTTCAAGGTAATGTAGAAAAGAGCTGAGAGGCTGGTCTTCTTTCCCCTTCCCCCTCCCAGCCTTGTGCTTCCCACCAAGTCACTGTATCCTTCCTTTAGAACAGCTTCTCCAGTATTTACCGAACCCGCTGTACCCCTAACACTGCTTTAGGACCGTAGGTGGAAGGCAGGGGCAGTTGCTCTAAATCTGGTGGTTGTAAGTGAGAGTATTTATCCCTGCTCTCAAAACGAATCCCCTCAAGGACACCAGAAATGTAAGAGAAAATGCTGTAAGATAGAAAAAGGATGGTAGATTTAAAGCTGGACATTATCCTTTACGCTAGTACTTTCTCCCAGTCTCTGGTGATCCCAGATCCATCTGTCCAGCCCAGGTCTCCTTCTGAGCTCTAGGCCCACATCCCCCACTGCCTGTTCTACATCTTAAACTAGATATCCCAGAGCCGTCCTTAACTCAGCATATCCAAAGCAGAACCCATTATCTTTCCCTCTGATCCTCCCTGTTTTGTCCTCATCCATTCTGATGAGAGGCCCACTCTCCTCACAGTCACCCTACAGTCTATTGGCATTGTCCTTTCTCCCTTCACCACATCTCTCCTGTGCGTCCCTCTCTTTCCTTTGCCCTGGCTGACCTTATCCCTGGAATGCTGTCCCTCCTCACAAGCAACCTCCTGCCAGATGCCTTTCCCAGGCTCCTCTGCTGATAGGACCTTTCTCACAAGATCACCTTTGGGTATTCTGTACATATCTTCTCTGTACCTATTTATTGACATATTGTGTTCTTTCCCCCTTCCCCACTTCTAACTAGCCTTAGAGGGCAGGTTCCTTGAACTGTTTTTGCCCAACTTTCTATCTCCGCAGTTTAACACCTCGCCTGTCAGGTGGTGGCTGATCACCGTTGAGGGGCCCTTCTCCTGACCAGGGCCAGCCACTAGATGTGCCCTCAATCCCATCTCCTCCAGCACATTTTCACCTCCCTCCTCCCCTGTCTCTAATGCTGTCTTCAGACATGTCTGAATTCCTGCCATCCATCCTTAAAAAAACAAACAAACTTTTGCTGGAGACATCATCCTCTCAAGCTGTTGCCCTTTATCTCTCCTTCCCTTTGCTGATGTGACTAGAAAAAGCAGTCTCTGTACTCCTTGCCTCCATTTCCTCTCCTCTCACTCCTCAGGCCTTTGCAGTGTCCAGTCCGAGCTCACCTGAAGCTGACTGCTCTTTCCAAAGTCACACTGAGACTGCTCTTGATCCTCCTCCATCTTACGTTGAGGCCCTCGTTGGCTGGCACATAATCTGCAGCAGGCCCCTTCACTGCCAGTGTTCTCTAGGGCTTTGGCCTTGGGCTGCTTCTCTCCTTTCTGCACTCTGTCTTGGTGACCTCATTGGCTAGTTTAGTTACCTTCTGCGGGCAGGTGACATGTAGGTCTTTACATCCAGTCTCTCTCACCTGAGCTTTGCAGAGTCCTACATCGTCGTTCTGTACTTACTAGGCATTTCAGACTGTATGTCGTGAAAACACCTCTTGAACTTAGTGTGTCCAAAACAGAATCAATTCTCTTTCCTCCAGACCCGTCCCTCTTAGTTTCCTGGTTTCTGTAGCAGCCACTGCCTTGGCCTACAGCCAGTCAGTTACCAGATCTTGCCATTTCTACCTCCTCGGCCTCTCCTGCATTCAGCTTATTTTCCTTACACAGCCGCCCTGCCCCCCCCCGCCTTACCTTAGTGCAGGACTTCATTGCCTCTTACCTAGACCAAAGGAGCCTTCCAATTGTCTCCCTTCCAGTCCACCAACAAAGCAGCTGTGGCAATGGTTCTTTTCAAGCAGACATCCGACCACGTCACTCCCATAGTCAATGAACTGCAGTGCCCCCCCATGCTTTTAGGGTCACCCATGAACTCTCTTTGGTTTGCAAAGCCTTTCACAACCTGGCCCCGACCCATCTTTCTGACCTCATTCTACATTATCCATCTCTTCACACTCTGGTGCTTTCCCAGTGGCCTTCTCTCTGTTCCTCATGCATGCACACAGCACCTCCCTCTGTGCCTCGGTACAAGCGTCCCTCATGTCTAGGATTCTCTGTCTCACCTCAGCCTCCTTCCAAGATACCACTCACACCTCACCTACCATGCAGTTTTTTCTGATCCTCCTCACTGGACAGGTAGACGGTGCTGTGGATAGAGCGCTGGGCCTGGAGTCGCGAAGACTTGGGGTCAGATCCAGACGCAGACACTCACTAGCTGTGTGACCCTGGGCACATCACTTAACCCTCTTTGCCTCAGTTTCCTCATCTGTAAAATGACCTGGAGAAGGGAATGGCAAACTGCTTTTGTATCTTTGCTAAGAAAACTCCAAATGGGGTCAGGAAGAGTTGGGCGTGACTGAAAAAGACTAGACAGTAACAGCCACTTCGTGGCTAGTGCTCTCCTTTGCAAGCTGCCTTATGCTTAACTGCTTTATTTTATTTATACACACACACACACACACACACACACACACACACACACACACACACACACACACACACTCCTCTCTCTCTCTCTCTCTCTCTCTCTCTCTCTCTCTCTCTCTCTCTTTCTCTCTCTCCCCCTCCCTCTCCCTTTTCCTTCTCCCCCCCCACCCCCTTACACACACACACACACACACACACACACACACACACACACACACACACACACACACACACACACACACACAGTCTGTCTTGAGAGACTTTGTTTCCTAAAAGTAGGAATTGTTTCATTTTGGTATTTGTACCCCTGGCATCTAGGAGAGTTTCTGGCACATATCTAGCACTTAATAAATGCTTATTAATCAATTGATTGAAAGGCCCTCAAAGGTCATTTAGTGCAACCCTCTAATCTTACAGATGAGGAAAACGAAGGTCAGAAAGTTTAGGTGACTTGTACAGGGGCACACAGGAAGTTGGGCAGAACCAGGATTTGAATCCACGACATCTGATTGCATTTTCCCCACTCTGTCACCCTTTTTTGTAGCCAAGATCTGATTGTGTGCTACAATCATTAAGTGTATTAGGAGTTAGACAATGGCAGGCTAGAAGGAGGCTTCTTGGAATGGCTTCTTGATCTGGAGTTTGAAGAATGGATAGAATTTGGCTAGGTAGAGGAGGGTGGTCTTATCATCTCTAGGCTGGAAAACAAATAAGTGGAAGCCAGAAGTAGAAGGGTACATTTATCTTGCCTTCAGTGGAGAGTTTCTGTTGGAGAGTGATGGGAAATGTGGTAGCTAAACTAACATAGGGCCGGACCATGATGGTCAGGACAGGTGTGCCTGCATAGAGAATTTTGATATCTTCCCTCTAGGCATCCCTGTGCTTGCCACTGGCCTCCCCATCTCTACTGCAGGCATTCTAGTACTTCCTGTTAATTCTTGTCCCAAGAAAGGTGGCCTTTTGTGTGGGCAGACACTTAGCAACTGGGTTCCTTCTGGTCCAAGTGTAGATCTGGGGACAATATCCTCAAGATGAATTTTTAGCCTTCAGGATTCTCAGACTCTGCACATGGAATTCCTTTCCCAGTGTGGGCCAAAAGTACTCATGTGACTTTGGGCAAATCAACCTATTGTTATTTCCCACCAGCATCATTAGAAGATCTCTACGTATTATCATCCTAAATCTCTGAGCCAGAAGTCTGAGCCTGGTCTCTTAATGGTCTGAACCAGAGACCTTCAGACTTTTGGCTTCCTAGGGAGATGTTATATAGGCATTACACTAATGTGGTCCCAAAAGATACTGAATCCTCATAACTATACCACCACCACCCCCTTGCCTTGCTCTGCCTTAGCCCTTTCCTCCTTGTTTTTAACATCTTAACATAACGGCATGCCTGGAGGGGTAGAAACAGAAATCTAAGAGGTTATCACTCAGCTACCCCTGTCTGATCTCTTCCTTTCTGCTCAGGTACCAAGTAGAGAGATTGACAAGGCTGAGGGAAAGTTTTGGACCCACTGGAACAGAGAAACCAAGCAGGTAATCGGTAATTCCTTGCCTTGACCTAGATCATTTTTTTGAGAACTTCTCTAGCTTTGAACTTTTCTGATTTGGGGTTCCCTGTAGCCCCTGGTGAGTGAGTAACTTCACAGACTAGGGGAGTGGTCCTCTTGGTTAGAGGTGGATTGTACCTCCAGGGTGGGCATTTTCAAACCTCTGGGCGTTGCCAAATCAGAGCTCCTTTTTATCGCGTGACCAGATGTTGACTTGTCAAGAGTGGAGGCTTCTCCGGCTAAAATTCCCCTTGTAGCCACAAGTGTCCTCTGTCTACATTCACCACTATGGCTGTGGCCAAGGCCTTTGTTGGGCAGCCTCTGCTCTCTCGCCTGTGCAGCTCAGCTTGTTTTTCATTCAGTGAGACTGTTGGGAGACTGGAGGCAGGCTGGGTCGTGTCTGGGTTAAGGTCAGAGCCTCTCCTGGACATTTGGTTCCTGTTCCAAATCACAGGACAGCTTGGAGAGGCCTGGGCACCTGCTTTAAAGGAGGAAGCAGCTCCTAACCGAGCTTATTGACATTCCCTGGTGGAGGGTAGGAGAGTCAGCTTAGGGACCCCTGCTGGTCTGTCATGGCTCTCAGAAGGCTTCTTCATCTTTTGCTTTTCTTTCAGTTTTTTCTCCAGTTCCATTTTAAAATGGAGAAGCCTCCTGCTCCTCCAGCCCTCCCTGCTGGGCCTCCTGGAGTGAAGCGGCCCCCACCTCCACTGATGAATGGTTTGCCTCCTCGACCACCTCTGCCAGAGTCCTTGCCACCACCACCTCCAGGCGGCATGCCTCTGCCACCCATGCCTCCCAGTGGGCCTGCACCCCCAGGCCCTCCTGGGCCTCCTCAGATGCCCCCTCCTGCACCTGGAGTTCATCCTCCAGCTCCTGGGGTTCATCCTCCAGCTCCTGGGGTTCACCCCCCTGCTCCTGGGGTTCATCCTCCAGCTCCTGGGGTACATCCCCCGGCTCCTGGAGTCCACCCTCCTGCTCCTGGAGTCCACCCTCCTGCTCCTGGAGTCCACCCTCCTGCTCCTGGAGTCCACCCTCCTGCTCCTGGAGTACATCCTCCAGCTCCTGGGGTTCATCCCCCAGCTCCAGGGGTACACCCCCAAGCACCTGGGGTACATCCCTCAGCACCAGGGGTACACCCCCCAGCACCTGGGGTTCATCCTCAGGCTCCAGGAGTTCACCCCCAAGCACCTGGGGTTCACCCTCAGGCTCCAGGAGTGCATCCCCAAGCACCTGGGGTTCACCCTCAGGCTCCTGGGGTACACCCCCAAGCACCTGGGGTTCACCCTCAGGCTCCAGGGGTACACCCCCAAGCACCTGGGGTTCACCCTCAGGCTCCAGGGGTACACCCCCAAGCACCTGGGGTTCACCCTCAAGCTCCTGGGGTACACCCCCAAGCACCTGGGGTTCATCCTCAGGCTCCAGGGGTACACCCCCAAGCACCTGGAGTTCACCCCCAAGCTCCTGGAGTTCACCCCCAAGCTCCTGGGGTACACCCCCAAGCACCTGGGGTTCATCCCCAGGCTCCGGGGGTTCATCCCCAGGCTCCGGGGGTTCACCCCCAAGCTCCGGGGGTTCACCCCCAAGCCCCAGGTGTACATCCCCCAAACCCAGGAGTACATCCCCCAACTCCTATGCCCCCAATGTTGCGGCCCCCTCTTCCCTCGGAAGGACCTGGAAACATTCCTCCTCCTCCACCAACCAATTGAAAAGCTTTTCCTCCTCCCCTGCCAAGTTGGTTTTTATTTACACTGTATCATTCCCCCAAAGACAAGTTTTGGTGTTTTTTTGTACAGGGGTTTGAACTTTGTCCTCAAAGTTGATTAAATAGGTTTCTACCTTGTTTACATTGAATGGAATAATATGAAATAGTCTCATTAAGCTACTGTAGAGTCCCAATGACAGGTCACTGGGAAACATTCAACCACTTCACTGCCTTTCCCTAGTTCCCATGCATATTGGGTCTAGGAAGAAAACCTCTGAGTGCTTGGTTCCCTGACTTGTGCAGATATTCATAAGGAGCGTGTTGAGTTGGGGTTCAGCCCTCGTCCCTTGTCTTGTTTGAGTGGGTGGGCTCCGACACCCTCCCAAGGCTTGGCAAGAGTTCTGTCGAGTAGACATGGCCACAATCTCCCCAGAATTGGGCGCTGTGTACACTTCTCCTCCTTAACCCTGCAGTTTGTCACAGCAGATCTGTGGCATAGGTTTCCAGCTCTGGGACTTTCCTTGAACCTTAGTCAGGGGAAGGAGGCGGGTTTGTATCTCGGGAGACATCTGATTAGGGCCCTAGCTAGCCTGCAGATCTGCAGTACTCTGCCAGGCCAGTTTAGGATCTCTTTCTATCCCTGCGGCATTGCCAGTTTGAGCTTGGTACTAATGAAGCCAGGGTCATGCAGTCATTCCAAGTACTTAGCCCCAACTCCAGCAGGTATTTCACAACGTTTGCCCAGGTAACCTGGTATGTGGGTGACTTAGTGGAACCCTTCCAACTCCCTCCCCCATCCAGCTATCACCAGCCCATGTTCTACAGAGAAATATGAGAGCGATTTCGCTTCCTCTTCTCCCCCTACCCCAGCTTAGACTTAAAAGTTATGTCGTATTTCTCTGTGCAGTCATATGTGGGTGGTCAGTTTCTTTCAAAGGCCATTGACTACATCTGGTATGGCCAGCCTTGTATTAGGTACCATGGGAAAATAACAGGTGGAGACAGTCCCTGCTCTAAGGAAATGTGTTGAGAAGACAACGATTAGAGAGTGACGTTGTTCAGTAACCGGTTTCTGGTCACACCTTGGTCAGGAGTTGGAAGGGACTTCACAGTTTACTAGCCTGTATCTGACCAAGAATCCCTTTTAGGACATTCTTAAGACGCATCCGTAAGGCTCTCGAGCTGCTGCATCGCCTCTGCGTGGCGAGCTGCAGTAAGAAGCTCAGACATTGGCAGCAGCCTGCTTTGTTTTAGGACGCGTCTGATGGTTTTTACTCAGAGCCCCGGCCAGCGGCCTGCCTGCCACATTGCTCCTGGCTCTTCATCCTGTCTGTAATTAGTGAAGTTGGCTTTTTTTGACCCAAATGTGAAATTTCACTTTCCTCACTATTAAATTTTAGTTTTCTCAGTTGTGCTGGAATTCCATCTCACTCAGCTTGGCCTTTCCCTTTGATGTGTCCGGATCTTTTTGGCTCCTGATTCTCATCCAGCCTGTGAATGTTCCTTACCGACTTTGTGTCATGTGCACGTTTAACAAGTATGCTTGCTACTTTAAGCCAGCCATTTATAAAAATGTTGAACAGCCACTAGAAACTTTTCACTTCCAGCCATTAGTGATTATTGTTTGAGTAGGTCATTCCACACATTCGAAGTTAACCTAAGTATATACACTGCCATGTAACCTGTCTGGGGAGATAGCATGAGTGGCTTTGCTGAAATCTGAGTACACTACATCTATAGCAATTCCCCTGACCTGCTAGACTGCTTGATGTCCAGTCATGTTCGACTCTTCGTGACCCCATTTAGGGTTTTCTTGGCAAAGATCCTGGAGTGGTTTGCCATTTCCTACTCCAGTATTTTACATATGAGGAAACTGAGGCAAACAGGGTGAAGTGGCTTAATCAGGGTCACACAGCTAGGAAGTGTGTGAGGCTGGCTTTCAACTGAGGAAGTTGAGGCTTTCCTGACTCCAGGCCTGGCTCTCTACCCACTGTGCCACCTAGTTGCCCCATCGGTCTTAATGGAAATGAGTTTAGTCTGACACAGCCTACTCTAAAAAAATGTGTTTTTCTTCGTTTGCCCAAAATCAACAAATACAACTATTTTCACCTACATACAGGAACAGGAAAGAAGAATGCATATAAAGCTAAAATCTCCCTTCCATAAGCTTGCATTTCTTTTCAAAGTTACATAATAAATTCAACAGTTTCAAAGCTGTTCTCCTTATCTAACCTCTTCCTGTTCTCTTTGCACATTTTAAAAATGCTGCAATGGCCCTCTTTTATTTCCCCTTTTTTATATCACTATCACTAGTCCTTTGTTCCCAAACCTCCTCCCCCAAGCTTAAAAAAAGGCATAGTTAGGCAGGACAAACCCACACATTGGTGACATGGCCTATTTTGGAAGTCATGTTGGCTTTCAGTAATCGGTGCTTCCCTCAGAAACAGGCTCTAGACTGTTACCAGGAGTAAAAATTGAGGCTGCAGATTTTACCCTCTGAAAATTAGGACATCTTGATGACACTTTGTGTTCCCCAGGATCTTATTAAGATCACTGACAATGACTTGGCTATCCTGTTTGCCTGTTCTTTCAGTACTCTTATGTGTAATGGTAGATTGGTGGCAAACTGAGTTCTCCACACGTCCATATCAGCAACTTTAAGCATCTCACGTTTTATTTATGGGGGAGGTAGTTGGTGCAGTGGATAGAGCATCGGGCCTAGAGTCAGGAGACCCAAGTTCAAATTTGACCTCAGACGCTTACTAGCTTTGTGATGCAGGGCAGGTCACTTCTGTTTGCTTCAGTTTCCTCATCTGTAAAATGGGAATGATAGTGCCTCATTCCCAGGGTTGCAAGGATTAAATAATAATTGTAAAGCACTTAGCACAGTGCTGCCTCATACAGTAAGGGCTACGTTAATATTAACTATTATCCTTATTGGAACCATTTCTTCTAGTCGTTAGGATTTCATGCATGAGAGCGTCCTTTCTTGAGCTAACTTCCCCTTGTAATCATACCATCAGATCCTACCTATCCTTTCCCTACAACTCTGAAATCTGATGTAGCACCTGTAGTGCACATCAGACTGCCCAGATTTCATCAATGTTCAATGACAAAGTGGTCGTTTGCCTTCAAAAGTTCTTGTCATTTCTCTTTTAGAAGCCCACCCCACCTTTTTAGTCAGAATAAGGTACAGAACAGCAGTTCTCTCCCAGAATTGTTACTCCCACCCCTGGAAGGATGAAATTACTTTGTCACAAGTTGATCAGCTGCTCTGCTTTTGACAGAGAACTTCACAGATGTCCAGGTAGTTGAAATCTGCAGTCATTACATTACAATACAATGGTTCCATTCCTAATTTGTATCTGTTTTCTTTTTTTTAATTCAATTTTGTTTTCAGTTGCAACTTTCTCCTTCCGCTTTCTCTCCCCTACCTATTGAGAAGACAAGAAAAACAAAACCCACTACGGATAGGCATGCAAAATAAATTCCTAAATTACCATTCCCCAAAAAAGAGAAGTCGTACTCTTGAGTTCATCAGCTCAACCTGCCTAGTGGAGAACGCGTTTCATCATGAATCCTTTGGAACTATTGGTCATTGTAATCATCAGAATCTTAAGTCTTTCAAAATTGTTTGTTTTTACAAAGTTTTTGTATGAGTTGTTCTGCTCACTTCACTTTGCATCATTTTGTACAAGGATTTTTTGAAACCATCTTTTTCGGTTTTTACCAGCATAGTGGTATTTTGTCATATCCATATGCCACAGCTTGTTCAACCATTCCCCAGTTGTTGGGGGGCATCTCCTCAGTTTCCAATTCTTTGCCAACACGAAAAGCTGATATAAATATTCTTGTACATATGGGTCCTTTCCCATTTTCTTTTATCTCTTTGGAGTATAGACATAGTAGAGGAGTTGCTGGGCCAAAGGATATATACAGTTTAATAACTTTTTGGGCATAGTTCCAAATTGCATTCTATAATGGTTCTCCTGGTTCACAGTGTGAGTGCATTGCTGCACCTGTTTTCCCACATCCCTCCCAGCATCTGTCATTTTCCTTTTTTGTCATCTTAGCCAGTCTGATGCGTGTGAGGTGGTACCTCAGAGTTATTTTCATTTCCATTTCTCTATTAACAGTAGAGTATTTTTAATACAGCCATTGATAGTTTTGATTTTTTCCTTTGAAAACTGCCCATTCATAACCTTTGGCAATTTACCAGTTGGAGAATGGCTCTCCCTTGTTTGGTTATGGGCTCTTCCTCTCGCTGGCAGGCGATGTCGTCCGTGCTCCACTAATTTGCCTTTGGTGTCGCCTTTGATGTCTAGGCCATCTTGAGCTTATCTTGGCCTATGTAGGAGAGGTTGGGCAAGGTGTAGTTCCTGCCATACTACTTTCCAAGTTTCCTGATATTTTTTGTTGGATTGTGAGTTCCCGCCCCAGTAACTGAGATCTTTGGGTTTGTCAAAAACTAGGTTACTGTGCTCATTTGCTTCTGTGTGTTGTGTAATTCTTTCCAATTTAATTTCTTCCCTCACCCCTATCCTAGTTGATCCATTTGGTCCATAATATATCATCACAATGATATTGTTACTTTTCCCCCTCTCTTATTAATCCTAATCCATGGTTCTCCACCATGTTTCTTACCTTGGGTTACTAGATTTATTCACAAAAACATAGCTTTTTTTCTTTCTTTCCTACCCACCCCCCCTTTTTTTCAGTAGTCGGGGTTAAGTGACTTGCCCAGGGTCACATAGCTGGTAAGTGTCTGAAGCTGGGTTTGCACTGACTCCAGGGCTGGTGATCTATCCACTGTGCCACCTAGCTGCCTCTTAACATCTTTTTAATATGTGATGTTACTCCATCCCCACCCAGCCTGCTTTTAAATCTATTACGTATCTTTTTGCCAATTTCACCAATTCACCAATAACCACATTTTAATCCTATCCCACCAAATCTCAGGACACTGAATTTGTTTCTGTATATTAGGGTTCTGAGTTCATCCTCTTTGCGATGCATATCATTGGCCTTCCTGGGTCCCCTGTTTCTCTGTAAGTTATGAGGTGACCTTGAAGATTCTTTTTAGCACTAGCATTTTTAAAATTCTCCAGTGTCTGGCTTGTATCATACATTTTAGCACTCAGTTGCATTCATCACCAACACTCTACACCATTGTCACTACCATCGTTGTCGCTGATGGTTTTTTATTGTTAAATGTATATCTTAAGGGAAGCCAAGTGGCACAGTAGATGGACTGCTGAGCCTGAAGTCAGGAAGACTCCTCTTACTGAGTTCAAATTCTGTCCCAGACACTTACTAGCTGTGTGACCCTGGGCAAGTCACTTCACCCTGTTTCCCTCAGTCTCCTCATCTGTCAAATGAGCCGGAGAAGGAAATGGCACACCACTCCAGTATCTCTGCCAAGAAAACCCCAGATGGGGTCACAAAGAGTCAGATATAACAGAAATGACCAAACAACAGAAGTATGTTTTCTATCATAAATCTTAGCATTTGGTTGCCTCCAAGGTCTACATCATTATCACCACTGTTGTTGTTACATGCTTTACCCGTAGTCACTGCTGAGCCCTCTGTCACTCATCATGATGGCACCTTTGTGAACTAAGACGCCAGCCTTAGACTGAGACCCCAGAGCAGCCCCACCTTGATCACCTGATTATCAGTGACTCATATAAGCAGTACAGGCTCCTGGGATTTTTGGCTTCCCAAGGCAATCCAAAGTGATGAAGCAGTGGTGATGCAGTGGTTTGGATGTCAGAGGACCTAGTTCAAATCCCGTCTGGGATACCCACTCCAGGCAAGTCTCTTCATTTCTCATCCATGAAATGAGGAGGTTGGGCTGGCATCCCTGGCTTTCATCCTGCTTTCTGCAGAAGGCTGTTCCATGGCCCATTCCCTTCCTGCTCCCTCCCTCTGCCCTGTGTACCAGGTGTGGAGCACCTGCACTGCAGGGGGAGCTCCTTGTTTGTATCCCCAGGGCCTCGCACGGTGCGTGGCACACAGTAAACACACGCTCGTTGACTGACCAGGCTCACGCCTCTAGAGCTGGAAGGAGCCCCTATTTTACAGATGAGGACACTGAGACCCAGGGAGAGCGAGTTGACCCGCCCTCAGTCATGTAGGTTGTAAGCGTCCAAGGCAAGATTGGAATCCCTATTGTCTGACACAAGAGCCAGTACTTTTTTCATGGCCACCTGGCCTGTTAGAGAAGGCCTCTTCTAGCTCTTTTTTTCCTCTGTTACTATGCATAGGAAAAGTGGCTTTCTTCTGAAAAAAGCCAGTTGCCCAACTTGTCAAAGCAAGGCTTCCAGCTACGTTGTGTCTCTCGTGGACCTATAGCTGCCCTCGCTGAAAACTGATGCGCGCAGGCAGCCCATAGACAAGGCCCTGGCTTCCTGGTCCCCGGGGCTTGCATCCCCCCACCTTCCTACCTCCAGCCCCTCTGCCTTGGGTACGGCTGCCTCCTCCCCACCCTGTTCCTCGGTCTTTCTGAAGCATACACTCCCAGCCCAGGTTCCCACTCACATTTTTTAAAAAATCAGTCAAGGACAGCATTTTGACAAATCCGGTCAACAGCCTGAAATTTATATCACTTCTAAGAAGCAAGATACCCAGCACAAAAATAGAACAGAAAGAGCCCTTTGAAAGGGCCTCCCCTCACGTTCAGACTGTTGGTCTCCCAGGGTCCCAAAGGATGTACTCTGCATTGCCAATTCAAGGTCGCCTCCATTGGGAAGAGATAGTCATCCTTCCCTCCCTCATAAACAGTCTGGACAAGGCATTTCTGCCACCTTCATCTCATAAAAGCCCCAGCTAGCCGAAGGCTTGCTCACAACCGGCCCAAGATGAAGGGTTCACCTCTGGGTTTTCTCCTGCTCCTGCCAGTGACGTTTGCTATGCTGAGAGCAGAGCCCCCCAAGGAGGGGCAATCAGATGCCGATGCCAGACTACTACCGACTCTGCCCAAGAGCCTGGTGGCCCAGGACCAGAGCAGGGAGAGGTCGGAGAAGCCGCCAGGGCTTCCTGACCCAGATGGGGCCAGTCCTCGTGATGGAGCGTCATCCCCAAGGAGCCGAAAGACCCCTGGGAGTGAAGTCCACCTTCCTTGGCCCTTGTTTGCCCAGGATGGTGGCACCTCAGATCTATGGACTGGGCCTAAGCTCCACCCTTGGCCCTTGGGAGGCCTGAGAGACCCGGTGTGCTGGGTAAAAGTAGGCAGGGGGGGAGAAGGGGATACAGACCCCCTCCAGGTGGTGGGGGCTCTGAGTGGCTACGAGAGGGGCTTTGTGGAAGCGCTGAGGCAGGTCCGCCGGGACAGGTGGGAGCTGGCCGCCTTCGGGATCTGCCCTTCGGGGGGCACAGGCGTAGCTCACCTCGCTCTGCAGCATTTGGGGGAGCGGCTGGTGGAGCCGGGCGGTTGGCGCCTTGTGGTTCTCCACCTGGAAGAAGGTAGGTGTGCTCTGTAAGCAGCACGTCCTTAGGGGCAAGGCTGGAGGACATTCTAGGGGTGGCTGGAGTGACCCCTGGTCTGCAGCTAGCCTCGGGGGCTAGGTCCTAATGGAGGGGCTAGGTCCAGGGTGCTTGGATCCCAGAAAGAGGAATGCCAACCTCTTAAAGCTCAGAGGGTTCTCCTGGCTAACTGCCAGCAGCATTAGCTTGGTTCTCTGGCCTAGCCCAAATCCCGGGATTTGGAATCAGAGAACTGAGGTTTGATTCCTGGTTCTTGTGTGTCTCTGCTGCCCCTTTCTGGACCTTTGTTAAAAAATTGGGGGATGAGACCCCAGATCCTATGAATTATCTCTATCCCCAACATCCTGTGAATTAGTGATTCATGGTTGGCTTTGTTCATTGTCTGTCTCCAAGTTTCTAAGACTCTGGGCTTTAGAACGGATTTATCAGGCCTTGGGTGGGTGGGGCAGGAGGGATGGCTAGAGTAAGGTCTGGGCTCCAAGCCCAATGTGTAGCATGCCAGGGCGGCCTGCCCAGGGAGTTGACCGGCTAGACTTTGTTCAGGGGTGGCCTGGGACTGGTCTCTCTTCTTAAGTAACCCCCAGATATTGTCTGTGAGGGCAAGAGCTGGTGGGGTGGCTTTTTTAACCTGGGATCTGGATAGATTTCAGTGGGTCTATGAACTTCAATGGAAGGAGAAAATATCACATTTTTATTTTCACTAACCTCTAAATGAATTTTAATGTTTCCTTCAAATAATGGGTGTTTTTGGTTTTTTGGGTTTTGTTTTGTTTTGTTTTTTTCTTTGGCTAGGCAATGGGGTAAAGTGACTTGCCCAGGGTCACACAGCCAGTAAGTGTCAAGTGTCTGAGGCTGGATTTGAACTCAGGTCCTACTAACTCCAAGGCCAGTGTTCTATCCACTGTACCATCTAACTGCCCCTCAACTAATGTTTTTAAAGAAAACATTATTCTCAGGAGGGGTCCATAGGCTTTGCCATACTGCCAGAGGGGTCCAAGACACAAAAAGAGGTGAAGCAGACCTGTTTTTAAGGAGGCTACAAGGCAAAGCAAACCCCCATCCAGCCTGGGCTCAGCTGTGCTGCCCCCCCCCCAAATTTAAGAACCAGTTTCAGAGCTCCAAGCACTGGACAGTAACCCTGGCTAGTTCAACATGGAAAGGAGACGGATTTGTCTACAGTCATGGAAACACTAGCTGAGTTATGAGGTCCAAGTCTTGGGCCCCGGATTCTGAAGCCGGAAGGGCTCTCCCAGCCCCATGGCAAAGTCACCATTCTGAATGGGGAGGATTCTTTTCCGTGCCGTGGAGACTTGGGGAAATTTTGTGTCTCATCTGTTCTCAGTTCTAGCCTTTGGAAAACTGGAAAGGAGCTCTGAGACCCCTTAGTTCTATCCTTTCTTAAGGAAGCTGAAGGCCCAAGGGGAAAGAGACCTGTACCCATAGAAAAAACCCAGATGATAAATACAAAATGGGGATAGAAACTAGGCCAGCAGTTTCACTGATGAACGATATTCTCGTCCTCTGCCACCACACGTTGGCACCATTTCTGCAACTTGTAGTCTGAGCGAGCTACACAGGGCACCGAGAGTGACTTACTCAGGGTCTTACAGCCACTGAGCAGGACTTGACCCTGGGTCTTCTGGTTCCAAGGCCAGCTTGCTACCCAGCAGGTCATGCTCAATTTTGCATAAGGTGGCTGTTTTCTTAACCCCGTGTATTGGACTTTGGCATTTATGCCCAGCCCTGACCACTTCCCAGTACCACGTGGGTGGCCTGGATGGATGGTAGGGAGGGGGCTGTGGATAATCCACAAAGCGCATAATTGAAGGCTGAGTCTTTTTTCTGGTCTTCACAATTGGGGTCTGGGATTTTTTTTTCCAGTTTTTGTTGTTTTGTCTGTTTAAGACAACAAATGTCTGTGGCAGGACAGAATTTTTATCCCCATGGTATAGGGATAGAATTTAAAACTCCTATCTAGTGATTTGTCCAAGGTCACTGGTAAAGATGAACTCCATCCCAAGTCCAAGATGTTATCCACTAAGCCTCTCTATAGCCCCTGTCTTCAGAGAGGGAGTAAGAGCTGGGGGGGTGGGAGGTGATGTGCAGGGTGGGGTCCAGAGCCTGTCATCTGTCCGGTGATCCCAGTGGTCTGCTCTAGGGCATGCATTAGGGGGAGGGGGGCAGCAAAGAGCCCCAGACCCTGTTTCCCGAAGCCAATGTCATCAGTTCTATATTCCAGGCCCCATTCCTGGCCTCCCTTGGCTGCTGGTAGGGAGACCTGGCTCTGAGAGTCCAACCCAGGGGAAAGGTAGAGGCAGCCCAGAGCTCATAGGGATGGTGCCCTTCATGGGAGAAAATAGCCATCCGCATCTTTCCTAAGGTAGGGTCAGCATAGGCAGCTGGCCTGGGGGTCGGTCTCATTCTCTAATCCTAGCCCCTATTTCCCCATCTATAAAAGAGGAAGGAAGTGCCCCTTGCTGTCCCCACTGGGAGCTGTTAAAGTGTAGGAAAGACGCTTTCCGGGGTGGGAGCCGTGGGGTGTAGTGGGGAAAGAGCATTGAATTTTTAGTGCCTGAAGATGGCTTTGAGGCCCAGTTCTCCTCTGATTCCGACCTGTAAACCTACTTAACCTCACTGGGCCTCATCTGTAAAATGGGAAACTTGAATTGGACCCCTTCTAGTCCTAAAATCCTATCAGCCTAAAATGTTTAAGGATCTTCAGGAGGAAAAGATGAAATTAAAGAGCAGAGTCAGAATTCTTCAGAGCACAGAGGCTCAGATCACAGGCTTAGAGCTAGAAGGGACCTTAGAAATCATCTCGTGCAACCCTCCCCCCCTCATTTTACAGATGGGGAAATGGAGGCCCATGTGCCCAAGCTCACATGAGATAGTAAAGGGGCAGACTTGGAATTGTAACTGAGGGCCTCTAACTCCCCTGATTCCAAACCACCACACTGGGATCATCTTAGGGATCCCTCCTTCTCTCCCTGGTAAGGCATGAAAGACTAGCAACTGCCTTTTGCTGGGAAGCCTGTGGGTCCAGAGAGGGTGAAATGGGCCCCTAGAGCCCATCCTGTCCCATCCTGTCCTGGCAGGAGAGATCCCCGAGGGTGCTTCCCCCTCCCCCCCGCCCTGGGGTGCTTCCCCCTCCCCCCCGCCCTGGGGTGCTTCCCCCTCCCCCCCAGCCCGGGGGTGCTTCCCCCTCCCCCCCAGCCCGGGGTGCTCCCCCCCCCCGCCCTAGGGTGTTTTCCCCTCCCACACGCTCCCTCACTCCTGTCTGCGTCCCGCAGTGAGGTGGGAGCCGGAGCTGAGCCTGCGGTTCCAGGCGCCCCCACCATCGCTTCGAAGAGCAGGCACCCCAGAGCTGGCTCTGCTGGTGTTGTATCCTGGGCCTGGGAGAGGCGGAGTCCAGCCTGGGCAGGAGTTCCAGGTCACTGGAGCAGGACTACAACCTCAGCAGGTAGAGACTATGGAACGAGGGAGACAGAGGCTGGAGCTAGAGTGATAAAGACAAAGGGCTGGAACATTGTCTTTCGAACCCCATGGGGAACCCTAGCTATCAGAGGCTAACTCCCCTCCCCCACGCCAGAATATACATTTGAAAAGAGGGCTCAATTTCATGCTGGCCGTAGTCGGAGCAAAGATTTAGGTGAAGAGCCTTCTCGTCTCCATGGACGAACACAGTCAAGCACTCACATGCCCATTCTGAGGGCAGGGGTGGTTCTCGGTGTCTAAACTCGCTTGCAAGGGATGCCAAGGCTATGCCTGGCAAGGACAGAGCTGGGCTGCCCATCCCAGCTCTTTGACTGGAATGCGGCTTAAGCCAAGTCCTGAGGTGGTCGAATCTCAGACCCCCAGTCCCGGTCCATCCGACCGAGGAGAGAGGATCCTGGGGCAGGATGGTTTCCAGAATCCGCCCCTCCGGCAGGGCTGGCGCTGTAGCCCTCAGAGTTGGGATTGCATTGGCCTGGGCCCCCGTGCCACGCCCCCCCCCCAGCAGTATCTGGGAGGGGGAAGAATGGATCTGTGATAAGGAAGCGGCCGTCCAAGGGTGGCATGAGCTGGTTCGGAAGGACACTGGAGGTAGGGGTGGTCCTCTGAGGTCCCTTCCACAGCTGAGATGCTAGGAGTTATCTGGGCCCCAGGTTGTGGCGGGAGGAGCAGGGAGTCCGTCTTCTCCCTCCCTTCCCCCCGCCCTGCCCCCCATCTCCCCTGTTTCTGCAGAGCCTCTGTCTCTCCTTGGACACCCGGTACCTGGTCCTGGCGGTGGACGGGACGGCTCGTGATGGGCTCTCCCTGGCTTTGCAGCCCCGGGGTAGAGCTGGTATGGAGGTTCACAGTCTGGGTCTGGGAGGCTCTTGGTCCTGCAGGGCGGGAGTGCGGTGGAGCTGGGTGGGCCTCAGGGAGGAGGTGGGGGCTGGGAAGCAGGTCACCTGAGTTGGGTCTCCAGCATCGGCCTGACCCCAGACTGCATCCCCATGTGCTGCTGTAGGCCCCCCTCTGGCCACCCCAGAGCTCCAGGCCCTGCTCTTTGGTCTGGATCACAAGTGCTTCACGAGGATGACTCCGGTCCTGCTCTTGCTGCAGGGGCACAGCTTGGGGGCTAAGCCCAACCCAAGACCTCTCCCAGTGGAGGGCCGGCTAGATATGGCACCGTACCCTCTGCCCAGGTGCGTGGGGGCCTGGGGGAGTAGGCAAGCCTGGGTCCCTTCCCTGCCTCCTTGGACTGGAGGGCCATCAGCTGGGTGGGAGAGCTGAGACCCCAGGGGATGGACGGCTTGTTTCCCTGAGCCACTGTGGGGTCACAGAAGGGCAGGGGTGGGGAGCCTCCAACTGGAGGGCCATGTGTGGCCTCAAAGCCCTGGTCTAGGCCCCAAGGGGTCCCCGCCCTCTCCTGGAAGCTAGCGAACAGCCCCCTGCCCACCCTCACCCCCAGCCCTGCGTTTTTTCCTTGCCCACAGGCCATCCTCCCAGTCACCTTTCACAGCAGCCTCTCCAAGTTCCACAGACCCATTCCTGGAGACCCTGACCCGCCTGGTCCGAGGGGTCCTGGGGCCTCCCTCTGGCCCACGCTCACTGCGTCTGGCCCTGGATCCTGAGGCCCTGGAGGCCCTCCCACACTGGGTTTTCAACCTCTCAGACCCTGCCACCCTGGAGCGGTTGGTGGAGTCAGAGGATCCCATGTTGCTGCTGTTTCCAGCAGGAAGCCCAGCCCTGCTGGAAGGCCTGGAAGGACAGTGGCAGGCCCAGGAGGGTCCGGCCCAGCACTTGGCAGGCAAGCTGTGGGCTGTGGCGAAGGAGCTGCTAGGCCTGCCTGCCCTGCAACCCCACGCCGAGCTCCTGCACCAGCTCCTGGCCCTCTGCCCAGCCCCAACCAACAGCAGCAGCAGCGACCAGGCCGAGGGCAAGGCCCCGGCCAGCCAGCTCCGGGCCCTGCTGCTGCTGAAGGCCCTGCAGAGCCTGAAGGCTGAGTGGCGAGAGCGAAAGAAGGCCTCCCGGGCCCTCCGGAGTGCTAGGCTCGGAGGGGACGGTCCATGCCGGCTTCAGGAGCTGAGTGTGGACCTACGGGCCGAGCGATCTGTCCTCATCCCCGAGACTTACATGGCCAACAACTGCCAGGGCCCCTGCCACTGGCCCCAGTCTGACCGAAGCCCCAACTACAACAACCACGTGGTGCTGCTGCTGAAGATGCAGGAGAGGGGGGAGCCTCTGGGCCGCTCTCCCTGCTGTGTGCCCACTGCCTATGCCGGCAAGACTCTCATCAGTCTCTCCGAAGAGGGCCTCAGCGCCCGCCTCATGCCCAACATGGTAGCTACAGAGTGTGGCTGCCGGTAGGCTCAGCGGGCCCGTTACCCTCCCCCGTGTCCTCCCGAGCACCAGTCAAGCCCCGGCAGCCTGGCATCAATGCGTCCGCATCATCGGCCCGTCCCAACCTAGCTCTGGCCAGGGCCCTTGGCCTCCCTGCCCCCACTGCCTGACAGGAACCTTTCTCTGGATTCACCACTGTCACAGTCTAACCCGATCCCCACAGTATCCCCAAAGATGGGGAGGTTCCCAGCATCGTCTCAGCAGCCACTGGTTCCCCAACAGCCCTCTCCAGCCCCCATGTTGGGGCTCAGGCCCTGCCTGCCCTCTCCCCTCTCCCACCTCCTTCCCTTCCCTCACACATCTCCCCACCCTCACTGAGCCAGTGCTCAGAGTAGGCCCTGGGCAGGGAGGTGGAGTTGTAGCCATTCGGATCTTTCCCATGGGCATGGATTGGGCATGAGGGCAGCCCAGGGCACCAGTGTCAGTGGAGAGGGGTGGGATTGGGCACAGAGCTGGTCAGGGCAGCTCCCAAGCAGGATCTTTGTGCTCGGGAAGCATCCAGCCCAGCCTGGCACAAGGAGAGGCGTGGTGACTGAGAAGCCCAAAGCCCTGCCTCATATTTATTCTGACCAACCAAAACATTGTCCAGTAAAGTACAGAATTTGGCTGAGGCTGCGGCCACTCAAGAGGTAGGAGAGGAGGGGGCGGCTGAGCTCTGGCGGGCAAAGCCAACAGCGTGGACTTGCTGTCCTCTTACTGCTCTCCCCCCCCCCCCGGCTTGGTGGTCTGGCCAGTGGTGGGGAGATGACCTGGGTTGAGGGCCAAGGGAAGCAGGAGAGAGAAAAGAGGAGAGGAAAGGAGGAGAGAGAGAGGGAGAGGAGAAGTGGGGAAGGGAGGAGGGGGGAGAGAAAGAGGGAGAGAGGGAGAGAGAAGGAAGAGAAAAGAGAAGAGGGGAGAGAGGGAGGGAGAAAGAGAAGGAAAAGAAGAGAGGAGAGAGAGGGGGAGAGAGAAGAGAGAAGGAAGAGAAAAGAGAAGAGGGGAGAGAGGGAGGGAGAGAGAGAAGGAAAAGAAGAGAGGAGAGAGGGGGAGAGAGAGAGAAGAGAGAAGGAAGAGAAAAGAGAAGAGGGGAGAGAGGGAGGGAGAGAGAGAAGGAAAAGAAGAGAGGAGAGAGAGGGGGAGAGAGAGAAGAGAGAAGGAAGAGAAAAGAAGAGGGGAGAGAGGGAGAGAAGAGAAAGAAGAGAAAAGGAGACATGAGAGAGGGAGGAGAGTGAGGAGATGGAGGGGGAGGGAAGCGGAGAGAGAGGAAAAGAGGAAGGGAGAGAGAAGGGGGAAGGGGGAAAGGGAGGGAGAGGGAGAGAAGCGAAGGAAGAGAAAAGAAGAGGAGAGGGGAGAGAGAGAAGGGGGGGAGAGAAGGGGAGAGGGAGGGATGAGGGGAAGGAGAGAGAAAAAAGAGAGGAGAGAAGAGAGGGGGGAAGGGAGGAGAAGAGGGAGAGAGGGGAAAAGAGGAAAAGAGAGAAGGAGAGAAGAGAGGTGGGAGAGAGGGAGAGGGGAAAAGAAGGAGGGGGGGAGAGAGAGAGAGAGAGAGAGAGAGAGAGAGAGAGAGAGAGAGAGAGAGAGAGAGAGAGAGAGAGAGAGAGAGAGAGACAAGAGAAGAGAGGTGGATAGAGGAGAGGGAGAAAGGAAGAGAGAGGGGGTGACAGGGGAGAGGGAAGAGTAAGAGACTTCCCTGAAATGTGCCCTGCCCACCTAAGTCCCTGCTTAACATACTCAAACCTGTCACTCCTTCCCTTGTTCTGGCTCCTGTCCCTTCTCTGGCGCCCAGCACAGCCCTCTCCTGGAAGCTCACCCTCCCTTGAGAAATTCCCCCAATTGGGAAATGGCGTCCTTCCTCCTCCTGCCCATCAGCAGAGTGCCTGGAAGACCCTGCACTCCCACTCTCTGGGAGATGTCCCAGGCCCAGGGCCTGGCCACGGGGACCTTGGAGCTGATCTCCTCAGGAGCTTGGTCCCCAGCCCTCCTTCCCTTCTTCTCTCCCAGCTGCTCTTGTTAAGGTGGACAGTCGGAACCTCAGCCCGTCCAGATGGCTGTCCAAACACAGGGAGTAGCAGTAAGCAGCCTCAGCGCTCCTGGTCAGGCCCAGACCTAGGGTGGTGGAAGGGGTTCAGATGGCATTTGCATGCTCAGAAATACTCCTGCAACAGAATAAGCCTGAACGATGGTGTTTTTATTGTTAAACACTCACTTTGATAAACTCAGATCGTGTCCCTGGAACCCTACCACCCCCGGGAGGCTGGGGGAGGGGCTGGGGGAGCAGCTATGGTGGCAGCTCTCGGCCCCCCCAGAGAGGCTGCACGCTGCACCTTGGCGCCGATCCCCCCCACGGTCACAGTCACTCAGTGGTAGTCAGGCCTCATTGTCTAGGAGGGGAAGCTGAGGTTCGGAGAAGTGTCTTGCTCAAGGCACACAGACAATAACTGGAGAGCCAGGATTTGAGTGCAGGTGGCCACACGAGTCACAGGGAGAAGGGGTGGGATGGCCAGGCCGCACAGCACAGGTGAAACGGGACGCAGGAGCTGGGCCGCAGGGCTGTGCTCTCTGGGAGCCAGGGACGGGCCTCCTGGGGCCGCCTCAGTCCCTCCGCTTCCCTTCCCGGTGCTTCTGTTTGGGGAAGAACCTGTCCCTGTCCTCGCGCCCCTCGCGCCCCCCGCGGCCCCGCTGCTCTTCTCTCTTGCTCCTGGGTCCATCCCGGGCCTTCTTGGAGTCCTCCCGCCTGCCGGGGGGCCGGTGCTCCTGCTCCCGCTCCCAGGGCCTGCGTGGAGCCTCCTCCTTCCCTTCTCGGCGCAGCCGCGGCCCGTGGCCGCCCTCCTTCCTTTGCTGCCACTGGGGCTCGGCCCTGTCCTCTCGGAAGCCCTTCTTGTTCCTGGCCTTCTCCTCCTTCTTAGGCAGCGCTGCCCAGGGCGGCTTCTCAGGCAGAACGGCTGCTTCTGGGGCCGGGGCAGGGCTCGCCTTGCCCTCTGCTTCTTGCCCCTCTGCGCCCGGCTCTTTGGGTGAGGCCTCCTTGACCATGGCAGTCCGGGGTGTCTCCTTCACAGGGGGCTTGGGCCCTGGAGGTGGGGCTGGTGCTGACGCCTTAGCCCAGTCTCTGGGCTTGGGCTGCTGGAGGAACAGAGACCCTGGCTGAGCTAATGGCCAGGGGCAGGGGACAGGCTTATATGGTTGGGCTGGAGGCAAGGATCAGGAATATCCTGGACGGATCTCACCCTGGGTCATAAGAGGGTCACCCTTGTGTGGAACAGGAGAGAGGAGGTCAACGGTGGCCCAGGGGGAATAGGGCTTTACTGGGGCTTGAAGGAGGGTGTGGCTGGGTCAGGCAGGCCTGCCTCTCTGTACCCAGAGGTGGAGCAACCCAAGCCCAGATGGGTGCATCACTCCATGCTGGGAAAGCCCTCAGGCCCAGGATGAGGGGCTGCCACAAGGGACTGGGCTCCAGCCCTCCTGGTCTCTTGCTCCCAGGGGCAAAGGAGGGGACCAAAAGCTCCCTAAGAGTCACAGACTTTCGAGTCGGGAAGCCACCTCAGTGACCCCTAGTTTTGACAGGCAGAAACTAACACTCCGAGGTTGGGTGAATCACCTAAAATCACTTAGCTAGAAAATGGCGGAGCTGGCACCTGAAGCCAGACCCTCCGGTTCTGAACGGAGGCCTCTTTCCCCCACTGCTCACCAGCTTGGCTCTGCTGTCCCTCGGGGCACTGCTGCCTGGCCAGGCCCACAGGGCCGGGGCAGCCTCCGGGCCCTCCTCCTCCCCATCAATGACATCTGAGGAAGGAGAATGGGACGGGTTAGTTGGGTCCTCTGCGTGGGTCCCAGCCATCCCATGCCACTCCTAAAGGGGCAGGGGTCTCTCAGGGTTTATCCAACCAGTCCAAAGCGCAGCCAGACCTCAGAGCAGAGCCCCAGAAGGGGCAAGTGTCCTAAGGACATCCGATCTTACCATGGTCACTCAAGCCCTCAGAGGCTCCCAACCAAATCCAGTGAAGGTCTGTTTATTCCTGCTTCCAACTGACTGTCCGAGCCCCAGCCCCTAACCTGCTCCTGAGGCTCAGGGGCCCCTCACTCACAGCAGCCACCTCAGCACTGGCAGCAACATGAGAAGTGGGACCCCCCCCCAACTCCTGGGCTGGGACAGCTCTTTAACAACGCAGGGAGGGAAGGCTGATGATCTGAAGTAGACCCCAACACCACACACAAGTCCACCCCAAGGCTCCCCACACAAGGCCCACCCTTTGTACTGGCTCTGTTTCTTGGAGCCCTGAGTGACCTCTGGGATCACAGCACCTTCAGGGTCTCCCCTCCCCCCCAGCGTCAGTTCCTGCTAGGCTTTGTCTTGGGAGTGGGTTGGATTAGGGAGCTCAGGGTGAGTAACCCCTTCCCCCACCTTCAGACACCATCTTGGAGGGGGCACAGGTAGGGACTTCAGTGTGAAACGGCTGCGGCCGAGGTCGGCCAAGCCTTCAGAACATCTGGACACCCTTCAGCGGCTGGGGGCAGGGCTGGAGAGCCCCACCCGGCCTGCCCAGGAGTCGTCAGGCCTGGGCCCTGCTTACCCTGGAACACCTGGAAGGCCATGCTGAGGACAGCCACGACCGAGGCCAGCGCCAGGCACTTGTTAAGGGTGATCTCTCCCCAAGGCAGCTCGTCGCTCGGGGGCCCCAGCGTCCGGGGCTGTGGCTTCACCTGGGGCTGGGAGTGGGCCTTCATTTTCTTCCTAGCAGGGACGCTCTTAGGAGCTGGGGAGCCAGCAACCAGGAGTTAGACAGAGTCACCCCCACCCGCCACAAGATCAGGAGCTGGGAAAGCTCTTGGAGACCATCCTCGTCCAGCTCCCTCGTTTTACAGACGCAGAAAGTGAGGCTGAGAGCGGCCATGTGACTTGTTCAGGATCACACAGCTAATAAATGTCTGAGGCGAGATCTAAACCCAGGTCTTCCCGACTCCAAGCCCAGTGAGGCCAGACTGAACCCCACTACTCAAGCCGAGCCGAGACTTGACTTGGCCCCCAGCTTTGCTTGTCAGAGGCAGCCAACCCTTCTCCAGACCCTTTAACAACCAGCCCCTGCCCACCCCTTGGGCCTCACCTGCAGCTGTCTTCCCTCTCTCCTTTCCGGAGCCCCCCTTGTCGGCTGAGTGCTCCTTCTCTGCCTTCACCCTCGAGGGCTTCCTGGCACCATCCCCGATCCCATCCGGGGCCTGCTCCTCCTCAGCGGGCCCCTAGCCCAGGAAGAAGCACCCAGCAGGAAAGGTTAATGATAATAAGAAGAAGATGATAACTGATATTTCCACGGAGTTTTACACTTCACAGATGTTGTACTTCAGTCCTTCAAAGACCTTGAGTACTAAACATTTATAAAGTGCCTCCTACGTGCCAGGCACTGTGCGAAGTGCTGGGGGCACAAATACAAAACACAAAGACAGCCCCTGCCCTCAAGGAGCTTACAATCTAAGGGAGGAGACAGCACACAAAAGGAAGCTGAAGGGGTGGGGGCGGGGAACGGTGGAGAAAGTGAGTGCAGCCACAAGGGAAACCAAGGCCGGGAGATGGCGGCCGTGCTGCCCTCTCTAGGGCTCCATCCTCCAGTCCCGGGGCAGAGGGGAGCGATGAGGTGTGGGGAACAGGCCTGACTGGATCTTGCCAGATCTTCCAGAGGAACTCTTATCGTCTCCATTTTAGAGCTGAGGAGAACTGAGGCCCAGACAGGTTAAATGATTTGACCATGATCCTGCTACGATAAGTGTCAAGGGCAGGATTTGAACCCAGGTCTTGCATTCTCTGGTCCTGGCACCTGCACCCATGGCCAGCTCCCTGGGCCCAGGTGAGGGGACCCAGGGTAGCAGAATCTTGCCCTGGTTGGCTCATACCCAGGACTGAATTCACAACAGAGAAACAGGGGTGCTGTGTTCTGGCTGACGAGGTCGGCCTCAGGCCCCACCTCCCCCTGGATTCCCTCCAAGGTGCCGTCCTCCCCTGGGAATGTTCTGATTCTGTGAAAGGCTCCCAGGGTCCCCGGCCCCTCTGATGAGCTTCCCAGCATTCTCTCTCTGGGGGCTCCTCTTCCTTCTATGCCAGTGACATCCTTCCCTGACAGCTGATCCTGGCCCTGAGGAACCTCATTGAGGGAAACCCTGGTGTTCCAAACCCCCTGGCCTGGACCCCATTTGCTTCTTACCCCAGGCCCCTGGGGGTAAACGACCACAGCCAGCAGGGGAGATCCTCAATTTTTTCCAGCATCACTATCTCCCGTAGGGGAAGGTCAGAGGGAATCCCGATTCCTTCTGTGGGGCCGGGTTAAGTGAGCAGCCCTTTCACAGAATCATAGAAGAAAGGATTTTTAGAATTGGCAGGGATTATAGGAACCCTCCCTCCCACACCCAGCAAAGGAGCCCCCCCCCCCATAACCTACAAGTGTTCAGCCATTCTCTGCTTGAGGACTTCCATGGAGGGGAAAGCCATTGTCCAGGCGGTTTATTTCATTCTGGGACCCCTCAGACATCACACACCCCACCCCACCCCACCCCCTGCCCATGGGGAAATTGAGGCCCAAGGGGGAAAGCAGGGCTTGACCCCAGGGCTCCTACTTCCTGGTGAGGTCTTTTCTGCAATGTGAAGTTGCCCTTACTCCCCGATGGGACGCCTGACTTCTCAGGGACTTGGAGGAGATGCTTGTTAGAGGGAGGGGAAGGGAACACGCATTTATTAATGTTCTGCACCAGGTTCTGTGCTAAAGGCTTTAGGAAGCTTATCTCATTGGAGCCCCACCAGGACCCTGGGAGGCAGCTGCTCTTCTCATCCCTATTTGTACAATGTGGAAAGTGAGACAGGCAGGGGTGAAGTGACTCGCCCGGGGTCTGAGGCTGGATTTGAACTCAGGTCTTACTTTGATCCAAGCCCAGTGTTCTAGGCCCTGAGTCACCAGCTACCCAAGAGCCGCCTATTACAATGAACAATGTTTTTTTTTTCTTTTTTAGTTACTGGACCTGTGACTTCACTGGGGACAGGGACCTTGTGGTGAGGGGGCCTCTCCTTGCTGGGCCAATATCGCAGTCGTCCTGGGGCACTGAGAGAGCGTGGCTGAGGCCTGCAGCCAGCCCCCTGACTCCGAGGCCAGCTTTCTGCCCCCCCTACCCCGCCTCTCTCCTCATGAGGACAGCAGCCTGTGCTCACTCGGCGCTTTTTTGTTGTTGTTCTAGAAAAGGGAAACTGAGGCCCAAAGTGGGGAACGGACTTGGGCAAGGTCATATGGCAACTTCAGGGGCAGAGTCAGGATTTAAGCTCCACGTTCAGTGTGCTGTCCTATGCACACAGTCCACTCGGCCCCCTCGAGTCCCTGCGTTTTCACGGGATGCTTGGGCTTTCTGCCGGGAACACCCAGTTAGTTCTCTGCTCCATTCAATTCAACAAGCATTCACTAAACGGCCGTTGCACGGGAGGCTCAGGGTGGGAGGGGGGGGCCCCCTACCTTCAAGGAGGCTACGGGCCTTTCTAGGATTCGCCAAATAAACGGCTCAGTAATTTGAGCGGGGAGAGTGCTGATCACAAGGGGAAAGGCTCGGAGGAGGAGCCGAGTGAGCGATTCGAAGAGGTGGAGGGAGGAGAGGAGGGCATTCTAGGAATGGGGCACAGCCTAGGCAAAGGCACACAGACAGGGGGTGGAGCACCGAGCAAACAGGACCAGCTTGGCTGCTATGGAGTATAGATAAAGGGGGCAGTCTAGAGCCCACGGCTGAGCTAAGGGTCCCTGTGAGCCCCTGAAGCTGCGCCAGCAGGGGAGAGCACGGAGCAGGCCTCGACTCTGGCAGCCGCGGGCAGGGGTGGGGGGTGCCCAGGCTGCTCCCACCAGGCCAGCGTCTGCAGCGTCCTGGGCCACCACATGGAGGCCGTCATCCCTCTGGTGAGCTCTGTGCCCTCTCAGCCCTGAGGACCTGTACTTTGGGGCTTTAAACACCGAAATAAACCCACACAGCCCGGCTTTTGTCCTCTTCTCACCCAAAGAGCTTTCTGTGGGCTACGTACCTGCACCTGCACCTGGCTGCTTGTCTCTTCTCTGCTTTCTGCCCTCTCACCACCTGGGAAGGACACAGATCTGGGTAAATGAGATGAGGACACTGCAGAGCAAGGCTCCCTACCCCCCAGGCCTGGGCCAGCCCTCTGCACTCCCCTTCTTCCTGCCCCATTTTCCCTTTCTCCATTCCACATTCAAGAATTGCTCTAGTCCAAAGACCAAGAAAACCCTTTCCTGAGATAAAAAAGGGGGCCATGAGGGCAGCTGTCTGCGGCTGGTGACAAAGAGAAGTGACACCAAAGGTTGGAAAGAGCGTGCAGCTAGTCTAGAGGGCCTTGTATGTGGAGTGCTCCCCAGCAGACGTTCCAGTGGAAGCTTCACTAGATGGCCTCTGGGGATGTTTCCCGCCACATGGAGGATTCTGATCCTTACTCCTTCTCAAACCTCTCCAAAAGAGGAATGATTTACGGGAGATAAAGCTGTTCTAGGTGCTTCCGTGGTTTAAGACACCATGGACCTCAAACAAGGTAAAAACCCAATGAACTAACAGCAAAGAAGGCTGATCCCTAACCCCTCATGTGCCTCTTTACCCCTGCTCACCACACTCTGGTAGGGCAGAACTCAACTCCATCCCCTTACCCTCAGCGCCCCCTCCCCCCCAGTTCGTACACCCCCTAAGAAAACCAAAAGGCAGAACTCACTCAGGCTGGGACCAACACGCCCCATGCTGCAACGATACTCAGCTAGAGAACAGAACAGGGAGTGGGGGCAGGCTGCCAGAGTGGGCATGGATCCCCCAGGCCAAAAGGCAGTTAGGGGCAGACACTGAGCCTGGTGAAACATGAATTACCAAGAATGGGAGGGGACTGAGATAGTTTTGAGGTCCAGCCCCAGGGAAACCACAATCAAAGAAAAAGGAATTAGAAAGTGAGTAATAGGGGAATGTTCAGAAAAAAAAAAAGACTAAAATTACCAAAGAGCTCAAGAGGGAGAAAATTGATAACAGAGAGGAATACGGCCCCCAGATCAGGTAAAAGAGTTCAGGCATCTGTGAATAAATATTGTAAGACAAAGGAAAATGACCAGGCACTTGATGAGGCAGCAGATTCCCAAGAAAGCATGGAACCCCAGCAGGGTGTTCCCACGTGGTTTTAAAAGAGAATTAAGAACTCTGAAAGCAAAATTCATGGCCTGCACAAAAGAAATAATTGTCAGAATAGAAAAACTTGAACATGCAGTCACACCAAAGAGACAAAAGAGAGAATAACTGATGGGGATTGCAAATACACAGAAGTGAAGGACAATCTTGAAGAAGAGAGGCAAAAAGCAATAGCATTAAAAGGAAACGTATTGATCTCAAACACGGGATGCACGGAGACAATATAAGGATTCAAAAACTCTACTGCGAACTCCAAGACACACATGATGGTTAAATTTGACAACCACTGACAAACAAGAAAGTCTACGAGCAGCCAGGCCTTCAAATATAAAGGAAAGGAAATGTGAATTACACAAGACTACCAGGCACCCACCAGAAACCTCAGGAGGGAAAAGAATACTGTGTTCTGAAGAGCAGCTCAGAGTAACATGCCCTGAAAACTTGAGCCTAACCATTAATGAAAAAAGATGGATGTTCGATGAAAAAGACGTATTTGAAGCTTTCCTACAAAGAAAACCAGATCTGAATAAATTACTCGTTCTTCAAACACCCCAGACAAGAGCAGCAAGGTGGCGCAGTGGATAGAGCACTAGCCTCAGAGTCAGGAGGACCTGAGTTCAAATCTGACCTCAGACACATGACACTCACTTAGCTGTGTGACTCTGGGCAAGTCACTTAACCCCAACCGCCCCACCAAAAAACAAAACAAAAAAACGCCCCAGACAGCAGAAACACAAGAAAGGTAAACAAACACAGAACCAAGGACAACAAAAGAACAGCAGAAAGACCAGTAAGAGACTTCTTTCTAAAAGTACAGGAGAAGGCAAAGCAGACGTCAAAAGGAAGAGACGGTAGAGAAGCAGGTCTGAGACGTGATGGACTGCACTTCCTGACGCCCTGCCTTCAAGTGAATCAGTGCTTTGTGGGGCTAGATTACAGAGTGAGAGGGTGCACAGAAGGGGAGAGGGGAGAAATAAGACAGAAGGACCTTGATCAAGGTGAGTTAATGCTCAAGAAAAGGAAACCAGAGAGTTTATGAGGAAGAAGAGATCCTACAGGAGAATGGCGAAGAGGCAGAGGGCAGGACGGAAACGCAGAGAAAGAACCACCGATGGACACTTCCAGGGAGGAAAAGAAGTACTCTACGCAGGGAGAGGGGGATCTTAGATTGGTGTGATCTGGGGTGACTCTGCAGACATCTAGGACTTAGAGACCACTCATCCTGTCCAGGACAAGGGAAATCAGAGCCCCTGGGGGCAACTGGGAAGAGTGGAGAGCGTGGACCCACGGTGGAGATTTCACAGTAACTGGTAATAAAAAAAAAATGATCACACTTCAGAGGTGTAGGAAAATCCCTATGGGGCAGTATCATTTCCAATACCTGCAGGAATCGATATTTCTAAGAATGAGGCACCATTTAAAAAGGGGACCAGATTGGGGGCAAGCTTTACTAGGCAATACTATAGGAACTCTGTTGTGTCGTTCAGTTGTGTCCAACTCTTTGTGACCCCTGTGGGGTCTTGACCCACAGTTTAAGAAGTGCTGAAGGGGTCATGAGTGGAAAAAGTTTAAGAAGGCCTGGTCTAGAATAGGCAGAAAGGCAAGATACATAATGCAGAGGATGAGGGAAAGAACTCTTTTTCAGAAAAAAGGCCCAGAAACCGAAATTTTAATAACTAACGAATAAAACATGTTGAACAAGCAGCTAGGTGGCACAGCAGATAGAGCTCGGGCCTTGGAGTCAGGAGGACCTGGGTTCAAATCTAGCCTCAGGCACTTAACACTTACTAGCTGTGTGACCCTGGACAACTCACCTAGCCCCGATGGCCTCACCAAAAAGCAGGAAAAAAAAAAACTACATTTAGCCAGGCCTGCACAACCTGGGCACACCAAAGGATTTCTGGTGGCCCTCAAAAAATGCAGAGGAAAACATCCTTTGTCTGTAGAGGAAATCCTCAGGCCTGCTGAAGCAGCTGCAGGTTGTGCGGGCCTGGGTTAAGCTAAGGTAACTGAAGAGAACAAAGTGCTGTGTTTACAGAGGAAGAGTGGGGGAAATCCTGATGCAGAATAACACCAATATGATTGGAGACAAATGGAGGGAAATATAAACCTCTGATCACTTTAGATGTGAATGGATTAAAAGATCCCATAAAATGGAGAGAGTGCTACACTGATTGGCTGCATGGCCCCAAGGTCCCTCCCAACCCCACTCTGGATTTCATTATTCTAAGAGTCCCCAGATTCTGCATGAAGAAGCAGGTGCTAGAAAGCCCCCGATGGAGGGAGTGCCTGCAGCAGGTTTCTCTGACTGAAGAAAGGCTCTGCGGCATGATTCCACAGAGCAGGGAGCTCAAGACATGGCTTCGTTAACAAATACCTTTCAGTAACAAGCCTGACACAGAATAAGCCCCCTACAGCAACATGAAGCACTCCAGCTATCCAGGTACCTTTTGCCTCCTCCTCCTCCTCCTGCGATTCTTTCCTGGATCTCTCCACTGACTTGGTCAGCTCCTCCATGGCCTCGGGGCAGCCCAGACCCCTGTCCAGCACCTCCAGGTCCCCCGTGGCCATGTTGAAGCCAGGCTTCTCAGAAAGCAGGAATTTGTGACTCAGAGGGGCATCACACGCTTCTCACACAGACCCCTTCCTGTAAGGAAAGTCGGCTGTAAACAGGGAACACGAGTTTATTTACAAAATGGGGTTTCATTTGCAAAAAGTGAAATTTATACGTAGCTTTTCTAGGAACCTTTCTTAGGGCTAGTAGGGCCCTCAGAACACAGGATATCAAAGCTGGAATGGGGGGAATGGGGGCCTTAGAATCCAGACTGTCAAAGCTGGGAGAGCATTCAGAACACCGAATGGGCCATGGTTTTCTTACCTGTAAAATGAGAGGACGGGATTAGAGGCTCTCTCAGGCTCTTCCAACTCTAAATCCTCGGCTCTTAAATTGGGAGCTAGAATGAGAAGCCACTAATAATCCTTGTTCTCCTGACCTCCCTGGGCATTGAAGGTCAAATGTGACAATGATGGTGAAGGGGCCTGACAAAAAGCTGAAGCTAGTAAGCTAGTGCTACTCCCATTTTACAGGTGAGGTCATTTGAGGCCCAGAAAGGCCGGTTAGTGGTTGCCAGGCTCTTCCCACTCCTCCAGGCCCCCTCTCCCACCAAGGAGCTTCAGCCTAAGGCCAAATTGCAGGTTCACCAGGGGGCAACTCAGAGCTGCCACCTTGGCCCATGCCAAGCTCCAGTGTCCAAGGGTGCCCCCACTTCAGAGACAGGGGCCTGCACCACTCCTTCAGATCTCTAGGATGCTTGAGTCCCTGAGCCCCTCAGCTCCTCCTCAGCACTGTGGCCTTACTCCTAGGCCCAGGCCTCAGGGCCTTTTGAGGGCAAGGATCTTTGGACACTCCCACCACCGGTTTCTTAATAAAGACTCAAAGGAAATATGGAGAAGCTGTCTGAGCAGGTGATGCTGCCAGCTCTATGGCCCCATAGCTCCAGAGGAGCAGTAGACAGTTGGAGACTGCCTGGAGACAGAAGCTACTAGGAGCAGTGTTTAAGAAGCACCAAACTACATTAAAAAATTAGAAAAAACTTTTTATACAAATAAATCAGATTTAAATAATTGGAGATATATTAATTGTTCATGGGTTGGCAGGGCCAATATAATAAAAATGACAATTTTACTCAAACTAATTTATATATTCAATGCCATTCCAATTAAATTACCAAAAAATTATTTTACTCAATTAGAAAAATGATAAAAATCTAGAGAAAGAATTGATAAATAGAAGTATGTATAGAATAATTTTAAATATGTGTACATATTTGGGGGCAGCTAGGTGGCACAGTGGATAAAGTACTGGCCCTGGAGTCAGGAGGACCTGAGTTCAAATGTGACATCAGACACTTGACACTTCCTAGCTGTGACCCTGGGCAAGTAAGTCATTTAACCCTGATTGCCTCACCCTCCCCAAGAAATACACATATACATATACATATACATATACATATACATATACATATACATATACATATACATATACATATACATATACATATACATATACACATACATATACATATACATATACACGTACACATACGGTAGCCATCTCTAGGGCAGAGGGAGGGGAGGGAAGAAAAAAAGGAAATGTACATGATAATTTTATTATATATTTAAAAGGAATAACAGGTTGTACATAACAGATTTGTGGTTTCATGTGCAATCATCTTTTTAATTATATCATGTTATAGAAATGCTTTTTTTATTCCATAAATTAAAAATAAACTAAATAAATGTGAGGGGGAAAAAAGAAACACCAAAACCATGGTGGATAGAGGGCTGGACTTAGGAGTCAGGAAATCCTGAGTGTGAATCCTGCTTTTATAGCTGTGGGACCTTGGGCAAGTCACTTAACCTCAGTTTCCTTATCTCTAAAATGGGTATTGTAATAATGGCAGTCTATTTATTGGTGTTGAGGATCAAACACGAGAATATATGACAAGTGCTTTGTCAGCCTTAAGATGTTTCATAAACATTAACCTTTCTCGTGATGCGAGGAGGCGCACAAGCCAAAAGGAGAGAAAGCAGAGCTGAGATTCACTGTGGGATAAAAGATCTAGAAAGAGGTCTCCAGGAACGAGGGACATTTCTAATTCCAGGCAGTGAGAAGCACCACCAGGTGTGGGAGGAGCCCTGGACCCAGGGCTGCACCCCAGCTTTGAGCCCTCCCCCCATTCCTGCGTGATGCTGGCGAGGCTCGCTCTCCTGGTTCTGCTTGAGCCGCTGTAAAATGAGGCGCTGAACCGGATGACCTTTGAGGGCTTCTCGGTGCCAGCGCTCTGGGCCTGGTGCGGGGAAGCTCCTTTCAGACCCGACATCTGAGGGACTCTGGGCTGCTCCTCTCCCCGCTCTGTGCTAACAGCCTCCCATGCTGCCCCTCACTCCTCCGCCCCACTGGGAGGGAGAAGCCTTCAGGAGCCCTCCCTCACCTCCAGCCCGCTTCACTCATTCAGCTTCCTTGGGGGCCCTACCCCTTTCTCAGCCTGAGGGTTCAGGAGAAGGCGCCAACTTGCCTCCTGTCGCTATTAGCTGCTCCCCTTTACTGTGGAGAAGGAAGTGTGGAGAGTCTCTAACAGGTGACTTAGAGTGGGGAAATGGCCTTAATTCTCCTAATTTTGGTTAAAGCGAAAAGGGGCAAGATTTTATAGAGCTGGAAGGGGTCACTGGGTTGTCTCCTACCTGAAGAATGAATCCCCTCTACAACCTTCCTGACAAGAACTCATCTGGACTGTTTAAACACCTCTAGTGATGGGGAACTCACTATCTTGCATTGTTTGAGAGTTTCACTTGCTAAGCAGACCTTCCTTAGGTAGATCAGGAACTGCCTACCTGGGGGATGATGGGTGGTGGTAGATGGGGAAGGGGCAGGGACTGGGTGAACTTGGGAAGCTGGACAACAGGATAGGCCTTGATTCTGAGAAGAGTGAGGGTCGGGACTCGGGTCCCCTGCCTGCAGCCTGCAGCCAGCCTGCTTCACCTCTCAAGTCAGGGCCAGTGGGCAGGGTGGGAGTTATTTCCGTGACTTATCTTCTCAGAATCAAGACCTATCCTGTTTTCCAGTTTAAGTCTACCTTACGACCTCTGCCCAGAAGTGCTATCCAGCAAATGGGGTTATTCTAACTTGGTGATTTAATCCTAGTAGCTCAGAGGGATCTTAAAAGAGAGGATATATCAAAACTAGAAGGCAACTCAGGAGTCACTTTTTTACAAGTAAGGAAACTGAGTCTTAGAGAGTAGACTTAACCAAAAGTCAAACTGAGTCAGTAGTAGAGCCAAAGGTTAGGGGCAGCTAGGTGGCGCAGTGGATAGAGCACTGGCCCTGGATTCAGGAGGACCTGAGTTCAAATGTGACCTCAGACACATAACACTTACCAGCTGTGTGACCCTCAGCAAGTCATTTAACCCCATTGCCTAGCCACCCCCCCCCAAAAAAAAGTAATAGAGCCGAGGGAAGAACCCAGGCCCCCTGCCTCCTAGGACACCAGGAACTCACAGAATGTGAGAGCTAAAAGGCGCTTTAGAGACAAAATAGTCCAACCCCTTGGTTTTGCTGTTGAGGGCACTGAGGCCCAGAGAAGGTGAGTGACTTATCAGAGGCCAAACAGCGAGTCAGCAGCCCAGCTGGGGCTAGAACCTGCCTCAGCCCAGAGATCGCCCCACTACTGCAGACACCCTGGAGATAATCCCACCAGTCCTGTTGTCACCTTGAAGGAGATGCCTCAGAAAGGGAAGATGGTCCCAGGGCTGCCCCCACCAGGTGAAACAGTTCTTAAATAGGGGCCACCTTAAGGGCTGCCCCCTCTAGCCACATGCAGAGATAGGAACCTTTAACCTGAAACTTGCCACAAGACCATGAGGAGGACCGGAAACACAAGCCTCTCAGAAAGCACCTCCCCAAATAACCCCAAGTCTGTCCAATTGCAGTCGTCGGGCCTGGGCAGCATGAAGCCTGGCCAAATCCGGCCAATCGGAGCATGGCCGTGCCATGCAGAATCAGGGTCTCCACAGGGGTGAAAAGAAGGCACATGCCCACATGCTCTTCCACCAGGGTAGCCTGGGGGGGTCAGAAAGCAGGAAAGGACCACCCTTACCTGGAGGGAGTGGGTTCCGGTCCTGTGTGCTGGCCTTGGGGCCGAGGGTCTCTTCTCACTCTGCTTCTAGGGCAGGACTGGTGAAGGACAGCAACAGTTGGTCACCCCAGCTGGGACGAAATCCTGACCAATCCCCGCAGGCCACGGCAAGCATGGTGTCCAGCCTGGGCGGGGGAGTGAAGAGACTGACATCAGGGTCCGCCAGGCCCTCTGAGGAGGAGAAGGCAGCTGTCGCAGGCTGCAGGAAAGACACCAGCTTATCTCCTTCTCTGTCCAACTGGCCCAGGGAGTGTCAGTGGAGAGGAATGAGGGAGCTGTCAGCCAGGCAACAGGCAGAGGGAGGCCTGTGAGGCCCCAGTCAGGCCAACGACTTCTCATCCTGCTCTGTGCGTGCCAGCACAGAGATTCTGTTGGTGTGGATGATTCCTGCGTGGCCCAAAGCTGCCACTGTGGAGTTTGTGAATACTAAGGCCCTGTGATGAGCTTTTCTGCCTTCACTGAGAGAGACTCTGTCAGAGCCAGAGTCCATCCAAAGACTTGGCAGCAGGCCTGCCCCAGAATACTCTTTGACTTGGGGAGGCACTAGAGGAGGAGTTTATTGCAGGCTACCCACTATTTAATAATAACAACTCATATTTCCATGAAGAAGTACAGTAGAACATAGGCATAGAATATTATAGTGGGCAGAGATATAAGGGGCCATCTGATTCAGTCCTTTCATGTCACAAATGGGAAAGCAGAGGCCCAGATCTCAGGTCAAGGAGAAGATCTGGGAGAGGCAGTGTGGTATAAAGGAAAGGACCCTGAATTTGGAGTCAAAAGATTTCTTTGAGCTTCAGGGGCCTCGCTTTGTCTGTGAATATCAAATACTAGTTAGCCAGAGCCTCACCCACAGTAAGCACCTCATGTTTCTTGAGTTGAATTAAAGATGCTAATCATACACCCACCTCACAGGGGTACTGAGAAGAAAATACTTTGTAAGCCTAAAAATGCTTCAGAAATTGGAATGACTATTATAATTGAACCAGGCCAGGTCCTTTTCTACTAAGATCCCTCCACTGCAGGCACACCAGCAGGTACCTTTGCCAGCCCTTGGTCACCAGGGAATGAGGGAAGAAAAGAGTAAGGAAGGATGACTCAGTGCCTTTGCAGATGAATCATTCACCCTCAGCAATGCAATCTGCTCATTCCTACCTCCCTTCTTTCTTTCTGTTCACTCCCTCTCTGTCTCTGACTCTCCTATCTTCATTTTGTCTCTCGGTGTCTCTTTTCTGTCTCTGTCTCTTCTCCCTCTCTCCCTTCTCTCTCTTCTCTTTCTATCTCTCCTTTCTCTTTCTGTCTCTGAGTCTCTCCTCTCTGTTTCTGTTTCTCTTTGCCTCTCTGTTTCTGTCTTTGTCTCTCTCACAATCTTTAGGAATGAATGTGAGCTAGGTATTGTGGGAGAGGAGGACAGTGAAGAGATGGAAGAGATTAGCCTGGTTGGAGCAATTCATCTTCCACACTGTTGTCTATCTTTGAAACATAGGTCTGACCATGTCACTTCCCTGTTCAAGCAATTTTCATCTCGAGGATAAAATACCAATATTTCAGCTTAACATTTAAAGCCCTTGACAATGTGGCTGCAGCCTGCCTTTCCATATTTATTTCACATTACTCCCCTTTGTACACTCTACATTGCTGTCAAACTGGCTTATTTTGCTGTTCCTCAAATTTGACGTTCCATTTTCCCACCTCCAGGCCTTTGATAGACAACCCTCCATGCCCAGAATGCCCTCCCCAGAACCCTAGCTTTTTTCAAGGTTCCACCCAGGAATCTCCTGCTACTGGAAGCCTTTCCTATCTCCTCTGCCTCTTAGTGCTCTCCCCTCCTGAAACAACTGTGTTCATGCTTATCTGTTGACACGTTGTACCCTCCAGTAGGATGTAACCTCTTTGAAGGTAGATAGCATTCTGATTGTTTCTCTTTTTTATACAAATGGAGAAGAGGTTGGGTGGCAATTGGGAAATATCACAACACTTTGAACAGTCCCCAGCTGTCCAACACCACAAAAGCTCATCTTTTTAGGATAAACATTCTCCCTCTGATGCTACAGAGCTACTAATTTTAGGAAACCCAAATACCAGAAGAACCGTCACAGCACAGTGAGTTGGCCTCTACCAATTACCAGTGATGATTCTCTGTCAGAAAAGGCCCAAGAGGCCTTCTGGTGAACACAGAAGTGTGGAAGGTGACAAGGCTCCCAGCCCTTCTACATGTACTCCAGCAACGGTCTAAAAAAGGCTCCAGATCAAATAACCATCACAAAATCCAAAGGAGTTAAGTTCCTCCATCCAGCTCAGGGCCCCACCATAAGGGAATCAGAAAGTCATGGAGGTTAGCAAAGGGCTCCACCGTGGAAGCCAGAATGAGCTCTGGTAAACAGGCAAGAAGCCTGTAGCTATGTCCTGACCAGGATCCTGGTGGGGCATGAAAAACCTCAGCATCCCCCTGATTGGGGAAGCCTCCAGGAGGAAGGGAGCCAGAGCAGAAAGCAGCATGGGCATGCCTTGAGGGGCCAGAAGGCTGTAGAACTCTGACTGGGGGCACGGAAACCTGCCAGGGAGCCGAAGACCAACACAGCACACCTGGGCAGGTGCAAGCCAGTGGGAGGAGACCAGGAAACAGGTCAGGATCAAACAAGGCCTCGCCACCCCATTCAAGAGTTTGGAAGGGTGCAGAGCTTAGCCCTGGCTGGAGGCTAGAGACAGGGGTAAACAGAAAAAGACACCAAATGCTCTCGAGGGATGTTAGGAGTCAAGAGACACCCATGAGGTTAGCCCATCACAAGAGTAATCCCACAACTACAAGTACGGCCTCCAAGAAAAAATGTCTTGGCCATAAGGTCTACAAGAGTATCTGGGAGAAATAAAGCAAGAGATTTTAAAAAAGGAAATGATAAGTGAAATAAGTGCTATAGAGGAAAAAACTGAAGGGAGAATAAATCATGTGGAACCAGAAAGCAGAAAATCTTGCCCAACTAGCAGCCTCCTCAAAGAATCAGAATAGACCAAAAATACAAATTATCCTCGAATTAGAATGCACCAGATTAGGAAATCAGAAGGACCCAAATGGAACTCAATAACTCCATGAGACAATGAGAAATATTAGATATTAAATAAAATAAAAATGTCAGAATGAAATTTAAGTGACTGATTAATTATCCAAAACAACTGACCCGGAAAACAGGCCAAGGAGAGACAACTGAAGAAGCGCTCCTTCCTGAGGCCTGAGAGAAGGCAGAAGTCTCCTCATTTCACTTTGGGGATTTCTTACCGTTGACCTCGGAAGGTTTTCTCTTTCCTCCCTAAGGGGATCTAGGGCATATTTACAGCACATCTAAGAGGTGCTTCTTCAGTAATCCATTGCTTACTGGTGGCAGAGAGCTGAACAGGACTGTTTCCTTCTCCACTCTAGCTGGTGGTACATTTTAGGAGAAAAAAAGGTGGCAGAGGAGGTTATGGAAGAAAGCCCTTAACATTGTGAGGTAAATAAAAATAATCATGGTTGGTCATAATATGGATCAGAGTTCTCAAGCCTTTCAAAACAGTTTATCTTTAGAATGTTCATACAGTATAGATTGTTCTCCTGGTTCTGTTCACTTCACCCTGCATTAGTGCATACAGATCTTCCCAGGTTTCTCTGAAACCATCCCCTTCATCATATCTTATAGCATAATAATGAGGTAGCACCCTAGATTTCCTTTCATTTGGATTTCTCTAATTATTGGTAATTTGGAACATTTTTCATACAGCTATGATAGCTTGGATATTATCCTTTAAAAACTGTTCATATCCTTTTACAATTTTTCTATTGGGAAATGCTTATATTCTTATATAAGTTCCCTTATATATGTTGGACATTATACCCTTATTAGAGAAATTTGCCACTCCCCTTCTAATCTTAGCTGCATTTATTTTGTCTGTGCAAAAACTCTTGAATTTTATATACTCAAAATTGTTCATTTTATCTTTGGCGACTCTCTCTAGGTATTGTTTGGTTGAGGACTCTAGATCTGAAAGGTAATGTTTTCCTTACTCCTTCCATTTGTTTATGAAATGCCACCCTTTATGTTGGAGTCACACACTCATCTGAAACTTATTTTGGTGTACGGTATAAGATGTCGGTCTATACCTAGCTTCTGCCAGACTGCTTTCACAATTTCTGAGCAATTCTCGTTGAACAGTAAGAGTTATGACTCCAGTTAGTAGGGGTCTTTGGGTTTATCAAATATTGGGCTACTGCATACTTCTTTCATTTTCTCAACAAACTTTACCAACACCTTTCCTATAAAACGACCTGTTCCAGGCCCTGCAGAAAGGTATGGCTGTCTACAAAGCAATCTCCTTGACTGCAAAGACTACAAACCTACTAGTTGGTACTCCTTGAATCTCCCCCAAGTTCTCAAAACTATAGAAGGTCAGATCAGGAAAGGCCCTTTGGACATAATGTCAGAATGGTTGCAGTATGTAAGCTTAGAACATAGAATTTTAGAGCTGCGAGGTACCTTTTACATCACCTAAGTCCAATCTCCTTCATTTACATCTGAGGATACTGACTCGGCCAAGAGAGAGGAAATGACTTGTGCACAGTCACACAGTCAGTAAGTAGCAAGCTAGTCTTCTGATGCTCAGGGGCACAACCTCATGTCTTTCCCTTCCCACCTCATCTCTGCTTACCAAGATCCTGCCTGTTCTTTGAGGTCCACTCAAATGCCCCTCACCAGCCATTGCTTTTAGTGCACGCTATCATCAGAGGAAGGGCAGGGATCCCGTCTCTGATGCTTCACGGACCCCGGGATGGTGCTTTTCACCTAATTTGTACACTCACAAACATCTGCTGAATGAAGGAACACATTTCCCCCTCAACACCAGCACAAAAATTCAGACGCTGAAGGGAAGTAAGGGGGAGGGAGCTTAACCAGGTACCTAGTTAGAAGCTTAAAAAAAAGGGAGCAAGATAACATGCCCCAAATGAAT